ATATAAACATAAAATAAAAAAATAGATAAATAAAATTTATAACTATTCAATACAAATAAATGTAATTTAATTAATTCTTAACTAAAAAATTGGCAAATATCTTTTGAATAGGATCACATAATTAGTTTTTTCAAAAAAGGTTTATGGATATTAAATAAATGGGAACTATATAAAATAAAATTAGACTAAACCTACAGATATATTTTATTATAAATTCAATGAGAAATAGATCACAGTTATGATGTAATAGCTGTCACTTAAAAATATACTCCATAAGAAAATGAATATGATTATAAAAAATATAATTATTGAATGATTTAAAAGAAACAGAAAGCACTTCAAACAATTGTGAATTACAGAAATGGTTCATAAATAAGATTCTAATAAAGTCCTTCAATGAAGAAACTTGAAAAATCATCTAATCATAGCAATTTTTCTTTAAGAATAAAAACATGTTAAAATTATGTTTAATAAGACAGAATAAAGTATTTCCCCAAAAGCTATATAAAAAACTTCTGAGACACAGATGGGTGATTTACAAAATAAAACTAGTATTCAAATAATCTTTTCTCATGAAGAAAAGCTTCATAATTTCTTATTTCCTTATGAGTATTATAAAATTTAATATAACAATAGAGCCACTACAGATCAATTATTGCAATAAGCTCGTAAAATAGTTCCAACAATAAGTGCATTAATAACTACTAATTAAAATTTAGCCGTCGATTATTATCTTCAATTACCTAATTAAAAGTTATGTGTATTTTAAGGGCGTATAATAACTGTTTAAGGAGTTATAGGATTATTAGGATTGAAATCTAAAACTGGATTACGAGATTTTATATTTATAAAATGTATAGGAGTAGGTGGATTTTCAAGAGTGTATTTAGTAAAGAAGAAATAATCTGGTCGATTTTCTGCAATGAAAATAATAGACAAGAAAATAATAATTGAGAAAAAAATAGAAAGTACATAATACATTATATAGATATAATTGAGAATGAACGCAACATTCTAGCTGTCATTTAACATCCTTTTCTTAATAAATTAGAATATGCTTTAGAATGTCCTAATAATTTGATTTTTATAACAGAATTTTGTGCAGGAGGAGATTTACTATACTANTAAAATAAAAAAATAGATAAATAAAATTTATAACTATTCAATACAAATAAATGTAATTTAATTAATTCTTAACTAAAAAATTGGCAAATATCTTTTGAATAGGATCACATAATTAGTTTTTTCAAAAAAGGTTTATGGATATTAAATAAATGGGAACTATATAAAATAAAATTAGACTAAACCTACAGATATATTTTATTATAAATTCAATGAGAAATAGATCACAGTTATGATGTAATAGCTGTCACTTAAAAATATACTCCATAAGAAAATGAATATGATTATAAAAAATATAATTATTGAATGATTTAAAAGAAACAGAAAGCACTTCAAACAATTGTGAATTACAGAAATGGTTCATAAATAAGATTCTAATAAAGTCCTTCAATGAAGAAACTTGAAAAATCATCTAATCATAGCAATTTTTCTTTAAGAATAAAAACATGTTAAAATTATGTTTAATAAGACAGAATAAAGTATTTCCCCAAAAGCTATATAAAAAACTTCTGAGACACAGATGGGTGATTTACAAAATAAAACTAGTATTCAAATAATCTTTTCTCATGAAGAAAAGCTTCATAATTTCTTATTTCCTTATGAGTATTATAAAATTTAATATAACAATAGAGCCACTACAGATCAATTATTGCAATAAGCTCGTAAAATAGTTCCAACAATAAGTGCATTAATAACTACTAATTAAAATTTAGCCGTCGATTATTATCTTCAATTACCTAATTAAAAGTTATGTGTATTTTAAGGGCGTATAATAACTGTTTAAGGAGTTATAGGATTATTAGGATTGAAATCTAAAACTGGATTACGAGATTTTATATTTATAAAATGTATAGGAGTAGGTGGATTTTCAAGAGTGTATTTAGTAAAGAAGAAATAATCTGGTCGATTTTCTGCAATGAAAATAATAGACAAGAAAATAATAATTGAGAAAAAAATAGAAAGTACATAATACATTATATAGATATAATTGAGAATGAACGCAACATTCTAGCTGTCATTTAACATCCTTTTCTTAATAAATTAGAATATGCTTTAGAATGTCCTAATAATTTGATTTTTATAACAGAATTTTGTGCAGGAGGAGATTTACTATACTATTTATAAAAATATCAAGTATTTACAGAAACCTAAGCAAGATTTTATATTGTAGAATTCATATTAGGTTTAATATATTTACATTAATTGGATATAATATTTCGAGACATAAAACCAGAAAATATTTTAATTGATATTACAGGACATATACAAATTGCTGATTTTGGATTAGCTAAACCAACTAGAAATGAATAGGCATATAGTTTTTGTGGAAGTCCAGAATATATGGCACCTGAGATGTTAACTAATTAAGGTCATAATTAATAATTGGATCATTATTGTTTGGGTGTTTTACTTTATGAATTAGTTGTAGGATTTCCACCATTTTATTCAGAGGATATAAATAAAATATATGAAAATATAATTTTAAAAGAAGTGGAGTTTCCAAAAAATAATTAATTAAGCAATGAAATAAAAGATTTAATTATTAGATTGTTAAATAAAGATTAAAAGAATCGAATAGGTAATCAAGGAGGTTTACTTGAAATATTAGATCATATATGGTTTGAAAATATTGATTTAATAAAATATCTTTAAAGAAAGGTCAATCCTCCTTTTCAACCTGATATTTTTAGACCTCCAGCTTTATAAAAAGAATATCAAGATGGAGATTTAGATTTAATAAGAAAATTATTAGATAGAAATATTTAAGGGTTAAATATATTTTAAAATTTTTATTATGATTAATCAGTAGAAATGAATATAAGAATAGAATAGTAGAAATTCTTAAAGTTTTATCATTAATAGATAGAACAATAAAATAGCAAGATGTAAAGAAGATAAAAAATAAAATTAATGAGGAAAACCAGATTAGTATGATTATATGATCAATTATTAAAATATATATTTAATAAAATGGAAATATAGGATAATAATATTCCTAATCTCTAAAATGTACCAATAATTAGTGGAGAACCAATATAATCAGAGAATTAAATCATATTAACAAAAATTAATGCTGATATTGAAACAAAAAAACATGTTTGCATTCATTGGTGTGTATTTTTTGTATTAGTCATAATATTTGTATTGACATCTGTTTTTATGCCAGATTCAACTCAAAAAGCTTAAGTGGGTAATCCTTGTGATGAAAATGAAGAAAATGCTTTCGGATAAGGATCTTGGTTTGAAGAAAATAAATAATAATTGTAAATGTAAAGAATAATTCTTTTAGCTGTAATTAAAGTAGTGCAAATTACAAATTTTATAGAAAATTAGAAAAGAAGAATCAATTCTTAATAGTATATGGATAATTTAATTTCATAAGTCCTAAAGGATTTTAAATATCATATATAAATTATACAGCAACATTATTTGGATTAACTAAAGAACTAAGGGAAACAGGAAATTTGACTGAAAATTTTATTGTAAGTAAAAATCATACAATAACAACTACATGTTAAACAGATCTAAGTAAATTATAAGAAGAAAAACAAGTTAATGAATCTTCAAATAGTGGAAATAGATTATTATAAAGAGATGGTAATCGTAATGATAATCATAATGGTAATCATAATCCTCCTCCTCCTCCATAAAATAATTTTAATGATAAATATAATGATCCTCAAATTTGTGATTCAACTGTTTTATTGTACATTCCAATATTAGATTATCACGATTATTTGTTTGTAATAAATTTTTAATAATAATATGCACTACCTAATTCTACTAATATTTAATTATATTTAGAAGGAGTAACTGTTAATCCAAATTATTCAAATTCAGTATTAGGCATAAGATATACCTTTTTTGCATTTTCATTAATTACTTTTTCTTTATTTGTTCATAGAATTAGTAAATTGGCATTTTAAAATTGGGTAATAGAATAAAAATTTGTTACAGTTTTGAGTTTTCTTTTACCTTGGTTTAATGATCCTTTATATGCAATAACCTTATTGATACCAAATAGAATAACTGCTGTAATTGGAGTTATTTTCTTTAGCAATTTTATTTGTTGTCTATTTCTTTATTGGCTTGTACTTTATCATAGAATTGTAATTGAGAATGGAACAAAAAATAGTACTGCTTTAACTAAATGTAAGGTTATAGTATGTTTGCTTTTATGGTTATTTTTTGTTGTTTCCTATTCTATTTTAGTAATCTAATATTTTAAAGATCCAACTTCAAGTTTTGATGATTTACATCACAGAGCATATATGGCATTTAAAGTACTTTCATTTTTATTTTCTTTTGCTATTTTTATATACTTACTCAAATATTTGATTTAATTTTGTAGATGTTATGAAACTAGATTATGGCGTTATAAATTGATAGGATTATTTAATATCTTTTATATGATGTGTTTAGGATTATTTATATTATCTGGATCTTTTGAAATATATAATCTAACTGGAACTGAAGTACTTATTTCTATTAGTATTTTAAATCTATATATCTATTACTAATAATATTTATGGAGTCCTAGCAAATAAGGATTGATGCAATAGACAACTCTTGATTAAAATATCAATGTCAATAATAGTGAATATGAAGAATTAGAAGTTGATAATATCAATATAAATTAATAAAATGTTGTAGACGAAAAATTCTAAGTTGAAGATGATAAAGTAATGATGCATCAATGATAATATATTTATATTCAAAATCATTTTTAATAATTAAATCTTAAATAAAAATGAAAGAAACAAAATGTGATTCCTTGTCGCATACTACATTTTAAGATTAAAGCACAACTGATTTTGTTATCTAATAACAATTATCATAATTAACTAAATAAAAACAGCGGCAGACTTAAAAAGCTATTAAAAAAGAAAAGATTAATAAATTCAAGAATTGGAGTTAAGAAGACACTAAAAAATTTTTTAGAAGTCTTTAATTATTTGGAACTGATTTTTACATGATCAATTATTTATTCAATGACAGAACTAGAACTTAATTAAAAGTACTCTATTATATTTTATTATTTATCTAGCGTAAATTTAAGAAAGAGAGAAATAATGTAGAACTCTAAGCATCCTTAAAAAAATGTAGAAGAACACAAATAATGAAATTAAGAGATAGGTTGTCTATTTTAAAGAAAGAGCATCAAGTAATTAATAAAGCTGAAACCTTAACTCAATTCACAAGAAAGAGATTTGAATCCTTAGCTAGTGTTGACAGTTTAGATATCTAACTTGTTGAAGAACTCCGCTAATTAGAATGACTTTTGTTATTAGTTTGTTTAATTAAATCTGCTCAATTAGGCATTTCACTATTATTTTAACACCTCAACTAATAAAATATATATAATGAATATACTTTATTAACGCATATACAACTAATTTTCAATCATTGCTCCTTCCAATTTAACATAACAATTAGAATCTATTTAAGTAGATACTGAATACATAACTAATGTAATAGTTATTGTTGGTACACATGAATGTAAGAAGAAATCACATCATTTAAAAATTAATGATTAAATGCTTCTCAAAATTGAAAAAGATTCTACTAAACCACCTATCACAGATTTATCATTTTATTACTTAGATATTCATCAATCTAAATTAAAATTAGAACCTGATCTTAATATATGCACTATTCAAGAAAATGATTCCAAATGGCATTATTCAAATGGAAATCTAGATTATACATATGATCTCTCCAAAGCTTTTAGTTATCAATCTACCAATAAAACAGCCTTAGTACTATGTTATAAAACTGATTAAATGTAAGATCCTTGGAGTGATCTCATTTTAATTTAAAAAAATCAGATCCCTCCAGAAGGATTTTACAAGTTACCTTAATCTATACAAAACAATTATTTAGCATTTTCTTTGGCTAATACTTATCATACAGCTAAATATTAAGTAGAAATCACTGATTCTTATCCATAAAATAATGAGAAACCAGAAATAGCAACATTCTGTTTTCCTAATGGAATCTCTCTGTATAGATAGAACTAATTTCCAAAATATAATCATTTTATTTTGACTTCAGAAACAGGTGAAAGGACATATTGTACTGCATTAATATTTTGTGAATAGAATCTATAAGGATTTCATGAAATGGCTATAGTGTTATCATCTCATTATTGTTACTCAGAATAATCATTAGAATTGCTTAAAAATCTATATTAAATTTACATAGCTAAAAATGTACTCCCATTAGAAAGATACATATGTAATATTGTTGATGAAATCGTTCTACCTTAAGATCCATCTGAAACATATATTTATAATGGATCTAAATAAATCTTCTTTTTCTAATCTAATTGTTTTCCATTATGCTCAAATCAAGCTTTTTAATGTCTATTTGCAGTTTTAAATAAAAAAAATATAGTTTTACTATATTTTGCATTACTATTTGAGAAAAAAATTTAGCTTATTAGTTCTAAACCTATAATTCGTTCATTGATTATTGAAGCAATTTTAACTCTTTTGTATCCATTTGAATTTACTCATATTTTAATTTCTAGCTTACCTGAAGATTTAGAATAATATCTTGAAGCTCCACTACCTTATTTAATAGGTATTAATAAAAAATAGGCTGATAAGTATCCAGATGCTATTTAAGTGTTTTTAGATACAAATAATATAAAATAAAATCAACCAATTGATGTACCTGAAGATATTTGCGATAAATTTGTTTTGAAATTAAAAGAATTTGATAAATATTATGATCCTTAAATAATAGATACAATTGATAATGCTTTTCCTATGCCTAGAGAAGACGAATTTGAAATGATCGATCAATATTAAGTAAGAGAAGTATTTCTTAGATTTAATATTTTTATATTGTAAGATTACAAAAAATTTATAGACAAATAAGTTTTCAAAGAAAAAATGTTTTTGAAAAGTAAATCAAAAATTAAATAATTTTTGGAACCCTTTATGGAAACAAGATTATTTAATTTCTTTATTTAGGAGAGAATGTAACTCTCATAAAATGATAGTTAATTAGAATATTTTGATGATTGCCTTAAAAATCCTAAAGGTGATCATTTTACTCTTCCTATTTAAATATTTAAAGATTATTTGAAACCTAATGATGATGGATTAAAAAAAGATAAGCATTTTTAATATTGTACATTCCCTCTTAAATTAAATGATGAATTTTTCTCAAAACCAAGACTAGAATTCTTAAAACATGAAAATCCATTTTAAATTCATTTATTTCCAAAAACATAAATTGAACATCTCAGATTTGAGTTGGCTCATATATATAAATAATGGTTCAGATTTTTGGTATAAAAGATTGAATAAGATAAAATAGAATTAAATGAATTGGTTAAGTATAGTATAAATCTTTTAAAAGAAATGAAATAGAATAATTTGTATATCGATTCTGATATTTTCAAAAATGCAATGATTGCTTGTGCTCATTATCAAATGAATGATTTAGCTCTATAATTTATCTAATAAATGAGAGAATTAGGTTATCAAAAACAGATCTAAATTTATCAGTACTATTTTCAGACTTAACAAAATAATAAAAAATAAAAAAATACTTAATAAATGATTTAATAAACTATGAATTCTAGTAATAGTAATAGACAAGGAGATTTTAAATTTTACTTGGATCTCAAATGTCCAAGATGTGGTAGAAGATACAAAATAGAAGATTTCTTAGCATCATTCATAAATGATCAATTAGAATGTAAATCAAATGGTACATTAGGATGTAATAATAAATTTGATGCCTAATTACTTTTTAATAATAAGGTTCATTATCTAAAGAAACCTTCTAAAGTAGAAAAAGAGGATAAAATTATTAATATGTTCTATTTCTATTTAATAGGATTGCCGTTTAAATTTATAAAGAATCAATTAGATGATGATATTGTTTATAGTTCTAAAAAGATACCAATCTATTTGGATTATGGAGATTTGTACACTGATGAAAATGATGAATGCAACTCTAATTACTTATAAAAGGCAGTACATGAAGTGTTTGGGATGTTTTTGGAAAGAATTAAAGAAATTATATCTTAATAAGAACTTTCTTAAGAAAAGCATCATAGAAGGGTGTCAGATTTATCAGATTGATAATATATATGATTATGTATTCTAATATATGTCGTAATTATATAATTTAAAAAATTTTAAGTAATGACTTTTGAACTAAAAATTATTTTTATAATTTGAAATATACAAAAATAAGACTCTCAAATTAAATTGTTTAAACTGAATAATATAAATTAATTAGATATCTGAGTAACTAGAATATGAATTGATTAGATATGGTAATAAAGAGTGTTTGAATTTAAACAAAATAAAGATGGAACGATTTTTAGGATAGATTATATAAATATGAAAAAAAATGTTTAATAATTATTAATAAAATGGGAGTTTGTATGAGTAACAATTAACCAGCTTAAAAAGAGATAACAATAGATTAGATGATTCCTGGATAGTTGAATAAACCAAGTCAATCAATTTAAAGTTAGACAGTGGAAGTAGATAAAATGAAAGAATTATTATAGCCAAGGAGAGGAGATAGGAAACGCTAAGCGAAAATAGAAGTAGTTGAGGAACAAATTGATGAGAATGTAATAAAATAAGAAAAGGAAAAAAGTCCTTTTGACTTTTAGATGATTTTGAATGCATTTGGAAATCATTTTATGTTTGCATAACTTGATAATGATGATAAGTAATGATAATGGTAATATAGAACAAAATTAATAGAGGAAATGTATTATGTAACATCAAAAGATTAAGAGATGATATTTAAGTAGGGAGATAAAGCGACATTATTTTTCATAATTGGTAGATTTGATAAATTATTCATAAAGAAAGAGGCTAATGTTAGATAATAATAAATGATGAGAAAAAGAGAATATTGAAACGATGTGAATTTTTTGGTGAATTAGCATTGATGTATCATGCACCTAGATCAGCATCTGTGAGTAGTTTAGGAGATTGTGGATTTTGGGTATTGGAAAGGAACAAATTTAGAAAGGCTGTAGAAGATATTTAATAGAAGGCTTATGAAACAAATAGGGAATTTTTGGGATAAGTTAAATTCTTTGGTAAAATTGTTGATTTATAAAAGATTTTATGACTGAAGAATAAAGAGATAGTATAGCTAATGTTTTAATAACATTAAAGTTTAAATAAGGAGAAATAATAGTAAATGAAGGTGATATGGCAAATTCATTTTATATAATTTAAAAGGGTATAGTTGAAGTAACAAAGTAAGGACAATTCTTAAGATATATGAATTAAGGAGATTCATTTGGTGAATAAGCATTATTTGGAAATTGTGTAAGAGGAGCAACTGTTAAAGCCTATGATTCAGATGTTAATCTTTTATCTTTAAGTAGAGAGGATATAACAACTATTTTAGGAGACAAAATTCAGGTACAACATTATTATTATATAGTCACATAGTTAATCATTTATACAAATATGCAGAAATGGGCATTTGAAAAACATTAATCATTAAGAGATTTAACTAAAATGTAAATTTAAAAAATTGTTTCAAATTTTAAGATTAAAACTTATGAGAGTAATAATTACATTTTCAAAACTAATTAAATCGTTGATAAACTAATTATTATTCTTGATGGTTAATTAGAATTTGAAAATTAATTATATAATAATGGTTAACTATTAGGCGATAAATATTTATAAATGGATGAATAAAAAAGAAAAATTAATCATGATATTAAGACTACTCGTAAAACTACATTATCGGAACTTCCTTTTAAATAATTCTTTGAATGCATAGGAGGAGAATTGGATACTGTGGTAAAGAAGAATAAAGATAGAGTTGGTCCATCAACTTTGTTTGAGAAAAAACAAAGAAGCAATTATTCATTATTAAATTTAGAGGATTTTATAGGATTAAAATTATTAGGAGAAGGAACATTTGGTAATGCATATTTAGTTAAAGATAATATATAATAAAATATGCATGTCATGAAATGTGTTCCTAAAATAAATGTTATCAATAATAACACAGTAAGACATATAAAAAATGAAAAATAAGTTTTAGAATTAATTAATCATCCGAATTTAGTTTGTTTTCATAGATCTTTTAAAGATCAGAATTATATTTATTTTTTAACTGAATATATAAAGGGTAAAGAATTGTTTCATGTAATAAGAGAAATAGGATTACTGAATTCTTATGAAACATAATTTTATATTGCTTAAATGATAAATATATTAGAAAAGATGCATTCCTAACATATTATTTATAGGGATGTTAAACCTGAAAATTTTATAGTTATGGAGAATGGCTATATTAAATTAATTGATATGGGAACTGCTAAAGTCTTAAAATCAAGAGCTTCTAAAACTTCTACAATTGTAGGAACTCCACATTATATGTCTCCTGAAATATTAAAAGGTAAAAGTTACAGTTTCTCTACAGATTTATGGTCTTTAGGAATCTGTTTCTATGAACTTATGTGTGGAGAAGTTCCTTTTGCTGGAGATGAAGAGGATGATCCGTATTTATTATCTTTATTTAGATATATTATAGAGGAAGCTATCTTAAATGGTAAACTGGAATATCCATAAATCCTTAAAGATTTCAAGGCTATTAAATTAATGGATTAATTTATGAATAGAACTCCAGAATTAAGATTAGGAGGCTCCTATGATTCCTTAAAAGTTCATCCTTGGTTTGATGGCTTTTAATGGGTATTTCCTTTTTCTCTTATTTTTAGGAAGAACTAGAAGCTATGCAAATCAAACCACCATACATACCAAAATTATAATAAATCAATTATGAAAACATGCCTTTTTTAGACATGATCAGAAGAGATACTGCTCCTGAAATGGTTTGTACTCAATATGTAGATTGGGATCAAGATTTTTGATAGATAAATTCCTCATTATAATGATATGTCTTTTCTTATTTTTTATAATATTTTAATAACTATCTTTATATGCTTTTATTTATCAATTTTATAAATATTATTAATCTCATGAAACTTTATATATGACAATATTTCCATTAAGAAATTAACTACTGAAATAATGATAAAAAAATTTCAGATTAGTTTAATTATTTTATTTTATAATAAAATTATGCAATAAAGAAAGAGAGTTAAGACTTTGTTAGATTATAATTAAATTGAAAAAAACCTTCTCAATAGTGGGTTATCAGAAAAAGAAAAATCCATTGTGAATTTAGCTATACGAGAAAGAAAATTTAATCTAAGAACAAGAATTAAATCAGTTAATTCGAAGGCGGAACTCTGCAAAAATTATAGAGAATATGAAGATAAGATGAAACTGTCAATTGCTTAAATTGTTGATTTTGAATACAAATAATCTAGATAAAGTGTTCCAACTGTTAAACATAAAGGTTAGTTCACAACAATATTTTCCATTCCTAAACCAAGGTATGATCCTTCCATAGTGTATGGTTCATAAAACAATAAAACAGTACTTCAAATTAATGAGATACTTAAAAAGCTATGATAAATTAATATTAATTTAAATCATATACTACTATCCTTAAATCATCCTTTGCTACTCAATTTTGTTTTTATTTCCAATTGAAGAAAAAAAATAATTGAATTTAACAATCATTTAAGAAAATTTCTAATTAAAAATTAAGTTTAATAACTATTTTATGAGTGAATTTATTGATAGTATTCCTTCCAGAATAGTTATTAAAAATGATTAAGAAATAATTTATTTTATTATGAGATAGTCAATAATTTAAATAAATAATTAAATATATGACAGTAATTAATTTAGAATTTGTTAATAGATGAAGCATCTTGTATGATATTACTTCAATATTTAATTATAGATATATTAATAAATAAAATTAATTTAATCATATTTTTTTATGAGTATCTAAGTAATATAACATAAGTAATATGAATTTGAAAAATTGGAAATATTACTAATTTCTTAGAATAAATGGAGTCAGATAAAAATGAGAAGTAATATAAAGTGGATATAATAAATAGATATATATATATATGTATTTTATTATTAATAAAATATATAAATAAATTAATAATGGATCAAGATGTATTTCTGAAAAAGTAATGGTTTATCATGACACATGAAGGAAAGATTGAATAATTTTATGATATCAATTTAAAAAAAGTGATTGGATCTGGAACTTATGGAAGTGTAGTGAAGGCAACACTGAAGGGTACAAAGAATTAAAGAGCAGTGAAGGTGATTCCAAAAAGCAAAGTGAAAAATCCAGATCGTTTTAAGAAAGAGATTGATATATTGAGATAATTAGATCATCCAAATATCATAAAATTATATGAAACTTTCGAAGATCAAAGAAATGTATATTTGGTGATGGAGTATGATATTGTATGAGTTATAAAGACTATGTGAAGGAGGAGAATTGTTTGATCGTATAATGGACAAAGGTTACTTCAGTGAAGCAGAGGCTCATGAAATCTTTCTTTAGATAATGCAGGTAATATAATAAATAATAAAATTATAGGCTTTAAATTATTGTCATACAAATGGTATATGTCATAGAGATTTAAAGCCAGAAAACTTTTTATTTTTAACAAAGGCTGATGATTCTCCAATAAAAGTAATTGATTTTGGATTGAGTACTTTATTTGAAGATCCAATAAGTTAGAAAGCATCAGGAAGTCAAAAAGTAACAATGAAAACAAAAGCTGGAACTCCATATTATATATCTCCAGAAGTATTGAAAGGAAGTTATGATGAATCTTGTGATATTTGGAGTGCTGGGGTGATTCTATATATTTTGTTATCTGGAGTGCCTCCATTTTATGGTGATAGTGATCCTGAGATATTGGATGCTGTATAGAAAGGAGAGTATACATTTGAAATACCAGAATTAAAATAGGTGAGTGATTCAGCTAAGGATTTAATATCACATATGATTACAACCCCAGATAAGAGATATAAAGCATCTTAAGTAATATAACATAAATGGATGAAAGATGGTAGTAAAAATACAAAATGTAAATAAATAAATATTTTAATAATTAGAATTGAAATTAAACTTTGGATAATTAAAAAACTTTAATGGTAGTAATAAATTAAAGAAGGTAGCTTTGACATTTATAGCTTCATAATTGAATGAATAGGAAATAGCTGATTTAGGAAAGTAGAATATATTATTAAAAATATCTTAGATTATTTAAATAATTAGATAAGAATGGAGATGGTGTACTTACAATTGATGAATTAAGAGAAGGATTAATTGGAATGAGTGATGTTTAAGCTAAAGAATTGGGGAATATCATTAAGAGTATTGATACTGATGGAAATGGAACAATCAATTATACAGGTTATTATAATCTTATGATTATGGGTAGAATTCTTAGCTGCTACAATGGAGAAATCTTTGTATATGAAAGAGGAGAAATTATATTAAGCTTTTAAGATGTTAGATTTAGATGGAAGTGGTAAGATTGATAAACACGAATTACAAACAGTTTTAGGAAGTATTAAAATTAAATCTTATTGTTTTTAGAGAGTGAAAAAATCATTGATGAAAAGTATTGGGATGATATGATCAAGGAAGCTGATAAAAATGGAGATGGCGAGATCGATTATAATGAATTTATTGAAATGATGGACAAGTTTAGTTTAATGAATTGATCAATTATTTTATTATTATAAATTTATTAATATATGACAGAACCCAAAGCATAATATGATGAGTTGTATAAAAGTAAGATTTTCTATTATTCTTAGTCATCTTAGTTGGTGATTCAAGTGTTGGAAAGACTAGTTTTCTTATTCGGTAGCAATTTAAAATTCAAATTAGATTAACCAAAAATGTTATAAAAAAATAATCATAACCAACTATCGGTGTAGAATATGCAGCCTAATCCATTTTACTTGCAGATGTTGACAAAATAGTCAAATCTGTTATCTGGGATACTGCAGGTGCTGAAAAATACAAAGCTATAACAACAGCTCATTATAGGAAATCTGAAGGAGCTTTGTTATTTTATGATTTATGTGATAAGAATTCATTTGATAATGTTTTAAGTTGGCGTTAAGAAGTTATTATTCATTAATACTTTAGATTCTATAACATACAGATGATAAAATTATGATCATGTTAATTGGTAACAAACTAGATTTGTTACAAGAAAATCCCTAGAATAGATGTGTCTCGGTCGAAGAAGTTGAACAAATCTGTTAATAACATAATATGCTCTATAATGAAACTTCAGCTAAGGAAGGAACCAATGTTAAAGAGTGCTTTGAATTATTTATACGGAGTATATTGTGTTCAAATTGATAATTAGAAATTTATGAATCCAAACAATTCAATGTTGAGGAAGAAATGCAAGTGTCAAGCTAACGATATGAAAATGATAATCCCAAATCAGAGAATAAAACAGAAGAAAACCCTATGCAGCCCCCATACAGTATTAAACAAGATAAACCAAAAATAATCCCTTCTGAAAATTGTTGTGGAACTTCTTGATTATTATTTATCATTAATTAAATAATTATTTTAGTAAATCACAACTACTTTCTATTAACGGCTTTATTGCAGGTACAGCAAAAATAGGAACTTCGAAATTCAAAAATCCATGATTTATTCCATTATATATAAGCATTCTAAATTTCTTATCTAACTTTCTCAATCTATTTACAAACTTTATTGTATCACCAGTTAGACTATCCAATTAACCACACATTATTGTCATTTTTGGCAATCTAAATACTATTAAAAATCCTTTTTACTTTTATAAAAATTAATCATCAGCTATTAATGGACTCAAATAAGGATCAACATTCGGCATTCCATTCGTATCCTTTAAGTACTCATGCAGTGCTAATTTTAATACAGTTGCTGGAGCTACTTAATCAATTAATCCTTATAATAAATAAGGATTGAATTTAGTTAGATCTAAATTTACTGCTGGATAAGCCATGAACAAACCATCAGGAATTCTGATTCCATATTTGATTGCTCTAAAACAAACACCTAAAGCCATATTCCCACCTGCAGAATCGCCTGCCAATATTATCTATTCTATTGTTATATTCAAATAATATTGACTAAAATTGATAATCCATAAATATAATTGCCAAACATCTTCTAAAGCATAAGGGTATCGATATTCAGGAGCCAATCTATAATCTATCGAGAATATTATAGTATCTTCTCCTAAATAATTTGCCCATTTTCTTGTGTAAGATTGATGACTAAATGAAGACATAGCCACCCATCCTCCACCATGTATATGTAAAACAACTTTTTTTATTTTAGTATTTCTATTGTCTTTTTAAATTACCTAACTTATTTAATGATGTTCTGAACTCATTTCAGTTACTTTCTACACTAATTAAGTATAATCAACATCTTTGTATAAAACTATCTTATTTGCTGAAAGAATTCTCACTTTTATTTTCTACTATTTTTATTTGAATAATAATTCTTTAGCTTAAAGTTTATTATAAAGATCATCAACCATTTTAAAACCCTTAAACTTTTCTTAAACATATGTATTATTATCATGATGATATTTAAATTGATCTTCTCTAAATAAAAATGGAACATTAATTTTTAGATGTGATTTCACCTTACAATTTGTCAGTTTCATAAAATTCTTAAAAAATGTTGAATTGTTTTAAATACTCCATAATCCCTAAACAAAAGAGAGTGATGGATTTGTGATTTCTTTGATTTTTATGTTTCTTGCTGCTTATTTTTTTACTAACATAACAGCTCCACCTACATTTTAAACGATTAAATTTATCAATTAGTTTGAATACATTGATCCAAGTGTACAATAAGCTGCACCCATTGCTATGTAATCATAAAATAGATCAAATTATTTAGATAATGATAATGGATCATCTATCTTATTTTTAATTCTAATTATACATTAACATATTCTATATATCGGTTTAATCCAATCCATTCTTCATCAGTCTAAGGTTTACAAAATAAGTCATCTAAAGGTACCTTAACTACATTTGGTATGAATTCTCTTATCTACTCATTTTATTCAAAAATTACCAACTATAGTCTCTTGATTACGTAGTTAAAATTCAATTCATATTTTTTTACTTCCTTAACGACATCTTGACAATTAAAAAGAATCTCTAAATCTTATAAAAATGGGTGTATGATTTTGTCTGTTATGAAAATCAAACATTATTCATACAAAGGATGATTAATTTTATAAATTTCCAATTCTTTTTAACATTCATTTATTTCATTGATCCATTCTTATTGACCTTCTATTTGACTTAGAAGAAGCTAACATTTTTATAGAAAATAAAGAGTATTGCATATAATATTGTCATTCATTATTTTTAATAATATACAATAATATTATTAAAACCAAGAATTTGAATAGATATTTGGTATAAGTTAATTTATATAAAAAAATAAAATAATGAAATATCTTTAAAAAAATCATTCTCTTTCTTATTTGAAATCGTGTTATTTTGAAAAATAGTGGCTCAATCTATTTGAATGTCTTAATCATTAAATCTAAATTTTAAGCTTCAAAAAATTTTTTTGGCATTTTGGTTCTTTATAATAAATAAAATTCTAAGTATTTAAATATCGATTGTCAAATCCAAAATTATTATTGATTACTTATATTTCATCAGATTTTTATGTAATAGAAAATTATTAAACATCCAAATTCTATAATCAAACCTTTAAGAAATAAAGTTATATTTAATTGATATATTATTTATGGAGGAAAAATTGGATTAGGAATCCAAACCTAAAATTTAATGAAATTATATAGAAAAACATCTATTGAGAAATTGCTATAAAAAAATATCTTGCTAAAAATATGTAAATGATGAATTCATAGGGTACAGAAATTCAAAAAATAACTAGCTTATCAAAAATTAATCATCATCTAATGAAGCTAAACAGATAAGATTGATTAAATACTATTAGCATTTTAAAAGCTCAACCCTTAAATCAAAAGATTAAGACTGCATATGATAATAAATATTATTATGAAAACTATTTATCAAGTGCAGATGAAAATTTTTACTTTTTTTTTAAATGCTTAATTCTGCTATTACATTATTTCTTATTTAACTTATTCAAATTAAAATGAATTAATGATAAATTGATAAAAATATAATTTTTACTTTAAGATAAAAATTTATTTTGTTTGTAGAGTAAAAGTTAATATTTAATCTTTAATTGATATCTAAAATATGGTATTCTACATTAAATCACTGCAAAATACATAAAATTTGTGTCGAGAAAATACTTTATTAAATGAGAATAATATCAAAGTTTTATTTTAATAGAATCCTTTCGGAAAATTGAGAGTTTTGGGGAGTAGAGACAATATTGTAAAGTAATGCTATTCTTAGATATCTTAGATATCTCTGTAGATAGTAAAAACAATAGTTTAAGTGAAATAATTTGAGAATTAATCTATTTTTGAACAGAATTTTAATTTAATTTAGATGAGATAATATATATAAAACAAAACTTTATCAATCTGTTAATATGAGTTTGACTATAGATTCACGTATTCCAGGTAGAGTATCTAAATTATGATTGGAAAAGGATTTTAAGATTCTTTCGATGTTAGTGTGACATTATTAGACAGTATAAATTCCTTTGTATTATTATTATTTTGTTTATAATGTTTTGCAATCAGACCGTTAAAGATCTGTTGAATCTTCATCTTCACTTTCTGAGATATCGAATTGTTCAGATCCTTCTTGTGAAGTATCCAAAATATTTGGTGATGAAATTACATCAACTGAAGAATCATCTTCCTATATCTTTACTTTCTTTTATTATAACAACTATTTAGTTAAATTATAAAAGTTACATATTAATATCTATCGATACAACTTTATGGATTCTTTTCTTAAAATCTAGGTGTTATTTGATTCCATGCTCCTTTATATATTTTATAAGCTATCCAAAGCATCTTATCATCCATTGCATTCCAAACATTCTAATATTGATTTTATACTTATTTTTAATATTATTCTCTTTTCTACTACTATTATTATTGTAACTATTATATTTTATTTGGTTATTTGGCTAATGCTTCTTGAAATTATTATAAATGCATAGATTCACTAGATGATTCTTCATTATAATCAAATTTTGGATTATATTTTCTAGGTATTTCTTTTTTTTATTTCATTTATTTCTTCATTTTATTTAATTAGTTATCCTTGTCTGAAAATTCTTCTCTTGCTAATGCTTCTAATCTCATTAGAGTTTCTTCTTTCTATTCATATTATATTCTTTTACTTATTTTAAAATTTTCCATCTTGCCTAACATTATCTTGAATCTTTAGATGGAATCTCATCTTAAATTTTACTCCATTAGGTTCCATATTTTCTTATTGCTTTTAATAACAACTCATCTTCTACTTCTTTCCATTTTTTTCTAGTTGGTAATTGTCTGTTTCGTTCATGTCCATCATTCTTGTGACAAAAATCTAAGAATTCGTTTATCATAAATAATTCAATGAGTCTTCATTCAAATCACTTTATTAGAAAATTTATATAATGATTATTTTATTTAATATTAAATATGATTATTATTATTTCTGTCTCAGATAGATTTCAACACCATTCAGTCCACGAATAACATTTTTAATTAGATATTGATCCCAATTAAAATGTAGAAAATCTTAAAGTAAATAACCAATCGCTCAAAGGTACTCATTACACTAAGATTCGTTGATTTGGGTCCCGATCAATTTAATTTATAATGCGTTGCTACGAATCAAGTACTTTTAAATGAAACTCCAGTTCATACTATTATGAAAAACGATATGCAATAAATTCATGTACAAATTGTACCTGTGACATCGTCCTTTTGCAATTTAATTTGATCTTATTTTATTTATAAGTTCATAATACATTTTTATTAGGTCATATTATAATCTCCCTTTAACTAAGTTATTTGTTATACATATATATATTCATTACCATAAAAATTAATGTTATTATCAATTCTACTTTTACTCTATTCTAATAATTATATATATACTTCTTTTAATGTAATATATGTAATTTATAATTATAATTTTGAATGAATTGTTTGACGTCTTCATTTATATAAATACTTAAATATTTTTAGTTATGAAAATTATTAAATTTTGTTATTTTATTGTTGAAATTGGTAAATTTGAATATCGCCTAAGGCATCTTCATTAAGTTTAGAAGTTTAATTTAATTTAATTACTGATGTAGTATTTCATCAGATATTGATATATTATATAAAAATAATAACTGCCGACAAAATTTATAACCAACCATTGAAAACATACAAAAATCATAATTAATTGATTTATTATGGCTAATATCAAGGAACAATTAGATTAGAAAATGCAAGCATAAAAATTTGATGAGGCTATTGAATTAGCCAATACGATACCTGAAAACAATATAATGAGATTTTTCTATAAAGCAAGATGTTATATAGCAAAATAGGATATGAATGAAGTCATAACATAGACACATCAAGGCTTACAATTAAATATACCGGCACCATAAAAATTCCCTCTTTATGGAATGAAAGCTTAAGCGCACCTAGCATTATAATAATTTAATGAGGCTGCTGAATGCTTTTCACATGCATATGAAATATAAAAAGATAAGACTGATTAAGCTGTGTTAGCATCATATGGCCGTGCATTAATGAATTCTTAACCATAATAATTAGAAAAGGCAATTGAAATTCTTTAATTAGCAATCAGTAAAGGTGAGAATACTCCAAATGCTGTTATTATTTATGGTAATCTCGGAAAAATTTACTTTGATCAAAAGGATTATCAAAAAGCACTTGATATCTTTAAAAAACTTGTAACTATTGGAACTTAAGATAAAGATAAATTATTTACTATATGGAAAAGTAAGGCAACTTGCGAAACAAATCTAAACTTGAATTAAGATGCCAAAAATTCATTTTTAGAAGCTCAAAAATTAGATCCAAATAATTAAGATATTATAAAAGGATTAGCCACTCTTTTTTCAAATGAAATGATTTCATGTGAAAATAAGCATGATTACTAAAATTGTTTAACTAATGCAGAGGAATTATTAAAGTTAATTACTTCTGATGATAATCCTTTGAAAGAGAATGCCCTTTATTGTAAAGCTTTAAGTTATCACAGATTAAAATATGGAAGAGATTAAGTTATTTAAGCTTATTAGGATGTTTTAAAAGTTAATTAAAATCATACAAATGCTATTTCAAATTTAGCTAATATATATTATGTTTAAGAAAACTTTGAAATGGCAATTTAATTATATTAAAAAGCATTAGAAATCTAATAAGATTCAGGTTATTGGAGTAATATGGGATAATCTTATTTATCATTAAAATAACCAAACTTTGAAAAATCACTTGAATGTTTTAATAATGCTATAAGATTGAATCCTAATTACGTATTACCTTTAACAAATAGAGCTATGTTATTGATGAGATAAAATAAAAAGTAAGAAGCTATGGCAGATTTAAAATAGGTTTCAATTTTAATATAAAATCCAGAAAATGTAGCTAATTTAGAGCAATCTTAATTACAATACATTTAATCTGGAGTTCATAAAATTATGGAAATAGAAAATGAATTTTAAAGAGCAAAAAAGGCTGCTTAAGAAGCTTTGGCTAAATAAAATCAATAAGATCCTGAGATTATAAGAATTTAATAGGAATTAGAAAAAATTTAATAAGAAATAGATGCATAGAATGCAGCAGAATTATCATAAATGGCTTAAAAAGAATAATAATAAAATGTGAAAAAAGTATCAAAAGAAGAGATGAAATAAAGAATTTAATAATTATTGGCTGAAGCAGAATAATCTTAGAAAAAAAACGAAGAAAAAATAGAAGTTATTAAAGTTGAATAAAAAAAAGAAGATATAAAATTAGATAGAATAGAAAAAAAAATTGATGAATTAGAGGAATGTATAAAAGTGGTTGGTTTAGATAAAGTTGCTAAAGTAAAAGAAAATTATGCAAAATGGAGAACAGAATATGTAGAAGGATATAATTATGCAAAAGCATTTTATTGGACTTTTATAAATTATTGTGATGCTTAAAAAATAGCAAGTACAGAGATCGTAAGTTAAGAAAACGGATATTCTGTTGGAACAACTACTAAAGTAGCAGTTAAAGTAACATAAGCTGTATTAGATTTTGGTGCAAGTATTCCAATATTTGGAGCTATTTTTTCAGCAATTAATGGTGCAATTGGAGCAGTATATGAAGAATATGAAAAATTTTAAGATGAAAAGAGAAGAAATGCAATTTTGAAACTCATTATGTATAATAAAGATGCTGATGATAAAGAGGGTTGGAGCATGTTAGTTGCTACAGCTGCTTAATTAATAGCAGCAAGAAAGAGAAAGTATTTTGAAGCAGGAAGAGTGGAGAAAGCAAAATCTCGTTTTGCCTCATTTGTTGATAAAGTTTAAAATTTTATTAAGGATATAAAAGATAAAGCAAGTGGATAAAAAGTGGATTTATATGAATCTTGGGGAGGTTAAGAAGCATCAGAGGATATAACAATATTATTAGCATTTGTTATGAAAAATCACGAAGAAATGGTTGTTAACACCTCATAATCTTTAGATATTACTATAGCTGATATTGTTTATTTAGAAGATGGTTAGGTTTCACCAGCATTTTAATCAATGTTAGATATGGTGAAAAAAAGAGAAGAAATTGAGAATCCAAAAAAAGAAACAGATAGAACAGATAGTTCTTGCACATGCTAATTGATTTGATTATTTAAAAAAATTAATCATAATTTTGTCTAATTATTTATATATTAATTGATAGTAAAATTATTTTATAAGGTAGTAAGTATGAAATGAAATCTCAACTAATGTTATTTGATCTTTTTACGATCCTCTGTAAAATATCAGCTAGATTATTTAGCTCTGATATATATCTAAAATAATTGATAAAATATACCCTCTAGGAATAGTAGTAACTTCTTAAGTTGATAATGATTAGAAATGAGAGGTCATCCTAACAATATCTGTCAGAGGGAATTTCTCAACATATCTACTTGATAATTGAGGAGATTGATTTCTTTAATAAGTAGTTTATTTAGGAGGATTGAATGCATCCTTAAAAGAAAAGGCTTATTTTGGATTATCAAATAAATTATTCCTATTATTCTTAGAATATAGAAAATTAGATTAATTGTTATCAAACAATCCTTTCTAAGCTTCATTAACATATTTGTAAAATCCTGGTTTGTCTCCAGTTGGTGATATTTTATTTGTTATTGATTTATTTTGTAGAATCAGTTAGACATCTAAACGATTATCCCAATTTTTAAATCTTTCTAATTTTTCTTTTGATTTTTAAGGGGAATCCTTATATCCAGGTCCAAGAGTATTTTATCTGACTGGTTTAGGAAAAGATGTAAATGAATTATCAAGATAATCATTAGAGGAAGATCTCTTAAATAATTATTCAACTTTATCTTTATTATTTTTTATTTATGGTCCTTTATTAGTAAATATTTCTTCATAATTTAATCCTCCAAGTAATTTTTATTTTTTTGGTGATTTTCTACTTACTTTTTATTATTCTCTATTATCATATTAATCGAAATAAATACAATACTGCCTTTTCTGCTTTACTCCAGGAACCAAATAATGATGAAGATTTTTCTTATGGTTAAATAAATGGTTCTCTAGATGAGACATTTGTTCTTACATCTCTTCTATAATCAGCTAATTATTTTGTATTTAATTAATTAGTTGTTTAAAAAGTAGCAAATCCGCTTGAACTATTTGATTTTTCATATCTAGATTGTTTTTAAGGTGAAAATAGTGAAGGTGAACGCATATGTTACAAAAATTAATTATAACAAACAAAAATTATTAATAAAAATTATTTTTAATAAAAGCTCATTTACACCAATCAAACTAATAATCAACAGTAATTTTCTCCTATTAACAAATACTTTCTAATAAACTTTTTAAATATTTATAATCAGGTTCTTCTTCAAATTCTAAATTTCTTGCATATTTTAATATCAAACCAAATTCTTTTGGAACACCTTTACATAATTCATCATAAGTCGTAGTCATTTTCTTCTCCATTATTCTTTCATATCTTATAATAATAAATTAAGATATACTTTTCTCTTTTATTTTTAGCTCTCATATTTTACCAAGGCAAAGTTGATTTTAAAAAATAAAATAATACATAAGCCATACATTCAATATCATCTCTTCTACTTTATTCTAATTTATAATAATTAAATATCTTACCTACACCTAAATGAGTATTTAAACTACAATATCTAGCAGTTCCAGTCAAAGTCTTTGATTCTCTATAAGGAATATGACCATTCTCTTTAACAAATCGTTTTGCTAATCCAAAATCTAAGATGTAAATTTTATTTTATTTGTTTAGTTTTCCAATCAAAAAATTATCAGGTTTAATATCTCTATGTATAATCCCTTTTGAATGAATGAATTCTATCCTCTCTAAAAATTGTAATCCAATCATAATAACGGTTTTTAAAGAAAACTTTTTTTTTTTTGATGCAAAGATTTCTTCTAAAGATGCTCCCAATAAATCCATTACCATAAATGTATATCCACCTTCTTCTGATGTATAATAAACATGTGGTATTCCTCTATCAATACTTGAATTATCAGCTAATAATCTTTTATAAATTTCATGTTCATATCTCAATTAGGGACATTAAGAAGAAACAGGTTCTAATTTTATAGCTACTTCAATATTATTTTTTGTATTAACTCCTAAATATATATCTCCAAAAGCACCAGAACCTAACTTTTTTTTTAATTCAAAATTTTATCCAATTTTTTGCATTAAACGATTCTTAATTATTATATTATACACATTCAATTTTAACTATTATCAAATATCTTTATATTATTATATATCAAATACTTTATTAAAAAACAGTTTCTTAAAATAATTAACTATAATAGGTTAATAATTTATCTAAATATATTATTTTTAAATGGATAAGACCTATTATAATTTGTAAATATTTTGTCAAACTAAATTAAAGTAGATATTAACTTATTTAATAAGAACATTAATTTTAATTCTTCAAAAAGAATGTATTGTGTAAATTTGATTAATATACTTTAATGTTTTCAACTTTGAAATCATGTGTGCATAAAAATATGTAATAAAAAAAGAAATCAAAATACTAATTTGTTTAAAAAATATAAAAAATCAGATTTCTATATGATTTTTTTATTGGAAAAATACAATCAATTCAATAATGATAACAATGATTGATGCCATTAAATATATGTATTTGACCAATTATGTTTATTAAGTACTGTTTGTTAATTGCAACTATGATTGTTTTTTTTGTTCATAAGAAAAGTATTAACCCAATATCATGCATTAAATTCCAAATATAAGAGAACCAATCATTAGGATTCCATGAAATTTGAGACTTGTTATATACATAATGGATAAGACAATTAATACTTTGATTAGAGTGAGACCATAATCTTAACTCACTTATAGATCAAAATAAAATTATAATTATTATTATGCTGAACACTTTTCTTGTTTATAATATTCTATATTTACATAACATTTATTGTTACAAATATAAAGCATAAGCGATTGCCCCAATATGAAAAGAGCCACAAACTCTATATATTTAAATGATATTTATGTACCCAACTTATTAACTAACGATGGCTTAAAAAAGAGTAGAAGAGATTCCACTCATAAAATATAATAAAATTGTATTTTTAAGACCAATACTATGTTCAATGAAAGAAAAGAAATGCATTTTAAACAAAAGTGAAAAGAACAAATGTGTTTCATTTTTATGTTGTTCTAGACTTAAAATCAATCTCCAGAATTCTGATTTTGCATAAATTGGATATAATTAACCAAAATTAAATAAGACTTTCTAATGAGGTCTTAAAGTAAATAATGTAGTTTATTAATAAGCTAAGGATAGGAAATAATGCATAAGATCAATGATAATTATCCAATAAGTGAAACTGTTTCTCTAATTAAATTAAATAATTTACTTTTAGTAATGGACAAATTGAGAAATGAAGCATTTAAAAGAATGATTCTTATCTTGGATTTGACTAAATTTAAGAGTTCATTTTTTTTATATTTATTTTAATATGATGACAAAAATTTGATTTATAAAACTAATAAAAGTAAAACATGAACCTTTTTGCAGAATTTGTTAATCTTCATTATTCACCAACTCCATAATAATAAGAACTTTTAGAACAAACAAATATTGAGAACTTATTATAACCATAAGTAGAATAAACAAATGAATTGAAATTTAAAGAACTTTTAGACTCTTATTTAGATTCCTATAATAATACTTAACCTCCAAAAATAAAGGATCCTCTTGAGAGATTTCATTTACCAATATCAGAATGGGTAGATTAAACAGTATTTTTATGGGAATTCCCTTAAGATGTGTTGGGCCAATTAAATAGAGGATACTTTAAATTATAAAATATAAAACACAATCATGGTTAATAATAAGTAATGTTAACTCAATAACTCAAAACAAGTTAAGAGAATATAGAAAAAAGTAATTTATAAATGAACTTATCCAAATATATTGAATATATATAGGATCCAATAGATTTCTTTTATAAAAATAAGCAATATCATCCTAATAAAATATTATCTTTGTTTGATTTATAAATTGAGAGTTGGGAAGAAGAGTCATACAAATTATATGAATATTTACCTTAATGTTTTCTTAAAGAAGATGGGTTAAGTTATTTAAGAAATAAAATAAAGAATATTAATTAACTTTTACTTAATATTCTCTCTCCAGGAAGTTGGTAAGGTATTAAATAAGAATCTGGAGCAGTTAATTTACTTAATCTAAATCATGGACCTGGTGATTGTTTATGGACAGTTATAGATCCAGAATATATTGAAATGTTGTTTTCTAAAGAAACTCATTTTATATTATAGGAAGGTAATCATTATTTAAAAAGAGAATTATTAAAAAAATATGATATTCCTTATAAAAGATTTATTTAAAGACCTGGAGATCTTGTTGTTTTAGGTGCTGGATCTTTTTATTAAATAGAATCATTATAAACAACTATTACAACTGGTTGGAGTTATTTAGCTATGAATTCATATTCTTATAAATAAATGATGAAGAGACAAAAAATTAATATTAAATATTCAATTAAACCAGAACTCCCTCTTAAAAACCTATTTTTAGATATTTTTATTCATCATCATAATGAATAATTAAAAATCTATCTTTAAGAATTTCTTACATAAGAATTAGAAGTTATTAAATAATATTAACATAAAAAGAAAATATACTCAATAGATATTAATTATTCTCTAAGAAAACATTACTTTTGCACTGAATGCAAAGAAGAAATATTTTTATGTTGTTATAAAAATTAATAAAAAGTCTTTTGCTTATAATGTGACAAAGTTAAATATTATTAGGTATAATGTAAATACAATATTAATATCTTATAATTAATTCTATCTTCTTAGGATAAAATTAAATGTTCTTATCATTATTGTTCATAATCAGAATAATAAAATACAAAATGTATTGCAAAATTTAAATAATAAAAAAAAAAGAAACCTACTAGTCCTTAATCAATAAAAGAAAGTTCTACATCCAATATAGAAAATGTACTAAGATAAAAAAGCTATATTTAAGAAGAAGAAAAGGAATCCAATTAATAAAAATTAAATAATAAATAAGATCAAAAACAAAATAAAAAATAAGAAGTAGTTGTTAAACTAGAATCAACTAAATCAAAAAAATAAATCAATTTAAAAACACTTAAAATTAATAAGATTAAAAATATCTAAAACTAAAAAACAATTGAAATTCCTAATGAAAATAATGAAATTATTTAAATTGTTGATGAGCCTCCAAATCTTTAAACTTATGCAATTACAACCAGAAAAAGATAATAAATATTGGAAAATATAAGAGATGAAGATCTAAAGAAAACAAAATAAATATTTACAAAACCAGTTATTAAATCAGATAAATAAAAAAAAAAATTCACATCTATTTATAAGAAAGCAAGATTATCAGAAGAAGAAATGAATGAAATTTTAGGTCTCTAAAGTTAATAAACTTAAGAAAGAATTTATAAGAAAGGAGAGAAAATATTAACACTTTGAAAAACCTATTCATATTATAAAAAGATTATTTTTACAATAAATTATTAATATTTATTAAATTAATATATATATATATTTTTAAATTAAATAAAAAGAGATTTAATACATACTATTTTCATTCATTTTATAAATTTAATACATTTTAAGATTATGAATAGATAGCATGTTAAGATAGATGTCTTAAAAATTTTGGTTTTTCATTTTTTGTGAATTAAGATGATTTTCTCTATTTTTGATCTTAAATCTAATTGTTTGAATTAATATAATTTTTATCGTTTGGATTAAATTTTAAATTAGACAACAAAATACTTTAATCTGAAGGTTATTGTTTAGAAAATCCTGTATAATCAGATATAACACGTTTTCTCTTATTATCTGGATCATTTATATCAATTGTTTTGATAATACTAGCTGTCATTCTTGCTTATCTAATAAATCAAATTTTCAATCTTTTTACATTGTTGATTAATCATTTTCAAGTTATGAAGTATTAAATGGATTTGAAAATATACTCTAATTTCTGAATCTTAATCTCCAATCACTTTACTTTACTAATTAAATAAAACCAAGATTTGGTTAAAATTTTTCTGGCTTTTCTTATTTTTCCTATTTTTCTATAGAATCCTTCTTTTTATTTAAATCTTTTTTCGAATATTAACTTAGTTCCAATTTACATTTTTAACAACCCAAATTTGCTCCCAAACTAATTAAAAAAATTAACATTTACTTAAACATTTAAATAGCAAATTAGATATTATTTTCTATTAAAAAACCATTTTATGCAATTTTTCCTCTATAATAAAAAGTTAAATTTTCAGAACTATTTTGAATCTAATCTAATTAATCCAATAATTATAAAAACTCTTATAAATTGATTTTATTATTAATTAAATGATTATATTTGTTTTCTAAAATGAGTTTTGCACAATCTTGATTTCCTTTCATTGCACCTTATTCTAAAATTAACTCTGCCATAATTTAATTAGGCTATAATTCATCTTTTATACCTTCAATTAAAATTTTAGCCAAATCATAATAAGCTGGTAAATAATCCATATTTTTAGATTCTAATAACAAAGGATATACAAATTATATCCTATTCTATAAAATATAAAAGATGAATACTTTGTATATAGAAATCTTACACATCTTTTAATAAAGTTTAGCTAATTTATATTTGGCTTCAACATTATCTTATTTTTAAGCTTCTTTGAAATAAATCTCAGATGTTGAATAATCAATTTCAAGATGAACTTCATATATAATATCTATATACAATCCTCTGATTTAAATCCTAAGAAATACAAATCTCCCAAATAGATCATAGATTCAGTATGTCCTTACTCAGAAGCTATTTTTAACAAAGAAATTGCAAATTGGCATTCATCAATCCTAGAATTGTTTGTATTATTCAATTTACTGGTAGATTTTTATGCTTCTCCAAATACTTTATTTTAAACTTTACCATCCTATAAAGTTTACTTAATTATGAATACTAATATTAATTTTGACATAAAATAAATTCCAATTTGACAGTTTTAGTCTGCACTTTCTTAAAAGTATTCATATGCCTAATTATTTACATTAAAAATATATATACTTTTTCATAATTTCTCTAAAAAATTTACCCTTCTAGAATTAATTAACCTAAAATGGCTTTTGCTAAACCATTTCCTTGTTTAGCTAAATCTTCAAATAATTATATAGATTATAATTAATTCTTTTGAAGACCCAATCCACAATATTATTGTAATGCCTAAAGGATTTTTTTTTATTAAAACGATTAAGTTTATATAATTTTCTTTTATTCTAAAATAAGCGAAGAAGCTTTTGAAGATTAAATCTAATTTCTTTCTTAAATTATAGCTATTTTCCATTAATCAATTTTATTGACTAAATCTGTTTCTTTTACTAATGATTCTTTTTATATTTTTATGGTTGCTTACTAATTTTCTAATAATATTAAATTCTCCCAAAAAAATGTAAATTATTGCAATTTTCTTACATATTAATCAAATTATTTTAATAGTATCATTTTACCACAAGATTTAGAAGAGAATAATATTTAAAATAAATCTTAGAAATCTTATAATAATCTAATAGTATCTCTCTCTATATTTAATATAGTTTAATTAACCAAAATTTTAATTTTATCATACTCTGATATTTCTTAAACAATTTTATTTAATTTATTAAGAGTATTAGTAGTCATTTCTTTATCATATGGTTTTATGAAATCTGACCGATTTGTCAAATCTAAAAGTGATACTATAATGAATTATGTATTTTTTACTTATCACATTAGATATCATTTAGTCTTTAAATACAAATTTTGCTTTGGAGTCTTAAAATTAATTTGGAATTACTTTCTCCAAATAATTTTAGAATTCCAATATACAATCATCTAAAATAATTGATTATGTTTAATTCGCAATGCTACTATAAATATTTGGGATTATTTAATCTATTCCTAAATTCATATTGTATTTTAATATTAATTTATAAATATTAAATTAGCCACAGCTAGGAATATTTTAATCAAAAGAGTGGTTGACTTATTTTAATCATCATTACCAAAAACAAAAATTATATTATATTTAATTCAATTTTTCAATCTTATTCGATTGATTTCCTTTCTTAGTTTAACTAATTTTATTAACTTAACATAAATTGAGTTTTGAATTACTACAATTAAATAAATTGTACATCCAAGTATCCTGGAGGAAATTTTATATTTATATTTAAATCAGTAATAGTTTCTCCATTTTATTAAGCTTCAATTATCATTTTCTAGAGTAAATCAATATAATTATATTTATTACAGCGAATTTTTCTCTATCAGTTTTGTTCCCTCCATCATGTTTCAGTTTGATATGCAAATTTAAAGAAACGTCACTTCCATATTATTTATTACATTTTTCATAAGGACAGACAAAAGATTTCTCTATTTCTTAGGAAGTACGTCTATTTTTCTTTTTATGTCGATAACTCAAAGCTTAATGCAACTCTAGTTGTAATTTCTATGCTATCTCTAGAATGAATTACATCGATTTCAACAATTAATTCATGTAATTTTTAATTTTATGAATGTAATTCATTCACTTTTTTTATGGTCATTTCATTCAGAATATAATATCTCCAGAATTCTTTGTAGTAGTTGATATCATTATTATATTCTAATTTTGAAAAAACATATACATACCTTAATTTTAATCCTTATTTTGAAGTAATAATTCAGCAGATTAATCATCAAGCGATGATTTTAACTCTTATAACTGTCTTAATTTTCTATTTAATTCATCATCTACAATATTCCAATCCCTCGACTTATTCATTAACTGTAATATATAATTATAATTAAATCAAATAATAAATAAATATAGGAGAATCTGGCTTTCTTTCTTAATAATTTTTTCTTAAAACATTCTAGTATTAACCAATTAAATTTCTAATATAATCCTCTTATAGAGAGTTACATAATAATAGAATAATTATATTGTTATTTAATAGAAACTAAATATATATATATATAAGTTAACTAAATTGTTATTTATTTTATTCATAGAATTAAATATCCTATCTTAATGATTAAGACTTAGCTCAAAATTTAATTGAATGCAGCCTTAAAAAAGAATGTTTTTTTTTTTAATGATAAATTTCATATTAATTTTGCTAAGTTAAGTATAAATAAACGATCAAAATAATTAATAATGTAAATAGAGAATATCCAATTAAAATTGAATAAACAAAATGAATTATTTAACTTACATTATAAAGTTTAAATCATAAAATAAATTTTCCAAAACAATTAGATAGAAATTATACCAAAAAATATGTAAAATAATTTTGAAATATATCTTTCTTTATTGTCTCTCTATGTAAATAATAAAAAAAACATAAACTAAACTCAGTGTGTAGTAAAATAAATAATTAAAAAAAAACAAAAGAATATGATTTAAAAAATTAGTAAGGAGAGAATATTTAAATTTTAAGAATGAAGAATTAAATGTTGAAATATTCATTTAAATTTTAAATAATAATGATTATGGCTACGAATAAACTTGTTTTATTTTTGAAAATGGGAGATGTTTTAAAATTATAAGAAAGTTTTTCCTTACTTATTGTCTAAGAATAATATTTTGTAAGAAAGTATTAATTAATGAAAATTTTGTTAATATTATTATTATCATAAAACACGTATGGCAATATTATTTGAAATACTGTTATTGATTGGATTTGCTGGAGCAAGCTTTTATATTGGGTATAGGTATTCGATTGATTTTCAACCAAAAGTTGATACACCATATAATCCAATTGATGATATAGAATCATCAAAAGGAAGAACAATAACAAAGTCTTAGTATTAGGCAAGATAAAAAGAACTTGATAAAGTTTTATAATAGATAGAAGAAGCAAAGTAAAAAGAGAAAAAGAAATTAGTTGAAATAGATTTACTAAGAGCAAAATCAAAGGACAAAGTACTTTCAGATTAAGATTTTAATAATTTGTTAGATGAATGATATATAGTTGTTATAGCATTTATATATTAAATTCATTTTAAACATTTAGAAGGGGAATGAGCAAGAATCATTTATTAACATATAAATTAAAACACGTTGATGCTAAAAATTCTATTGTTTTTGGTTGCTTTGACTTTTGCACAAGAAGATACTGAAGAAGAAATGTATAAGCTTCTATGATATCAAAGTCTATCAAGAAAAATTGGAGCTTGTTGGATAAAGACAATAAAGGATATAAATAATGAGAAAGAAAATATGAATCAAATTATTTAGAGTATTGAAAATGGAAATAAAACATCTATATTTCATAAAGTATAGATGTAAATGATTCTATCATGTGTTTAAGTTATTGATGTCAATAATGAAGTAAATAATATTAAAATAGATTTAGATCTTATCAAGTTTAGGTTACAAAGAGGTTGTTAAAGACTTTAATTATAAATAATTTATAGGAATAGATGTAAGTTTAACAAACGAAGAGGAAGCATTGCTCAAAATAATTAAGAAATTAGAAAAAGATTTAGGGGATATGGACAAAAAAAATAAACTTAAATAATCATATTAGAAAACTTAGAAGATTGAATCTGAATGGTAGAATGCATGGAAAGAATCATCATAAGAGTCTTCCTTAATATAAAAACCAAATTACTTTCATTATGCTTTTTTTCTAGTGTTGATTATTGCTATTTTTGGAGGAGGATATTGGAGTTTAAAATCAATATAAGGAATGAGTAATTAAAAGAATTAAAAGTAACGAAAAAGAAATTGAATTTTTTTATCCTTTATTAATTAGATCTTAATATTTTTAATAATATATATATTTATATAAATTAGAATGGATTAATCAGAGCATGAAGCTAAAGAAATGTTAAAGCCTTACTTAATATAATTGGCTTAATTAGAAGAAGCTGATAAGTTGAAATAAGCTTAAATTACAGCATTACGTTTGGCAATTGAATAATTGAAACAATAAGCATTGGATCATCAAAAGAAGTATGAAGAAGAATAAAAAAAAGATGGTATTAGAATGATTGATTAAAATATATAGCAAGAAAAAAGGGACCTGCAAAGAAATGAGTTTATTTCTACATTTAATTATTAACATAATAACTTATTATTTATAATATGATATTTAATTTAATTATAACATTACTTTATATCTATATTAATCAATTTCCATAAAGACCATCATCATCTTAAATTCTACTTTATTAACTTCTTCCAAATTATTAACCACCAGCTTCAGGCCATTTAAAAGAAAATCCACCTCATTTTTCTCCTTTGTTAAATGAAGGATCAAATTTTTATAAATCTTAAATTTATAGAAAATAGTATTACAATATTTGTAACTGATTTTCTAGCATGTCTAAGTGCTTCTTCAAAATGCTTACGGTTAAGATCTGGAACAGGCTCAGCTTTTATAATTTATGATTAAGTTTTATTTGGAGACATTTATTGGGCTTATTTTTATCTTGCTTCTGCTTCAATAACCTAAAAACTAATATTATATATATACATCTCTGACAGCAGCTTTTGCAGCTCTTTAACATATTTCAGTGATATCCGCACCTGAGAATCCATCAGTAATTTTTGCTAAATATGCAAGATTAACATTTTAAGCAACAGGTGTTTTTCTAAGATTAGCTTAGAAAACATTGAGTCTTGATGGTTCATCAGGTAAAGGAATGTAAATTAATTAATCTAATCTACCAGGTTTAATGATAGCTTCATCAAGTATTTCTGGTCTATTAGTAGCTCCAATATAGAATAAACTTTTTTTAGCACTTATTCCATCCATTTCAGTTAATAATTAATTGATAACTCTATCACCTGCACCGCCAGCATCACCTACACTATTACCTCTTTAAACAGCAATAGAATCTAATTTATCAAAGAATAAGACACAAGGTGATGCTTATCTGACTTTATCAAATACTTCTCTAACATTAGATTCAGATTCACCAAACCACATAGTTAATAATTCAGGTCCTTTAATAGAAATGAAATTAGCAGAACATTCACTAGCAACAGCTTTAGCTAATAATGTTTTACCACATCCTGGTGGTCCATAAAATAAAACACCTTTAGATGGTTACATACAAAATTTATGAAATTTTTCTGGATGTTCAATAGGGAATAAGATCATTTCTTATAACTATTTTTTAACTTCTTCTAAATCTCCAATATCTTCCCATTTGACATTAGGTACTTCAACAACAGTTTCTCTTAAAGATGAAGGATTAACTTATCCCATAGCAAAATTGCTTTGAAACATCTTTCTTTTCAGGTTATCCCTATTAATTTGGTTAATTAGATTAATTTTGTTAACTAGGTTAATTTGATTAAGGCTATTTCCTATTATTGTTTAACTCAATATTTATACCTTGGATCCATTCCTAAACTTTTTTTAATTAATATTAATATTTTCACTTAAGGATTATTTTCATTATATATACAATTATTTTCATATTCTACAGAAATTATAAAATAATTTAGAAATTATATTTATTATGTCATTTTAACGAATTATCAGCAAATCTCCTTTAAGGACTTAATCTCATTCAACAGCAAATTTTATCTCAGATGATTAAAAATATTCAACATTCAAGTACAACAGCATTCATCCAACTTTCTAACCTTAAATATATAATCAACTTGAAGAATTGAGAATATATAAATGTAAGTATCAGGAATAAGTTAAAATTATTGAAAATCAGCATTTATAAATCTGTGAAATGAAGTATTCATATCTTAAAATTTAGATAATTCATTTCAGATTGTTAAATTAGTTTATTGAATTTTAAATAATAATTAGAAGATTAATTGTCTATTAAAGAAAATTATGATAAAGATATCAGACAACTGAATCAATTAATTACTTCTTTAAAATAAGAGAATTAGCAATTGATTTAGTTATATAATGACAAAAAATAAGAATTAGAGGAGCTTACTTCTAATAATTAATTTATTATTAATGACTTTAACAAACAATTAGAAAATACATTGAAAGCTCGTATAGAAAATGATATTAAAGAGATGCATAACAAATACCTAAGGGTATGAGTCTTAGTCAAGCCTATAGGAAATCCAAGTGTTAAAGGCAAAACTCTTAGAATAAGAAAAAGTAGTTCAAAATTAAGAAGTTATTAGATTATTACAAAAGAAATGTGAGGAATTAATTTAAGGAATCGAATAAAAAAATAATTATATTGATGATTTACTTCTTAAATATGGAGAACTTGATGAAAGATATGAAAATCTTAAAAGATAAATTTCATAAAAACTTTATGAAGAAGAAATCTAGGATGATTTATAGAAATTGAAATTAAAGAAAAGTTGACCATGATTTATAATTAATAATTTTCAATTTCACACTCTTTTCTCTGGAGAAACAGGTTATGATTTTCTTTAAGATTAATTCTTTTATGTTTATTAGTGCTGAATGTTTTTTAATTCAACATCAAAATTATACCCATCAAATAATGCTACATTCTACAAATTTTTTACATTAAACAGTATTTCTTCTTAAAAGTCCTTAATTTTCTAATATTTATTCATCATCTAATTATGTTTCTTCTGAAATCTAATTTTGAAAATCGAAATTATCATCAACCGCCTAGAATTATGTATAAAATAAAAAATACCCCAGGAACATAAAGAGCTTAAACTTTCTTTTTAATTAAATCATCCCAAGGATACCCTTTCAACCAAGAATGATGTAAAATTTCTTCAATTCCATTACACCCTAATCTTCTTTCTGGTTTTCTTAATATTAACTATAATATAATTCAATTATTTTAATACCTAATTAACAAAATCTAGAGAACTTTCACTCCATCCTTAAGGTAATTCTTCCTTTTTTACTTGAACTTACTTAGCTAGAATTTATTCTCTGATATCTTATCTAGTTCTACCATTATATGGTCTTCTTCCAAGCATTAATTCATATGTTATAACTCCTAATGCATAATAATCAGTAACAACTGAATGATCCATTCTACACATAACTTCTGGTGCCATATATCCAGGTGTTCCTGATGTATCTCCAGCATTATTTCCTTTATTCATTCTAGCTATACCCAAGTCAGTTAATCTCATATATCCATCCTCATCTAATACTAAATTTTCAGGTTTTAAATCTCTATGAATTATTCCATTTTAATGTAAATAAGTTAAAGCCAATAATATACAAGCTACAAAAAACTCTATTTTAATAATTTATCTTTACTAGTTTATGCTTCACTAAATCTTCTCATCTTCCCTAAATGAAATCTTAGATCACCACCTGTTAATAAATCAATTATCAAAAATAAATTCTCTCTATCTTAAAATGCATACCACATATTAACTAAAAAAGGATGATGCAAATGTTCTAATAAATATTTCTCATTTAAAACTGAATTTACACTTCTTTTTTAAATTACTTTTGCTTTTGACATTTCTTTTAATGCAAACAATTTCTTATTTTTCTTCATTTCTACTCTCCAAACCCTTCCAAATCCACCTTTTCCTATTACATATAAAAATTTAAAATGCATTCTACTAACTTATTCCTCTAACTTTAAACTAAGAATTTGAGTTTTCTCAGAAATCTCACCTGTTGATTTTCTTCTAATCTCACTTGATTTTTAATCATTCTAATTTATTTTATTTTTTGAAATTTAATCATTAGGAATTATTTTGCTTTTTGAAATAGAGTCATTTGGAGTTATTTTGCTTTTTGTTGAATTTTCATGATTATTTGGAGAGTTTGGAGCCGATTCAATTAATCCAGAATTAATTATCTAATTAAAATTTAATTAAGATACAGCTGAAAATTTTGGCCCTTATTAATTCAATTTCAATTTAAATGATGTTTAAGTATTACTTAATACATGACTCTTAGATTCTACTCGTTTTTAAATTACTTTTGATTTTACATTGTAACTGTTTTCATATAACTAAGAATTGCTCAAATTGCTTTTTTAATAGTAATTATTCATAAAATTATCCATATTATGATAAAATTATGGTTTTTTTACTTACTCTTTAGGTGCTTATCTTGACTAAGGACGTTATTCTTATAATTATTATAAATTGCTTTAAATCTGTTTTTGTAAAAACATTTATTGCATCTAATATTGTTTTTCACGATTAGGGGATTGATGTGCTGAAATTGAACTTGTTACTTTAATCTCTCTTTTACTTTCAAGTTCACCTGCCTAATTTTTTGTACTTACCTTAACTTTTAACAAAGGTGATGCATTTATTACAACTCTCTTCTTTATACAAATATTACAATTCTTTTAATTACAATAACATTAAGTAATATCTACTTTTTTATCCCAATTACCTGATGATTATTTTCTATTTTATTGAATTTTATTCAACGGTTCACCTTTAAATTTTATTTTACTATTAAGTTATTATTTTATAAGCAAATCTCTCAAGTTTTTTGCAGTCGATTGACTCATTTCGTTAATTATTTTATTAAGTATTATTATTATTAATAATTTGATAATAAAATAGCCAAACATTTTACAAAATTCAATCTCATTTTAAATTATTACAATTTACAATATCTTTTCTCAAAATTTATAGATAATTTAAATCTTTTATATAACAAATTCCCTTCTTTCAATTTTATATTGTATTAATATATGATTAATATTGTTTGTGGGTATTTATAATTTACTTAATAAGTGCAAAATTTAGGTAAATTATATTCTTTCAAATAATATTTTGTAAATGAGATTATGCTATGAAAATAAAATTGAAATTTAATAGAAATAATTGAATTAAGATTTTATTAAAAAATAATAGAAAAATGTTGCTAGAATGTAAATTTTAAAATAAATAAAGTCAATTATATAATTAAAATGTAATATATACAAACTTAATCAATACTTTTCCTTTATGGATTATTTGATAGTATTAAATTCATGAAGGGAATAAGATGGTATGCTTTAGATCCTCGAGAGAAACATTGCATTGAAATTAAAAGATATTTAAGGTAAGCAATCGAATTTGCTGGTATAAAATTAGCAATCATTTTTCTAATTGACTTGCTTGTGTATTTTTTATCAATATTATCGATTCCTAAACTAATATTATTGTTGATTTAAATTATACCTGTGCTATTGTACCTAGAAAACAATATTCGATAATTAGTTTATGTTGGAAAGATTACCTAAACAGCTATTTAATATGAAACTAATGTAAAATAGAATAGACAATTTTTTATTTACAATCTAAAAAGAGATAACAATGTAGGATTTTCTACTATTATTGATTAAATTAAATTAACCTTATAGGCTTTGCTTTTCAGTTTTTTGCTATTGCTTCAAACTTCATTATTTGACATCTTAGTAATAATTTTGCCTGAAAATACAATAATCTCATTTATAATTAAACACGTCGATTATTTACTTTATGCCGTTTATATAACAACAGGTTATATTTCATTAAAGATTCCTTACTAGGATCACTTGCCTTATTATTTGCATACCTACATAGGATATTTAATAGGTTATTCAGTCATATTATCATATATTTTAAATGTCTATTTTAGTTTTCCAAAACTAGGTATAGTTTTTTCAATTTTATCTCCAATATGCTTATTAAGAGAATTTTAGATTGATGCCCCTTTAATCACAGAGATAGAAGAGAAATCATTTAGTGAAAGTATGAAATGAAGCTTATTTAGATGTTGATCTTTTGATTAAAAATTTTTTAGGTGAAAATGGAATACCGAGAACATCATATGAACATCATTTGAAAATGGCAGAAAATGATAAAGTATATAAAACTAAGTTAAGAAAAACTATTGGATGGTTCACACTAGCAAGAGGATTAAGACCATATGTTATAAATCCATTGAATAAAGCGATTATTATATTTATGAAGATATACAATTCTTTAATAGGAATTGCTTGNAATAAAGTCAATTATATAATTAAAATGTAATATATACAAACTTAATCAATACTTTTCCTTTATGGATTATTTGATAGTATTAAATTCATGAAGGGAATAAGATGGTATGCTTTAGATCCTCGAGAGAAACATTGCATTGAAATTAAAAGATATTTAAGGTAAGCAATCGAATTTGCTGGTATAAAATTAGCAATCATTTTTCTAATTGACTTGCTTGTGTATTTTTTATCAATATTATCGATTCCTAAACTAATATTATTGTTGATTTAAATTATACCTGTGCTATTGTACCTAGAAAACAATATTCGATAATTAGTTTATGTTGGAAAGATTACCTAAACAGCTATTTAATATGAAACTAATGTAAAATAGAATAGACAATTTTTTATTTACAATCTAAAAAGAGATAACAATGTAGGATTTTCTACTATTATTGATTAAATTAAATTAACCTTATAGGCTTTGCTTTTCAGTTTTTTGCTATTGCTTCAAACTTCATTATTTGACATCTTAGTAATAATTTTGCCTGAAAATACAATAATCTCATTTATAATTAAACACGTCGATTATTTACTTTATGCCGTTTATATAACAACAGGTTATATTTCATTAAAGATTCCTTACTAGGATCACTTGCCTTATTATTTGCATACCTACATAGGATATTTAATAGGTTATTCAGTCATATTATCATATATTTTAAATGTCTATTTTAGTTTTCCAAAACTAGGTATAGTTTTTTCAATTTTATCTCCAATATGCTTATTAAGAGAATTTTAGATTGATGCCCCTTTAATCACAGAGATAGAAGAGAAATCATTTAGTGAAAGTATGAAATGAAGCTTATTTAGATGTTGATCTTTTGATTAAAAATTTTTTAGGTGAAAATGGAATACCGAGAACATCATATGAACATCATTTGAAAATGGCAGAAAATGATAAAGTATATAAAACTAAGTTAAGAAAAACTATTGGATGGTTCACACTAGCAAGAGGATTAAGACCATATGTTATAAATCCATTGAATAAAGCGATTATTATATTTATGAAGATATACAATTCTTTAATAGGAATTGCTTGATAATGATATGCTTGGTATCTAAATTATTAATTTTATATATTATCCTTTTTCTACTTTAAAAAAAAGGAATGAAAAAATAATTCCTAATATCTTTTTTGAATTGTAAAGATAATAATCTTAGTTAACAAAATTATGTAATTGAAAATTTCTTTCAATAATTCACTAGTCATAGAGTAGTTAGTTAATTTTAGATAACTCAAAATTTATCTTTTAATCATCATAGCTTTGGAATTTATAATGATGATCAAGTATTTATCAACTTTTTTTAATATTCTATCAGTTTAATTTTTAATTAAAATAATACATATATATAAGAATATATTTATAAATTAATCAAAGTGAAAAGTATTTTATTTAAAAATTACTTAAAATTCAAATTCATATTTCTTTGTTCATAAATTAAATATTTTTTTCAAACTTAAACATCCTTAATTTTTTGAGTTCTCTCAAATAATGAGGAATTTGATAAAAATTTAGAAATATAGATCATTAACAATATATTAAGGATATTTGAGAGATTAGAAAATAACTGATTAGGAATTAAATTAAAAAATTTCTTTTAAAAAATATTTTTTAATTTTGAATGATATTTAAATATATCATGGTCACTATTTGATTTTTTATTTAACTAAGCATTCTTTCAAAACAAACTCAAATTCATTAAATGAAACTGATCCATCTTTATTATGATCAAAAAATGTAAAGATGGCTTTTGCTTCTTCATCTGTAACAGTTTGATCAATTCTCTTTAATAATTTGCCTAATTCTTAGACATCTAATTCATGATTAGCTGATTTATCATACTAGAAATAATAGAAAGATTTACTTTGTTAAACAAATCTAAGAGATTGATATTATATTTGACAATGGATATCTTAAGTTTTTCAATTACAATTCTTGCTCTATCATCAAGAGATCCTGCTTAAATATCTTATTATGGTTTCATAAGAATACTAACCTTCTTTTTAGTTCTACTAACTTCAGATGCAGTCATTCTACACTAAGAAAATTGTTAATAATTATTACATCATTTTCTTCTAACCATTTTTTGAATTCATTGAACTCAATTAAATTATTTCCATCATCATCAAATTTATTAAATATATATTCAATCTCTTCTCTTGTAAGATTTTTATCAACTCTTTGTAGAAATTTACCTAATTCATTAACATTTAATGCTTTATCTTTAGTCATATCAAGTTCAGCAAACAATTCTCCAATATCAATTTATTCTTTAATAATCATTTGTCTTATATCATTAATAAGATAAGTAGCTTTGTCTTCTAAAATGCTTACATTTTTAATAAAATCAGTGAAATGTCCTTTAAATAAAGGATGTCGATAGATTTCATCCCAAGATAATCTATCTTTTTCTTCAGCTTACAAACAGCCAATAAGAAACTCTTATGCTTCTTTTGATATTTAAGGTCCTTTAAACTGTAAAGGTTAATTTCTAATATTCTTTAGTAATTCTTATGGTGATCTAGCAGTCCAAGGAGCTAAAAGAATGATAAAAAAGAGATAAGTTACTTTTACCAAACAGTGCTTCATAAAAGATAAATGCTATACTCCAAATATCAGTTTTAGAAGTATATTTTTTATTATCTAAGATTTATGGTGACATATACAAAGGTGTTCCTACTAATGAAGCCAACATATCCTTTTTAAAATTGTCAACACATTTTGCAAATCCAAAATCTGCTAATTTGAAAGTCTAGAATTATATATATATATTCATACTCCTTTGTCTATTAAAATGTTGGCTGGTTTTAAATCTCTATGAATAATACCATTCTTTATTAGTTGAATAAATCCATTCAAAATATCAATCATAAATTTTACTGCATCTTTCTCAGGCATTGTTTTCTTTTAAGCTCCATAGCTAATCATAGATATTATTAATACTTTTCAATTAATTTATCTAAATCTCCACTATCGCAATATTCTTGAATTATATAATAGTTATTATTCGTCTCCATTACATCCATTAATTATACAATGTTTGGACTCTTTAATTTCTACATCACTTTTATCTCTGAGATCAAACCTTCTCTTAAATAGTCGTCTCTAAACTTTCATCAATCTTAAATACGCATTTATCACTGATTTGTTTAACACTTTTATAGCCACTTTTACTCCTGTCTTTTCATCTCGTCCTCTGTATACTTAAGCATATGACCCTTCTCCAATAAGATCTTTAGGATTGAACAGATATTTGTCAATTCTTTTCTCCCCCATTAAATAAATTAAATTCAATCATCTTTATCATTATAATATTCAACATCCAATCTTATAATTCAACATCTCTAACAATTTTCTACATCTAATTTATCCTTTATTGTCATTTCACTTTTTTTATTATCAATCTCTTCAAAAATACTTCTTACTCCTCTTCATTTTTAATGATTTTTAAACAAAAAATATTGAAAAAAATGTTGCATCCTTTAGATCATTGCTTATCTTTTAAGATTGTTAAAATATCTATTAATTAATAAGTAACCATATACTATTAAATACTTATTAAATATCTAAATTTCATTTATATAATTACAATCTTTTGTGTATACATAATTCAATAATTTGTTTATTTTTTCGTAATAATAATTCTTAATTTTGATATATAATATGCCATTTATTGATTTTCTTAATTTATGAGTTATTAGAAGTTCATATTATTTAGATATTTCTATTTCATTTTTTTTCTTAATTTAATAGAATTTATATATATATTGGATTAAATAATAAAATGAATCCTTTTTTCGTTTATTCTCTTCATTTAAGTTGATATTTAATAAATCATAATGAAAATTATCGAAATTTTCAATGATGTCTTCTTTCACTTAATAAAATCTGAATTCCAAAGCTTTCTGTATTTTCAACTACATTTGTCTTTCTTAATCCTTTCTCTGATTTCTTATTGAAGATTGAGTCTTTTTATTCCTCATCATTTATTATTTTTCTTCATCTATATTTTTCTTTTTCTTTTTCTATTAATTCGTTCGAATTTAAAATTCGTTATAATTTTTTCAATTTTTCCATAAATATTTGTAATTTTCTAAGTTATTCTTTTTCATCAATAGTTCTGATAGAAATTAATAAATTGATTTGATTTAGACTAGAAAAGAGAAATAGATAGGTATAATAGTATTTTTTATTATTTCTATTGATTTTTGATAAATTGCTTGTTTGAATGAGTAGATGGTTATTATCACTACAAATTTAAGATCTAGATTATATATAATCTTACTTTAAAGGGGATATCTTAAAATAGAAAATCTATATTAATAATGATGGTTTAGGTTGATGAATATTATGTAATTGTAAATGAAGTGTAATTTGGTTTGTGTAATTGATAGGAATAAAAAGTAAAAGCAATAAGTATAAATAGGGGATAATTGTAAATTATAGGATGAATAATAACAAAGTTGATGATATTGTTTAAAAGGAGCCTAATATACAATAGTTTGAATCTTTAGGTTTATGATTTAGTTGTAGATTATTGAATTGAAAATCTTATGGAGACTTAAAATAATATTGAAGAAGGCCTTGAACTATTAAAAGAATATGAGAGTTGAATTTTCAGAAAGAGTGATCTAATTTATCAAACAATTTGAATATGGTTCATTAATTATTATATTAAACATATGTAGGGATGATGGAGAGAAGAAAAGAGAATTGAATAGGAAAGAAAAGAAATGAGTAAAAGGGAGACTAGATGATAGAATTTGAGAGTTAGTTGAAGAATGAAGATTAGAGAAGCAATAATATAAAAAGAAGAGTTTTGTTGTGTTATATGTTTGATTTGTATTGTTTTCTTATTGCTTGAGATAGTATCTTCCCATATTATTCAAGTTTCTTTAATTATTAATCGATTGGTCTAAGTGCAGAAAATGAAATAAAGACCTAGACAGATTGATTCAACAAAGCCAGTGCTTACTATAGGCACTCTAGATGCATTTAACAGTGCTGAAGGATAAGAAGTAGAAATCAAAAACACAGAATAAATCATTACTCCTGATTAGCTCATGAAAGAAAAGTAAATTGCACACATTTGTTTAATTACTAAAAGAGAGCTTCAAGAGAGCGGAATTCACTTTTCTATAATGTGAATTTTCATTTCTTGATCCTCCTTACCCGCCTTATTTATTTTATATTATACTCATTATTATTTAGACCTAAATAATATGAAGAGTCTTCACTAAAATCACAACTTCCATCAAAATGTCGCGAGGATTACATTCTATATAAGGCTCCTGTCTATCCAGATGCTACTACTTATGAATTAACTGAAGAAGATTTACATTTCTTATCAACCATAAATGAAAAACTATAAACCCCTATTACTATTGAAGATTTTGAGTTGTACCTTGCGCTCCTTGACTCTAAGAGTGGAAAAGATGTGGAAATTGATTTTAGTGAATTTCTTAAACTCAAACCAAATTTACCACGAACGATTAGCCAGTAAATTGTTGCTTAGGAACAACTATATAACTATTTTAAAAAGCAGAGATAACATTTCTCTCGATCATTAACTAGATTACTTATGCATCCCTATTATGAAGATAGTAATCCTCATTTAGCCTTTCGTCCTAGAACTTAACCTATGGACAGAACTATGAAATTAAGAAGAGTTAATCCCCAAAATACAAGAGGAGTCAATGAAATGGAAAATTTAGGTTAGAAAATAGTCTTGTTAAAAAAAGATCTTTTGATTGTTTCAAATATTATTGATTAAAGTATTTAGAGAGAAAAAGCTATGGAAATTGAAAGGAGATTCAACTTTTGTAAATTCATTAAAGAGTTTTTTGACTCATCAAAAAAAGAAAAAGATAATAATGCAGAAATAAGATTATGGTCTAAGGATTGTTTTGTTAGGGAATGTTTAGATAAATGTTCAATTAATATTATTGATAGAGCTGATGAGATGTTTGATAACATTTCAAAAGAAATACTTTAATGGAGAGAATTAAACGAATAATAAAAGAAAGAAAAGTAAAGAAAAGAGGATTAGATTCTTAAATATGAAAAATAGATTGAAGATCTAATTGCTGATAAATCTAAAATTGAAGAAAAACTACCTCCTATTATTCCTCCAATTGAATTTATCTAACCTATTTAAGTTCCACCTCCACCAATACCTTAGATTCCTTAAGAACCACCTGATGAGAAGATGGAAAGTGTTGCTAAATTCTTAGCTACTTTATATTTAGAGGCTAGAAAATATTAATTAAATTTTGATCAAGTCTTATCAGATTCATTTCCTATATATAAGATATAGAATGCTTAACAACAAGTCAATTCGAAGAGTGTATTACCATTTTCTTTGATGTAAATTGAAGGAAATAATATTGTGTATAAGGTTAGAAAGGATAGTTGTTTAGAAAGAAAGAACGGGGCTTATTGGGAGAGTCATCAAGATTTATAATAAACAAGTACATTATATCATTAACATTAATATTTCAAAGAAAAAGTAGATGATATAATGGAGATGGCAGATATGGATTAAATGATTTATGCTCTAGGAATGGAAGATGATAAGTAGGATGAGGAAGAAAAAATGTTAAAAAAGAAAGTTAAGAGTAGTTCGACCAGATTTACAGGTTCAAATGGAGGTCAGTTAAAATGATTATTAAACTAATTCGATATATAAAATATTAATAATAATAAATTTTGAAATTTTATTTGAGTAATTTCTCTAATTTTTAGTTAATTATATTGTATGGGCATAAATGTACTTTCTGATAAACTCATTAAAAAAAAACCAAAGATTTTACCTCCAATATAGCTTCATCATGAATAAGAATGCCAACATTAGTAGTTAAAACAAAACATCCAAATTTTCTAGTTAGTAAAATGTTGATAGTCCATCTCTCTCAAATTCACCTAGTGTAACATTATAAGGGGGTGAAATGACTCAACATTTATTAATACCTCCTTCCATATGTTACATTCGATATCCAATAATTTACAACAATTTTTCCACTTCTATGATTATCGACAATTTCAAATTCTCCAATATATAAATGTCTTTACATGACTTATAAGAATTTCACAATTAATTTGGATTTAGGTCTTATTAATATTTACTCTCTTCTTTATCTTAATAAATAAAAATTTATTATATATACCTTTCAGCATTCACTATTGAACAAATTTAATCATTTAGAACATTCACCTTAACCTTTTTAATATAAAGTTTTTAAAAATATAATAATTATTTTTATAGTATTACTAATTAAAATAAGAATTTATTAGAATTCAAAAGCTCGTTAGATATAAATTCAGATTTCAAATATTAAATTAATAGAAATTAAAATCTTGAATTAATGTCATAAAGAAAACAATTAATCTCAGCACACATCAAAACAGTTTTAATATCTGAAGCTAGAGGTAGATTCAAGCGATGCCAACTATGCTAGAGGGAGTTTGGACTACTCAGACCAGAACATTAGTGTAAAAGGTTAGATGTATAAACTTTACTTTAGATGTCGACGTGCCGTTTGTAATTAATGTTCAGAGCATAAGGTAGTTTACTTAACAGAGACAGGACCAAGTAAAAGAGCAAGAAGAAATTGTAATTCTTGTAAAGAAGAAAGCGAATGGATCAAAAGATTTATCGAATAACAAAAAATTGTTTTTGGAACTAATACCTTTGCTGTTGAATGGCTAAAGGCATCAGGATTAACAGTAGATCATGCAAATCAAGTAAAATTGACATAATATAGTGTAGGAATATGAAAAAGCTCAAAAAGGGTTAAATCCAAATAAAGAAAATAGTGATTTCCAGAAAATGAAATTAGATTTGAACTCAGTCATGATGGAGCTATGGTTTAATCTCAATTACTCCCTTAGAGAATTCTTTAATTATCTAATCAAAGAAAATGAGCGCGAATAGTTGGCTCAAAAAATTGGTAGAGTTTTAGGCTGCCTTTTATAACATTATCCAAATATAGGATATGTTGCTGATTAAGTTCTAATTACTCTATTTTTACTATGCTTCTCATCTGAAGCATCTGCTTATGTTTTATTAACTGTTTTATATTCTGATATAATTCCATTTAATACATATCCATCACAATTAAAAAGATACTCTTATGATTATCTGAGTGAAATTGAAAAGATTGCTTAGGTTTTAGAGTAGGCTTACTAACTTAAATAAAATAAAGTTACTCTAATTAAACCATTTATGAGAAACAGAATTTAAAGATATTTATAACCTTTTGGGATTAATTTCTTTCTATTATAAACAAGTTTCTTCTTCATGAATTTAATCCTCTTAAGTCCTACTTTAGGTTATGATAACTTTTTAAAATGTTTAGCTTCTGCATTTTATGCTTAAATGGATGAAATTTAAATGTTCAATTAATAATTTGAAGAAATAGAAGGATAAATTTTGAAAGGAGTTAATTCTAGCATTATTGAAAAAAACTATGTATAAACTAAGTTAATTATATTTTTATCTCATTCTTAAGGAATTACATAAAGTGTTATCGTTTCAAGACCTTTAGAAAAAAATAAAGATACTAATTAAATTAAGACTGAATTTATTAAAGATAAAAATACTTAGTAGAGAAATGAATAGGATGATGAAATGCTAAAATATACAGTTACTCAAACTAATGAATTTTAGGATTTAAGAAGGAAAACAGTTTAAATTGTTTTAGAACCATAAGTTGATGAAGAGAAAGATACTTTAAAAAAATATATTTAATAAATTGAAGAACTACTAATAAATAAACATAAATTAGTCAATGAATTATCAATATAAGTAAAAGAACTCTAAAATTAACCATTATAAATAATGAATAAAGATGTAGATTAATAAGTCTTGGATGCTAATGAATAATTGAGAAAGAAATTAGCTTAATAAAATTTAGAGATCTAAGCTTTATAGGAATAAAAAAAATATTCAGATAAAATTTAAGAGGATAATTAAAATATTATCAATAATTTATAAAAAAATAATTAAGAATTATATGGGCAAATAAATGCATATATTCTTTAAAATTAAGAACTTTAATAAGAGATTGCAGATCTAAAATTGTTATCTACTCAGTAATCAGAAAGTTCAATGACTGCTTCTTAAATTGAAAAGAATTATTAAATTAATATCTCTTTGTAATCAAGACATTCTGAACAAGAATTAACATCAAAAATAGAAGAAGATAGATAAAAAATATTTTAATTAGAATTGCAGGTTAATTAACTTAATAAAGAGTATATAGCTTTGCAATAATTAAATTAAGATAAACTCAGAATCATAGGAAATTTGGAGGTTAGATTAATATAAACAGAAGCTGCTAAAAGAGAATTTGAAAAGTTTTCAACTGAGAATGTAGAAATCAAAAAAAAATTACAAAACCACGAATTAGTAATTATTTAATAAACAGAATAATTATAATTGTTTTAATCAAGGTATGATTTAAGAATGTCAGAACTTGATGCAGCTAGAACAGAAAAACTTATTATGACTGAAGAATTTAATAAGAAAGAGGCTGAGCATCATTAAGCTCTTTCAGCAATTCAAAAATAGTTTGCAGATTTATAAATCTTATATAATTCGATTAATTAATAATTGAATGAATCTCTATAAATCAATTAGAAATTGTAGTAAATAATTATAGAAAAGGATGCAGAAATTTCTATGCTACAAAAACATTTGTCAGAAAGAGATGTAATAATTATAGCCTTAAGAGAAGCTGATGTATTGATGAAATAATAGAATTCTAATTTATAAAAATAATTAGAAGAAAGTGAATCAAAATTATATTAAATCTAAATAAAATTGAATTCGATTGAAGATCATTAATAAAGAACTTAAAATGAAGCTGGATCTCTAAAAGAATAATTATTAAAGTTGTCTAGTGATTATCAATAATTAAATGATAAACATAGATTATTAATTATAGAATTTGAAAATTGCTAAATAAAATTGTCAACTTTAAACTAAGAACACATTTCATTAAATCAAGCACACAGTGCATTAAATTCAGCACATATTTCATTAAATTAAGAACATACTTAATTAAATTAAGCATACAGTTCATTAAATTAAGCACACAGTTCATTAAATTAAGCACACATTTCATTAAATTAAGAACATACTTCATTAAATTAAGCATATAGTTCATTAAATTAAGCACACATTTCATTAAAATAAGAACACAGTTCATTAAATTAAACATATAGTTCATTAAATTAAGCACACAGTTCATTAAATTAAGCACACATTTCATTAAAATAAGAACATACTTCATTAAATTAAGCACACAGTTCATTAAATTAAGCCCACATTTCATTAAAATAAGAACATACTTCATTAAATTAAACATATAGTTCATTAAATTAAGCCCACATTTCATTAAAATAAGAACACAGTTCATTAAATTAAGCACACATTTCATTAAAATAAGAACACATTTCATTAAATTAAGCACACAGTGCATTAAATTAAGCACATATTTCATTAAATTAAGAATACACTTCATTAAACTAAGCATATAGTTCATTAAATTAAGCACACAATTCATTAAATTCAGCACATATTTCATTAAATTAAGAATACACTTCATTAAATCAAGCACACATTTCATTAAAGGAGAATCATAAAGTAACTATTTATGAACTAGAATAATTGAAATTAAGATTTGCTCAGTTATCTAATGATCAGAATAATTGGTAAGAATAATATAGATTAATCTAAATAGAATATGAAAATGAAAAAACTAATTCTTAAGAAAAAATTAAAATTATAAATGAACTTAAACTTCAATTAGTCAAATTGGAAGAAGCTCATCATTTAAAAATGTAATTACATTTAACAAAAATGTAAGAATTAGAATTACTCATTACAACACATGAAAAAAGAATTTTTGAATTCAAATCTTTGAGTGAAACATAAAAAAGTGAAATTACTCAACTATTGGCTAAAATAGCTTTATATGAATCAGAAAGAGCTGAATATATTGCAAAAAATTAATCTTTAACTATTTAATGGACTGCTAGTTTGGAAAAACTAAAAGATTTTGAATTTAAATATAATACCTTAGAATCAGAATTTTCATAATTGTAAAGGAGAGTTTAAGAACTGAGTCATCAAAATGGAGAATACAAGATTTTGATTGTATAATTAGAGGAAAGAATTACTGTATTAATTGCAGAAATTAAAACTAAAGATGTGGAGATTGTTAAATTTGTTTAAGTAATTGAATCCTAGAAATAATCTATGATAGATTATGAGGAATTAATTAGAAAGTTAAAGGCTTAAATTGTCGATTTAGAAAAATATAGCCTTAAATTGAAAACAACCTTAAAACATTATAAGGAGCTTTCAAAAGAAATGTCAGAGTTAGATTGATTTTGAGATAATATTTACATGAATATTAAAAATTGCAAAATTTTTTTAATATATTATTATTATATTATTTAGAAATATTAGATTTAAATTAATATATGAAGATATCAAAATTAATTTTTTGATTCACTTTTTTTGAAATCTGTTTATGAGATTACTCTAATTCTTTAAGGAGACCGAAATTTCGATCTTTAAGTAATTGTGAATGGGGTTTTAGAATTCTTAAAAATGAAAATTATAATTACAATTAAAATTGGGTTTTAATTTGTTAAATATTATTCCATCTTTTTACTAGAAGTATGTAATTCTAATTGCAAGTGATTACTTTTATAATTGTAAGGATTATAGCTTTCATCTAGGTTTAATCTTTCTGTTATTTATAGTGCTTATTCTATGCTGATTTTTGTTTTATTTTCGTTAATTATTTATGGTAGTTAGGTTTAATTCTCATTTGTAAATTAATTTATTAATTTAAATTCAGATTAAGATATTCTGCCTGTTTCTTATTTTGAAGACTGATGACTCTTTCTAATAGATCGGTTAGTTTATTCAGTATCTTACTTATAATATTAAGAAGAACTTAATTTTCTAATCCTATTCTATGGGGAAATAGGATTACAATTTTACTTAACGTTCCAAAATTTGTTCTTTTTCTTGCAATCTTTTAATAATTGCAATTTATTATGGATTATTATTTTTTGGCATCAATTTATTAAATGGATCATCAGATTACTCTTCTTTTTCTTAATCTTTAAGTTCAATAATTTTCTTATAGCAAATATCTTCCAAAGACAAAAGATTTTTACATTACTTGACTTTTTGTTAGGTTGATAATTATTCTGATTTAATTTTTTGAATGAGTTCTTCTCTTAAGACACAATAATTCATATATTAAATCATGTTTGGAAAACTTAAGGGTACAAAATTGAACTCATTAGATTTATTATTCTTTTCTGTAGTTTCTCTAATTTTACGCATGAGCTCAACGAACACTTCATAAATTTTAGAAATTACTCTACAAAGCTTCTTAGTTTTATAAGGCTTATCGAAAATCATTCCAATTAAGTTTGTCTGGGAAATAAAATGTTTAGATTACCATCTTCATCTTAATCGATTCTTTTGAAAAATTCACGTAATTTGATTTTTGTTATATTAATTCCATAGCGTTTAAACATGTCATAGAGTTCTTGTCTATCTAGAAATTCTAAAATGGAATTTAGGTTATTAATAAAAACTTGAATTATCTCTATCAATTGATTTAAAAACAGCTTTCATCATAATTTATTCTTTGAGCTCTTTTTCATTTAAAATATATTTATCTTTCACTTTATTTTTGAATCTATTTTTCAACCAATTCACAGTTTAGAAATTCTTAACTTTTAAGGAAATGTTCTTATCCATTAAAATATTATAAATTGAATCAGAGTTATTAGAAATAAACTTAGAGATTATTTTGATTAATAAAATGATTTTAATGAATCTACTGAGATGAGAAATTAATAAATTAACATTGGAAGTGTGTTAAATGATAAGAGATAAAATGAAAATGCTTGAAGAATAAAATTCTAAATTTTCTATGATTGTAAGATATAAGTTTGGGAATAATAAAAATGTGATTGATATTATTTGTCTAAATTTCTTAGTTGTTGAGGATTGACATTAATCATATATTTATAATTAATAGAAATATTTATAAAAGAAATTAATTCAAATTTGAGGTACCCCGGTATAAGGATATTTTGGATATTCAAATGTGGGGGATAACAGCTGAAATTCAAATAATTTTTTTAGAGAGTTTTCATCACACAACACTTTAAAAATGAGAGAAGTCATATCTATTCACGTTGGACAAGGAGGTATTTAAGTTGGTAATGCCTGTTGGGAATTATTCTGTCTTGAACATGGAATTCAACCAGATGGTTAAATGCCATCAGATAAGACAATCGGAGGAGGAGATGATGCCTTCAACACCTTTTTCTCAGAAACAGGTGCAGGAAAGCACGTTCCAAGAGCTGTCTTTTTGGATTTGGAACCAACAGTTATTGATGAAGTCAGAACAGGAACATACAGATAATTATTCCATCCAGAATAATTGATCTCAGGAAAGGAAGATGCTGCCAATAACTTTGCTAGAGGTCACTATACAATTGGTAAAGAAATTGTTGATTTGTGTTTGGACAGAATCAGAAAGTTAGCTGATAACTGTACAGGTCTTTAAGGATTTTTGGTATTCCACTCAGTCGGAGGAGGAACAGGATCAGGATTAGGATCACTTTTATTAGAAAGATTATCAGTTGATTATGGTAAGAAATCAAAATTAGGTTTCACAATCTATCCATCACCATAAGTATCAACAGCAGTTGTTGAACCATATAACTCTATCTTATCAACACATTCATTGTTGGAACACACTGATGTTTGTGTTATGTTAGATAATGAAGCCATCTATGATATTTGCAGAAGAAACTTAGATATTGAAAGACCAACATATACAAACTTAAATAGATTGATTGCTTAAGTCATTTCTTCATTGACAGCTTCATTGAGATTCGATGGTGCTTTGAATGTTGATATCACTGAATTCTAAACCAATTTAGTGCCATATCCAAGAATCCACTTTATGCTTTGCTCATATGCTCCAATCATCTCAGCTGAAAAAGCATATCATGAATAATTATCAGTTGCTGAAATCACAAACTCAGCCTTTGAACCAGCCAATATGATGGCTAAATGTGATCCAAGACATGGTAAATACATGGCTTGCTCTATGCTTTACAGAGGTGATGTCGTCCCCAAGGATGTCAATGCTGCTATTGCCACCATTAAAACAAAGAGAACAATCTAATTCGTTGATTGGTGCCCAACTGGATTCAAAGTAGGAATCAACTATCAACCACCAACAGTCGTACCAGGAGGTGATTTGGCTAAAGTTATGAGAGCTGTTTGTATGATCTCCAACTCAACTGCCATTGCTGAAGTTTTCTCCAGACTTGATCATAAATTCGATCTTATGTATGCCAAGAGAGCATTCGTCCACTGGTATGTCGGTGAAGGTATGGAAGAAGGAGAATTCTCTGAAGCCAGAGAAGATCTTGCCGCCTTAGAAAAGGATTATGAAGAAGTTGGTATTGAAACCGCTGAAGGAGAAGGTGAAGAAGGAGAAGCATGATCAATCAATATATATAAATAAAAACATTATTCAAATTATTTTACATTTATCTTAGTATTCAATCTTTTTATACAATAATTAATTTTATTATATTTTACTATTAATCTTTTTTTCATTCTTATAATCATATTATCATTAATCTCATTTTATCTGAATTGTTTATATTCAATTTAATCGCCTTATCATTTTACTGATTCTTAAATTTTAGATAATACCCTTAGAATTGTTTAATATTTGATTGTCTTCACTTTAAATTAAACTATTTTATTAAAATTTCAAGTATTTAAAAGATTATATTAAATGATATAAATAATCAAATATAACAATTTTTCATTACGATTAGAAAAACTCTTCTTTAAAGTAGAATTTAAATTATTTAGCAAATTAATAATTACCTATTTTTATCTACAAATAAATATATTATTTAAATTTTGTGATGATTATAAAATAAGCGATAAAAAGTTTCATTTTATCTAATATCTATAATCTTCATCAAAGTTAAATAATATGTCTATTTTGAATTTAGAAAATATTAACAATTACTTGACAACAATTATAAATGCATTCTTATTTAAATTAAAATTATAAATAGCTCAAAGAGAATAATATATTTCTTTTGAATAAAATGTTATTAACTTATTTCTAATTTTCTATTAATAAATTATAAGATAGTTATCAATATTTTAGAAATTAATATATTTTTATAATATTGAAATAGTGTAGATGCTTACAAAAAATGAAAATATGAGTTTATTAGGTTTTGTTCCTGCGTTGGTTGTTCAATATTTAGCCAATCAAAAATAAATATCTTAACTTCCAGAAAAATAAAATTTAAGATCTGTTGTGATGTTTGCTGATATATCAGGATTCACTAATTTGACAGAAACATTATCGAAATTAGGAAATGAAGGTGCTGAGTTAATTGCTTTTGCTATTAATCGATATATGGAATTGTTAGTATCAGCAATAAGTAAGAGTGGTGGAGATATTTTTAAGTTTGCTGGGGGTATATGATGAACTAATTTTAGATGCAATGATTGTAGTTTGGCCTCCTTCTATAAAAGAAAATGCTGTAGAAAACCATGAAGAATTAAGAGTCATATGTAGATTAGCTGTGCAATCAGCTTTAGATATTTAATCAAAATTGAATAATACTACAATTTTAGAAGATATAAAACTTTCGGTTAAAATTGGATTTGGAATAGGAGATATTAATATCATTTATGTTGGAGGAGTTTTTGGAAGAAGTGAATATTTGGCTACAGGTGATCCACTAACTTAGGCTTTTAAGAGTGAACATCATGCTACTAGTGGAGGATAAATCATAGTATCATAGGAGGTTTTTGATATGGTTTCTGATTTTTTTGTGTTTTAGAAGTTGTAAACAGATTCTAACTTTTATATGGTTTTAAAATTAATCAATAATAAAGTGTAATTGAAAGCTGGAGCTTAATTAATAAAAAATAGATTAGGTGGAATAGATAAACAATAAATAATGACATTTATACCAGCTGCATTAATTCCTTATATTGAGATTGAGTAAGAGAAGTGGAGCAGTGAATTAAGAAGAATAACAACTTTGTTTATAAATTTAGGAATAGATTTAAGTGATGCTGATTCTAGATTGTAGCATATCTAAAAGGTGATAGAAGTTGTACAAAAATGTATTTATATAAATGAAGGATCTCTTAATAAATTATTGATGGATGATAAAGGTTCAACATTAATAGTTGGTTTTGGATTGCCTCCTTTAAAGCATTAAGATGATCCAATTCGTGCATTGTTAGCAGCATAATTGTTAGTAAAATAACTAAGTTTAATAAATTGTAAATGTTATATTGGAGTTGCAACTGGAATAGTATTTACTGGTGTTGTAGGAACAAGTGGATCAAGAAGGGAATATTCGATACTTGGTGATGCAGTTAATTTAGCTGCTAGATTAATGTCACTAGCTATAACAGAGAATAAATCTATATTATTATGTTAAAAAACAGCAGAAGAATGTGAACATAAAATGGATTGTGAATTATTCAAAATGGTTCAATTGAAAGGGAAAAGTGGATTGATCCCTGTTTATTAGATTTAATAAAAGAAAGCAATTTTGAAAATTCATTATTATGAGAGTAAAATGGGATTTAATTAGAAAGGACTTATTGGTGGTAAGGATAAAACTTAATAGTTTTTACATATTGTTAATACATTTTTAATGATGGATAGAGAAGGCAAGATATCTTTAGTTGATATGGATTTAGAAAGGGATTTTATTTTATTGAAAGGCAGTTATGGTGTTGGGAAAACATTTGTTATGAAAATTTTAGAATATTAAATCAAAACTGAAAATCCAAAGGTATTGATTCTAGAATCATCTATTAATTCATTTGAAAAAATATTTAGGGGAAACGGATTCAAAAATATCATTAAATAAATATTTGATATTGCACTATCTAAAACTACATACATTCAATCAGAATTATTATAATTTATAAGTAATGGAAATCAATTGGTATAAAAAATATTAGAAGAATTATTAGATTTAAATGAATGGTTGAATGATTATGTTAATAACTTTCCTAAATTTGAATCCACATACAATATTAATGATGATTAAATAATGAAATTAATAGGTTAAGCAATTGTAAAATTGTTTGAGATCTATTTTGAATAATAATTACCAGATAAGAAAAAGAGACTTTATTCATAAATGTTGGATGATGAATCTGATGATATTCTCTCTAATGATTTATCATCCGATAAAATTGATGTACCACCAATAATCATAGTATTAGATGATTTATAATACTATGATCAGTTATCATTTTATGTAAAGTAAATAATTACATTCTTAGTTAATGAAGACAATAATCAAGAAATTTAATAGAATTCTACTTATTGGAATTACAAGAGATTAATTTTGGGAAATTCCAATTATGAGTAGAAAGGGTATTTCCAGAAATCCTAATAGAACTTAAGAATTAATTTACGACAAAGGAGTTGAATCAATTATAAACTTATATAATGTTACTCCAAATGAAGTTATTATGAAAGGAATTAAAAATATTGAAGAACAAAAATAATTATTACTTCTATATTTTGGTTTTGAAAAGCTCTCTGATCCTAAAATACATGAAATCTTGCATCTTAAAAGTTGCAAATAACCATTACTTCTAATTCATCTAGTTAAAACATTATTAAATAATAAATATCTCAGAAAAGAAAATGATTTTGCTTATGCTTCTTAACAATTACAAACATTATTTTAACATGAAGAATGGCTTTAAATTGAAATTCCATAAATTTGTTTATAAATTAATGGTCCAATAATTGACTCATTATCATGTGTTAATTTATTACTTTTGAAATTTGCATGTGTAATAGGAGATATTTTTGATATTTAAACATTATTCAAAATAATCCCATTTAAATAAATCAACTAAAATAAGTTATTAATGGCTTTGAAATAACTGGTTTAATAGGATATTATCGAATTTATGCATGATGACAATGAGAATCGTTATTATCGGTTTGTTACTCCATTTATGAGAGAATGTTTATATTAAAGTATGACTTATACTCAGAGAAGGTCAATTCACTCTTTAGTTGCTGAAGCTTTATAAATTATACCATAACCTTATGAAGATTATAAAGAACTAAAAAGATTAGAATATCATTGGAGTATGGCAGAATAAAGAGTTAGCATTAAAAGTTCTAATACAATGATTAAATTTTCACATAAGGCAAAGAAATCTTTAATTGTGAAATAGATTTAAATGATATTAAAAATAGAGAATAATGTTAAAGTTCCTTTAAAAAAAGGTTACATTTTTAAACGATCTGATAAGAAAGTATCATGGCAATTTAGATATTGTGTAATAGATAGTGAAAATATGATGTAAATATGTAATATAATTATATTTCTTTAGTTTGTATCTAAATGATTAGATGAGTGAGTAAACAGGAACCTTGCCATTAAAATTAATTTCATCAATAATTCCAATTTTTGATAAATCAAATGATTAATAATAATTTTGTTTAAAGTTAGGTGTGAGTGATTGGATAAAGAAGGGAAAAATTAAAGGAAACAAAAGGGTATTTCTTTTTGCTTTTGAATCTGAGGATTCATTGGAAGAATGGACTATATTTTTAGAATTTGTAAAAGCTAAATCGATATATAATGATTTTGTTGAAAATTTCGGAAGAATATAATTACCAATAAATTTAATAAATGAAGCTTTTGATCCTTAATTAACAATATATTTATAAGAGATGTTCAAAGGTTCAATAAAGAGATTTAGATAATAGAATGTAACAGAGCAAATGAGTAATAAAAATAGGAAATCAACACATTCAAAACCATAATAACTTTAAATAGTTTAAAGTCCTATTCATAATTATCATTCTCCTAATATTAATCCTAAGAGATTTTCTGTTAGATTCAGTGCAATAAGTGAATAAGAAGAGAAATCTGATGATACACCTTTAAAAGAGAAGTTAAGATAATTTTTTTTTGGTTCTTTTTCAGTTTTAGCAATACATTTACTTACTCACATATATGAACCAAATTATATTATACTTGGATAAGAAGGTAGAAATATGAGAAGATTAATGAAAAATAGAAAACACAAAAATAATACAATGTAAAGAATACCAAAGAATCCTTCTATAATTGAATTCGATTTTTAGTGATTATTTATAAAAAAAGAAAGTGTAATTTTTAAATAAATTTAATATCTTTTATTAAGTATGCCTATTTTGAGAAGAAAAGATCAATAGAAAGCCAAAAACTTAAACTTGAGATTCGTGATTGATTGCACAGAACCAAAAGAAGATAAAGTAATTCATAGTGGCATAATTCCCTATGATAGGTTTTAAACTTAGATGAATTTGTGAGCTATCTTTAATCCAGAATCAAGGTTTAAGGAAAGACAGGAAATCTTGGTAATGATGTCACTGTTACTGCCGAATAAGAGAAAGTTGTTGTTACATCCACTATTCCATTCTCCAAGAGATACCTCAAATATTTAACAAAGAAATATTTGAAATAAGAAACATTGAGAGAATATTTGTATGTGCATTCACATGACAAAGCCACATACTAATTGAAGTATTTCAATGTAGGTTAAGACGAAGAAGAATAAAAATGATCAATATGACATTCTGTTAGTACATTAATCAATAATCAAATATTTTTTATATTGTGGTAATATATAAATTATTTTATTTATTCACAAAATAATTTTATATTTCTTTTCATTATTTATTTACTAAGAATTCAAACACTCTATATTTTTTACTCATTTTCAATAATTATTAGAATAAATTACCAACACTTTTGTATTTTTTAATTATATCATCAAGAACTTTCTAATATTAATTAGTTTTCTTATCTTTAAATGTAGAAAATATCATTTTTCTTTATTAATCTTCATTCGCTATAGATGCGCTAAATGCTATTAATTAAATAATTATTTTTAATTCACAATCCCCTTCAAATACTCCACATCCCCATTTTCCAGTTGATATAGGTAACAAGAATTCTTCATTAGATAATTATTATGATAATGAAAATCCTATGAAGGATTTATTAATCTCTCTTAATATCTCATTTGGTTGGTATTATTTCAAAGAATCATAACTATAATCCTAAGCATCCAAAACTAAAATATTTTAATTTAAATTTTTAGGTTCTCTTTTTACAAATTAAAAAGAATAACCATATCCCTTATAATCACTATATCTAATAGAATTCTTTATTAACACTACTTCATCATCTTCTAAGACTTTACAAAATAATACTGCTATTATATTTTCAGGCATTATTGTAAATAGAATTTCTTCTTAAACACATCCATAATCTAAGACTCCTCCTCCAACATATTTGTTAGCAAAATCTACTAAGAAACTATTTTCTTATTCTTCTATATATTAATCACAAAATTCAATATTTTTTAGACTTTTATTACAATTCGACCATAATTCTAAATCTAAAATTGAATTTGTTTTTTAATTTGGAAAGAAATGATCAATATGATAATTTTTATTGAAAGAAATTCTTTCAAGTGTCACTAGTTCATTTTCTTATTCTTCTCTTGCATTTATAAAATAATGAAGATAACATTTAGCCTTTTCAATACTATCTTAAAGTATGTAAGTTAAATTACAAGGATCAGGAAATTAATCATGTTGAGCAATTAATAAACCAAAAAATGCTAATGATAAAAATTGATAAATTTCTTTTCTTGTGAATTATATAGTTCCTTTAGATATTAATAATTATTTTTTTGGTGAATTTTCCACCAATTCTAAAGAATACTAAGCCATTTTGGGAAGAGTATTCTAAAAAAGTTCATATTGATCATTTTTATTTAGTGATGAAATAGCACTTTATAAAGCCTCTAAATGTTTTTTAGGATTGTTATTTAAAAATTCAATGATTGGATATGCTGAGTAGCTATCCTTTGGAGAGCATAATAAACTTAAATAATCTGTTTATTATTTAGACAATTTTGGATATTTGTAAAAGCTTTGATTATTGAGATTATTTTGATCTCTTTAATCCATGAATTAATAAAATGAATATATGTTTATAATCATAATCATTATTATAAATATTTTTCGTATCTCTCCATATTTCTTTTGAGTACTTCTTCTAATGGACCCATAAGTCTTCTAAATGAATTGAAATCACAATATAACAATATAACATCAGTCTAAATAATATAATAATTAATACTTTAGCAATAACAGTTGCCTATCTTGGTGCATTCTTTAATAAAGCTAATTCTCCGAAATAATCTCCAGGCTTGTAATCATAAACTTTTTCGGTTTAACCTTTCCAATAAGCTTCTAATTCACCTTCAATAATTAAATAAATTCTATCTCCAATTTCACCCTTGAATTAAAATATACTCTTACTTCATTAATAATATTTTCTCCAGCCTTATGTTTTTCTTCTTTAAGTACATCACACAATTAAACTCTTTCATAATTATCCATGGATTATAATAGTTCTATTTTGTTTAATATTTCCTCCATCTATTCTCTCTTCTTTATTGCTGAAAACTTGACTATATTATTAAAGGTTTCTCTATCTAATGCAAAAGTAGTAACATCCTCTATTGCCTTGATAGTGGCTGCTCTTGGAGCATTGTATAATAAGGCTAACTCTCCAAAAGATTCTCCTGGAATATATGTTTTTAATAATTTTTCTTCTTCTAATCCTGTAAACTTTTTGTAACATTCCAATCTTCCTTCATCAATAACATATAATTCATTTCCATCATCTCCTTACTTTATTACTACATCTCCGACTCTTTATTAAGTTAATAATATATTTTACTAAAACTTCTTCTCTTCCATAGCTCCTAATACTATATTGAGATCTTTTTCATCCAAAGCTTAAAACATAAATGAATTTAGTATTCTTTTCTTTATTCTCTCTATTTATGCTTCTGATTTCTATATAAATCTTGGCTTAAAGTCTTCCTTCTTATTGTAATCTCCATAAACTTCAGCAGAAACTGCTGCTCTAGTTTGTTACTTTTATTGTTGTTTTATCTCCAAAACTACTTCCTCCTCATCCTCTTCTTCTTCACTCAAATCATGATGAATCAATTACTACACCTTTACTCCACTTTCTAAACATTATGATATCTATATATTTTACATTGTTTTTGCAACCAATTTATTGACCAAGCATATACATCTTCTGGTTTCTCTATTACTATTCTAGAGATCAATTAATCAAACACTGGTTTCACTTTTATTTTTATGTATTCTTAGATTGTTGCTTTTTTCTCACTCATAATCAATATTAAAATTTAATCAATTTACCCATATATAGGTGGATATATCAAGTTTAATTTCATTAGCATATACATATAATTTTACATTTTTACATAACAAAAATAAATCTATCTAAATTACTTATCACTTTCATTATTAAACTACTTTTTATTTATATATATATAAATTAATATCCAAAATGAGAAAGAAAGTCTCTACTTTATAGGATTATTAAGAATGTAAATAACAAAATCTCTTAAATTACCTCAGCATTTTGGAGGAAAAGGAACAAGAGAAATTAATGGAAAAATTGGAATCCATTAATATTAGAAATCTAATTGATGTAAACTTATTCTCTTAATTTAAGGTCTATAATCATTATTAAGAAAAGTCCAATTAAAATCGTGAATTGAAACCTATCTAAAATGTATTGAGAGTAGAGTCTACTCCTAAAGAAACTCTTTAGTAGTATCAAAAATTGGGAGAAAGATTAATTTCAGAGGGGAAGGGTATTTTAACAATTTAATAATTATTAAAGTTTGTGTGGCTATGATGGCAGGTGGATAAGGCACTAGATTAGGTTTTAATAAGGCTAAAGGAATGTATGATATTGGATTGCCATCTCATAAAACTTTATTTCAAATATTTTGTGAACGTATTTTGAGTTTGTAGAATATGATCTAATAAAAGATTGGATAATGTTTACCAATTCAATTTTTTGTTATGACTTCTGATGTAAATCATGAAGAAACAACTCAGTTTTTTATTGATAATAATTACTTCAATCTTCAATCTGATCAAATAACATTTTTTTAATAGGATTCTTTACCTATATTGTCAATAAATGGAGAAATCATGTTAAGCGATAGTACATCAATTTTAGAAGGACCTGATGGTAGAATATTGTTATTATTCTTGAAAAGGAAATGGTGGTATATTCAGCAGTCTTTACAACCAGGGTTATTTGGATTATATGAAATGTTTAGGCATTAAATATATTCATATATGTCCAGTAGATAATGCACTTTGTAAATTATGTGATCCAATTTGGATTGGATATTAAGAAGAAAATAATTTAACAATATGTAGTAAATTTGTGAAGAAAGCATATGCAGAGGAGAAGGTAGGAATACATGCATTAATAAATGATAAACCTTGTGTAATAGGTTAATATATAAATTTAGATTAGAATATAGTGAAATGACATAAGAAGATTTACATAAGAAGAATTCTTAAGGATAATTACTTTATGATGCAGGTGGTATAGCTTAAACGATTTGTACTGTTGAATTTGCTCATAAGATTATTGAAGATCCTTAAACAAGTAGTTTATTGGCTGCTAAGTAATAAATATAATATAAATTATTAGTTATCATGTAGCATAAAAAAAATATGATTATTATGATTTAAATTAAAGATAGATTATTAAATCATAATAGAATAATGCCTTTAAATTTGAGTTATTTTATTTTGATTGTTTTCCTTTATGTACAAAAGAAGAATTTGGATTAATTGAAGTAAAAAGAGAAGATGAATTTGCTCCAGTTAAAAATGCTCCTGGTGAAAAAAGTGATACACCAGAAACAGCTAAAAAATTATATTTAGATAGAGATTTAAAATGGATTAAAAATTATGGTTTTTAATTTATTCAATAAGTTGAAATTTCTGCTAAAATTACATATTTTGGGGAAGGCCTTGAAAATATATTACCAAAATATTAAGGAAATAAATAAAATCCACTTATAATAACAAATGATAGATTATCAGCATAAAAGACTCCATAATTAGTCAAATAACCTTAGCCAAAATAATAACCATTATAACAACCATAATAATAATAACCATAATAATAATAATTAAAGAAATAACCATAAAAATAATAATAAAAAGGAGGAGTTTAAAATTAATAAATATATCCTTAAGTAGTTTATAATTCATTAATTAATTCAGCACATCCTTCAATATTATAACCCAATTATTATCCATATTAATCAACACCTTAGAACTCAAAGAATATTTTAGTTTAAGAGAATCCAATCCATTAAACTTAAATATTTAATCCTAGATTATCAATGTAACATCAAACAACATCATAATAATAATTAAAATAAATAAAAACAAGTGCATTCCCTACACCAACAATTTCAACTGTTACTACTCCAAAATTAATTACTCCTTAAACTAGATATCAACCTATAATGTATTCATAAAACCTTCCCAATTGTAAATAAAGTATTATTCAACCAGTTCAAATCAATTAATCTTTATCTCCATAAAGAGTTACATCATATTTCTAATCAAGAGCTGTGACTGTACAAAGACCTACAATGTTTACATAATAACGTCCTTTGATTTTATCAGCTCAAATATATATACCAATAACATAAACAATCAAAAAATGAATAATAAATATATCAATATTTAATTATTGAAAATATAATAGTAATATCACAAATTCAAAATGAACGATCTTATTAGTTTAAATCATCCTCATCTTACTTTTTTACTAAATAACCTTCAATTTCTCGTCCTATTGATTTTAATTCTAAAGTAACATTTAAATCAAATTAAAATAAACTTGAATAATCTTCTTCTAAATATTTCTTAGTTTACTAACTAACCTAAACATATCCTTTGACTCCATTTGATTCCATTTTATTCGCTATTAATACATCTGGTCCATAAATATCATATCTCACTATATCTGTACCCATTACACCACCAAATACAGATCCTGTATGAACTCCTATTCTCATATTAAGTCCATCAAAATTTATTTATTTTCTTACCTAAGCTATAATGTTAATCATTCCAAATGCTAAATCAATAATATTCTTAGCTTCTTAATGAGGATTTCTATTGTGATAATCTATCATTCCTATTGCTACATAACAATCCCCAATTGTATATAATTTATATACATTTAAATCACAACATTTTCTATCAAATTCTACAAACAAATTTTTTAACATTACTAATACTTCTTCTGGTTTTACTTTACTTGAATATTCAGTAAAACCAGCTATGTCTGCAAATAAAATTGTTAAATTATCTATTCTATCACAAATACCAATATTTCCTATTCTGTCATCTAAAAATTTATTTAATATATGTTTCGGTAATAAATATTATAGTAATTATGATTCTTTTTATTATTATGTTTTGAAAATGATTTTCTAATTAAAACAACCAACTTGTTATTATTCAATCAATAAAATCAACATTATATTATACATAGAACTGATTATTACAAAATATATTGAAATTACTTAAGTTCCATCAATTGCTAAAATTATTGTCGAATAAAATGCTATTGTCATACAAAATAAAACCTTCATCCAAAAACTAAGTATTTAAATACTACAAAATAATGATTAAATAAATATTATTTCATAAACATGAATGTTTTTTAACTGATTATCCTCTTCTAAAATTATAACTAATCCACTCAATAAAGCTTCAAAACATAAAAGTAATTTGATCAACATTTTCCATTTCTCAAAAAATTATTTATTATTCACTAAAAATTGAATCAAATTAATTAAACAACATAACCATTATAAAACTATCAAGCCTAAGTTTAAATCACTATAAAATTGAATTAGACAAAACTATTTAATAATGTAATAAAGAACATATATTCTTAAATTTTGTACTGTTTGATTTTTTGATTGAATTTTTACAAATTCAATATACTATTCATAACTAACAAATTGATTCATTTATTTTTTGTAATATGATATCTATAATAACTATAAAAATGAAGTTTCTTTAATAATATTGTGTTCTAATGTATATTCATTCTTTAACAAAATGACATTCTCTAATTAATTTATAAATTTTTACCAATAATTGTTCATAATCAATCATTTCATCTATTTCTGGTTCATAATTTTCAAGTTAAAATTTATTTTAAAACATAGTAACTAATCTTTTAAAAGTACTAGGTCTTTATTGAGATTATTTAATATGATTATCATCAGATCCATCTTTTGATAATAATTTAATTGAGTGTCTTGATTTATCATCAAGTGGTTATTAATAATAAGTTGGATCTATAGGTTTAATACCAAAAACATTTTATGCTCCTTATTCCTACATAGAGTCCATTTTTTATTTCATAGTATCAATCATAGTTAATATAGTTTTTCTTTTTTTTAAATCTTTTTTAAAGATTTCAGGGTTTTTTCTAACAAAATATTAACTTCTAGCATCCTTACTCTAAACATCCTATTCAATTTACATATATAATGGATTATCTTTATTTTAGATTTTACATTTATAAATATATGTAGGTCTAATACCTAAACCTTTCATTTCAACATTTCTTATTTCAAACTCAATATTTTCATTTTTTAATTAATCAAATGCTTACTCTGATAAAGTAATAGCATCTTCTAAACCAGTTGAACAAACTCTACTAGTTGTATTTATTGTATCACCAATTAAAGAAAACTAAGGTTTATGAAAACCTATCACACCACTTATAGCTCCTCCATAATGAATGCCTATTTTACCAACCAACTATTATCCTTTATATCCCCACCTATTGTCATCAAAAAACTTACATTTTTGATCTTATATATATCATCATTTATTCTGCTAAATTTAAGGCTCTTTAAACCGGGTCAACCTAAGATAGATAAGTCAATTCTTATTCACAAGCTTTCAAACCAGCAGATGCTAAATATGTCTTACCTACTGTTTCTATCTTTTAAACTCCATATATTTAACAATATTTATCAAATGTTCTAAATATGTCATCCAAAAATGTTATTATTTTATCCTTTTCCTCTATTACCATTTGATCAAAATTACAAATGTCACAAAATACTATTGCTACCAAACCTTAATTTTAATGAATATTATATTAATCAGCTAAAAACACAATATTCAATTTATTTACTTTCATTTAATCTATCTCGAATGAATTTTGGTAATAAAATACCTAAAATATCATTAATCTTATTATTCTATTCGATAAAATTTAATTTATTCTATGCTTGATCTTCTTCTAATTAAATAAACTAATTAAATTTAATTATTATTTTTACATAACTTTTTACAAAATATTGTTAAACTGAAAACAGAATTATAAATTATATTACGGCAATCTAATTTGATATTATTGAATCAGTTTCAACAATATACCAAGCTATATATCCAATCATTGTTGCAACTGCTGTTGTAATGTAAACTCTAAAATCATATATTGGATGAAATTTTATTGACAATTCATAAACTACAAATAATTAAATTGTTAAAATAGAATTAAGATTGTCTACAGATTTCATTACAAATAATATTGAAATTGTAGTGGCTGTTGATAAAAGGAATTTTGCATATTCTAAGTATTCTTATTAATTTGTTGGTAATTAAAATAAAAGTTGAATCCCAAATTATATTGCTTGAAGACAAAAACTTATTAAATAATCAACTAAAAAAAAATAGTTTCTATCTTAGTAAATGTATAAGATTAAAATAAATGTATTATGATAGAAAAGTAATTAGAAACTTTGAATAATTTATTTCTTCTTCCACATCAATATTGTTTGAGCCTTCTTAAATATTTATTAACGCCATTATCCAAATTTACTTTAATTATTCTATTAATTTAAAAGTACTAATAATTAAATTTAATATTATACATTTTTATATACTCAAATCTACTTATTCAATATTTTCAAAAAGTTCATTTACTTTATTTTATAAAATAGTTAATGTTTTCTTTTTTTATTTCTATGTTATCATTAATTAGATATAATTTAAATATGAAAGAAAATCATCGTTAAAAATTGGTATGCTTATACTATGTTAATTTTCCAAATAATCAAAAAGAAGGTTTGTTATTAAAATGAAAGTAGTTCCTAAAATAATTGAAAATACATCTTGAGGATCTATTGATTCATTCCATTCATTATTTTGAGCATTGTCAGATAATATATAGATATAAAATAAGATAGGAAAAAGACCAGCTAGAATTATTGCTTCAATGATATTCAAATTTATCATCAAATAAAGCCAATCATTAATACTGATTGACATAAAAATATAAAGATAGTATTCTAAATCATACATTCTGTAAATAAAAATACATGAAATAAGAACTCCTTATAGAATATGTTTTAAAATCATTATTATAATAGTTTCCATTTATGATTTATGTTATGAATATTTTTAGAGTAAAATTGATTAATCTTTGTTATCTTTTAATTTTTTTGATTGATCTATAAAAGAGTAATGTTATAAGGAAAATAAAACTAATTAGTATATGTAGAAGTAAAATATGATTTCGATTAAATAATCCATTTAGTCTAAAGTATTCCATGTATAAATCATAGTAACAAACGTGAAGGAAGAAACGAAGGTTATTGTTTTATATAAGGTTTGTTAATACAAGGCTCTAAAGAATATTTTTAAAAGAGGACTCTAAAAAAATAGGATTCTATCCAACTCTTTATAGCCTTGTATTATAACATCTGTATTAGAGTTGATTTACATTTCATTAAAATAACATTTTTCAAATATCAATCTTTATTATAAGGATATGATTAGTTTTGAAAAGAACTGTTTTCTTTCAACTTTTTCAATTTTTTAATTTTTAAACAAACTGAATTATTATAATTGTAATATTTATAATTAACATCCATGAAAACACCTTAATAAACTTTAGTTTTCATATAGTAAATTAATAGTTTTATCTGGAGTACACCAGATATCTTATATAATATTAAGTTAATCTTGAGTAGCTTAATAAAGAAAGAGTACTTTAGTAAAGCCAAGTATTAATTTGAGATTATTTTTGAAATAATGGTTTTCCATAATATATTATAATGATTGATTATTCATCATTACAATAATTTTTTTAGTTCTAGGTTTTTCTTCAACTTATTCAACAGTTATTTATTTTTGTGAATTAAGAGCTTAAATTTTAATAAATTGGGATGAATTGATACTTGCATCTCCAAATGTATTAGAAAAATCTTGTAAACTTTATTTGAAATAGGCTCTTAAATCCTCTTCATTTTATTAATTGAAATGTAAGATCAAATCATTCTACAATAGGAGTTCAGATTAATATAAGATGGAAGTTGAAAAGATTTCTTAATTTTAAGTGTAGACAAAAATTTGATAATCAGATTTTCTAATTTTTTTCATAAAATCTTAGCAATCAGTTTTAAGTGTATATTTTAATCCCAAAATGATATTTAATTTAAATACTTATTCCATAAGTGTATATAATTAATTATCTGGAGTATTACTTTCAACTGATTATAAAAAAACGGTAGCACTTTCTTAGGTCAAATAACAATATGAATAATAAATGTAATGAAGTTAATCATATTGATGTTTCCATACTTTATCATCTATACCTTCATTTTTTTTTACATTTCCTTCTCTTAAAAATAGAATAAATTATTTATCATTATCCTAATAATATTCAGCCATTTCAAATAACATAAATAATCTTTATCTTTAAATGTCTAATTTCGTTATGACTAATTTAAATGAATGGAATTCTTAATTAATCTAAATGATGTAGTGTTAAACATTTCTATTTATTAATAAAATATATTTACTAAACATTATTGACACATATAAATTCATAACCCATAGCTTTTGAAAGATTTACTTATTTTTAATCTAATTATCCAAGAAATTTATTTTTAACTTTTTATTCTTTTTTTTCAGTAATTAATAATTTTGAAAAAGCAAGATGATTCATTGCTAATTAAAGTAACAAAGGATTCAATTCATCTGGTGAACAATTTTTCAACATATTTTTACATAGTTCTTCTTCATCTATTTAATAATCTTCTTATTTAAATTGATCTTTTAATGATTGATAACCTTTAGAACTTCGAACAGGATTAGTTGCCCTTTAGATTGTTTCATTATAATAACCTTCATGATTATCAATTATAGTTTTATCTTTTGAAATCTATTCTTATTAAATTAAATCCATTTAATTTATATTAAGATCTTCTTTTGATTCCTATTATTAATAATAAATAAATCTGCCTTCAACAGATTTTGGAATTTAATTAATAATGCATTCTCTTTAACTTATAAGTTCATCAGAACATGAACTTTACATAAGGTAGTTTATTACTTAAGAACCTTGTTGAATTTCTTCTTATTCTTTTATTATAAAATTTAACAAATACCCTCTTTTTCTACATTTCGAAGTTCCTCCTTAGCATTCAAAAAACCTGTACAAGTTTATACTAAAAATTAAAGAAATTTTTATTCTTCAAATTCACACAATTTATTATTATAAATAATACATTGAAGTGAAAAAGAATTATCAATAAAAGCATCTACACTAACTGTTAGAAATTATTTATCTATATATTTATCAATGTGACAAGACATTATTTATTTTTAATCTACAGTTCCTATTCCTTTAAGTTGTATAAGACTACATAATTTATAGTAAATTTTATAACAATGAGGAACCATTAAAACCAAATAAATACAATTATCAATTACAATTTATGTAATTGATCTTAAATTCCTTAAAAATTCATTTTAGTTGTATACAATTATTTGTACCTTTAAAATTATTTTAAATATTACAATTATAATTATCAAAACTATGATATATTGTGGAACAAATTGAAAATTCTCAAATCTAAGTTAACCTAAATATCTTGCATAACATTAACAACTATTCCCTACTTTAACTACAATACCCAAAACCCATGGAGTGGATAATAATCTTTCTTAACAAAAAATAAAATTCTCAAATCCAAATATTCTTGATTAAGGATCTTTCTTTAATTAAAAAAATCCTTTAATATTAAAATTATGTTCATAACATACAATATTACCTGTCAAAGATTTTTTAAATTAAGCTAAATTCTAAGAATCAGCTAAAATAATAATTATAATAGTTTACATCTATTTTAAACTACAGGTTTTCTAACTGTCGTAGATGAATAATCACATAATTAATGTTGTACACTAAAATTTTCATCATTACAATGTAAAACTAAAATATCACAAGGTGCTCTTTAGTTTCTTTCTAATATAATTACATCTCCTATCATTATATTTTCAACACATTAGATTTTAATTAAATTCATTTTATCTTTTTCCATCTTTTTTAATTTTTCATTCAACGGTATTTTCTATGCTGTAGGTGTAGCAGCTTTTAAAAACATACTTGGCACTTTTTTTTTGAATTCAATTATCAATTCATTATCTTCCATCATTTAAATCTATTTTAATTTCAATGCCATATCCTTATATATCAATGGACTCATTTAATTGTATTTATTTGCATTCTCAGTTCTAATATTTTTATTGCTCTATTATTATTTATACGATATATTTGAAAAGGGAATTGATACATTAGCTTAAATTTAATTTCATTATTTACAAACTATTGTTCCTTTTTTCTAATTTTAAACAAATTCCACTTTTTTAATAACTTAAGAACTTTTTTCAACTTATGATTTACTCTTTTGTCTTTGATTACTCTCACTTTGATCCTACTTATTTAATCTCTCTTTTATTGTTTCAATTATTTCTTTATTAATAATGCATTCATCCCATTATTTTAATACTCTTGCTTCCTAATTATTTACCATTTCATCCATTTTTCTAATTTTTATAAAATTATGCAAATCAACTAACCATTGTTAAATTATCAAAAGAATCCCTACAAAATATAAGGCTTTTGAAGAGAAAACTTATAAAATAAGTAGGACAAAGTAAATTATATTTTCTTTTAAAGCTCTAAGAGGAATAAAAAATTTGAGATTAGCTCTTTTTATTTTATTCTCATTCTCACTAAAACCATCTTATAAAACAGTCTCCCCATTTCGAAATTAAATCTTAATAATACTATTTTTATTCAGATAGTACTTGATATGTGTTTTTTTTCATTTCATTATTCCTCCTATAATTCAGAAATAATTATTTCATTTTAATTTATAACAGAATGTCAATCAATTAAGAACTCAGTTTTGACTCAAAATCGAATAGCAATTTTAAAAATTATTAGTCTGAGTCTCATTACAATCATTTGATAGAATAATGGTAAGATAAAATTTAAAGCCTATAATAAAATATCTAAGAAATGCAATAATAAAAAGAGGATGTCAAAAATGCTTTATTAGAAGCATAGTCTAGATTAAAAAATAAACGATCGTTTATAGAGGATTCAAAGGATCATCTTAATGAAACTAAGGAATTAGATTATGTAGTTCCAATCAATTTAGAAAAACTAAATAATTCAATGAGTTAATACTTAGATGAAAGTATCACAACTTAAGAATCTTAATCTCAAATCTAGAATGTTAAATTTCAACCTATAGCTTCATTTTTAATGGAAATTTAATTGAAAGAACGTTACCTTTAAAATTTTATCGATTTAAGAATATATGATAATATAAGTTTATAAAATTCTTTACCTACTTCAAATCAATGTAAATATTTGCTAAATAAATATGGTATTGATAGATTGGGATATTAAAGAAGAATTTTAGCCAAATTAGATGAATGTAATTTTAACTAATTTATTTTTAGAAATGGGATTAACTTCTTAAAAAAGTTTACTATAAAATTTGAACAATTATTAAAATTATATACCAACAATAAAGGAATGGCTAAAATCAATAAATTTTTAACATTATTATCCAAACTTTATTCTAGCTGGTTATGACAATTTTCAATATTTAATTTATTTAGAATAAAGTTAATATAAATTGACTCTAACAGATTTCAAAGAATCTTTCTGTATTGATAATGAATCAGATTCTAAATTAATTTTGGCACATCTTGTTATAAGTAATTTTTAAAATTTATTACTATTAGCTTTTGATAAAATTATGAATTTTAATTTATGGAATATTTAAACCTCAAAAAAAAATAAAGAATCAGATTTTCTATTAGTTTAATGTGCATTACCTAATAATAAATGTTTAATTTTTTGAGAAAAATGAATTAATTAATTAATTAGTTAATATTATATCATTTAAAATATTTTTCCCTTTCTAGAATTTCTTTAATTTCTTAATTTTAGTAAAGGTCACTCAGTTATTAAATTGATTTCCCATTTTTAGTCAGTAAATCAGTTCTTGCTCCATATTTTAAAAGTAGTCTTAATAACTATGGATTTTATTTTTTGATTGCTATATGAATTGCGTAAAACCCTTTCTAAAAATAATTTTTTTCACAAATGTACTTGATCAGGTGTATTGATTATCTAATTATCAAAGGATCTGTCTTAAAAAAATTAATTTAGAGATTTGCAATCACAATTTTAAATTAGTCTAAAAAAATGTTATTATTTTTCAGATATTTCAGGTTATTTAAATCTTTCAACTAATTATTCAATGTTAGCTTTAGATTCTAATATTTTAGATGACATATATTAAGTAACATCTTCTACTTCTATATTTTGAATTGATGGTTTATGGCAATGTAAAGGATTTAAAATGCTAGATTGTCTTTGCAACAAAGATGTTTTTTTATGTAATTTTTTCTTTGGTTCCATATTAAGTAAATTATGTAATTATCTCTTTCCCTGTAAATTAATTTTCTTAAGATCATTAATAGTGGGATCTATTAAATAAGTTCCATTAAAGACTTTAGAAGTATTTATTTTAGATCTCAAGCATTATTTTCTATTTAATAAGTAAAAATAGTACAATTATTCTTCAACTGACATAAAATCAATTTCTTCTTAACTTAGTTCATTATAGTTCTTTTCATTTAAATATATACTTTTTGGATTTCTCTGTGTTTTTATCTTAAATTTACTTAATTAAACTTACTTTAGATAAAATATTTTTAGCTTATTATTACTCAATTCTACTTGAAAAAGGTTATAAATAAACATCTTTTAATACAGAAAGGTCTTGTGTATTTAATTTGCTCATTTTTAACAAATTTAATTAAACTATTTTCTAATCAATCACTCCTGACTTCAAATATTCTGACAAAGCTTTTTTATGAATTTAATAGAGGACATTTTCTCCAAGATGAAATTTTCTACTACTTAATGAGTCTGATTAATTGCTAATATGACAGTTTATGCTCTAACTTGTTAATCTTGGTAAAGAATGCATTTCAGAGAATAAAATAATAAAATTTTAATATATTTGAATTCTAAGTAATAATATTAGGCTTTGCTAAAATATTCTTTGATTATTAAATTAACGAATATATTATAAAGTTTTATATATGACTAATCAATATAAAATAACTAAATGTAACTGTTTTAATCAAAATTAATCTAACTGTTCATTAAATCCTGTTTATTTGTTTCTGAATATAAAATTTACTCCTAAAGGTGATGGATTACTTTCTAGATCAGATTCATATTCTTTTTCAAAATTATTGAAAAAATCATAATCTTATTCTAATTTTATCATTGAAGTTTCCTCTTATTTTTAATAATTTTATTAATTTGAGATTGAATGCTATCCAATTTCATTAATTTCTTCATTTTATTTGATATCTGATAGATATTATAGAACAGAATTATCTTAAATTTTATTTTTTTATATAGTTTTTTTATTTTCTTTGACTTTCTATGTTTTTAATATTTTTTTGAGCTTTTTGGAATTTTTTCTTAAATAATTTCTTAGTACACCCATTTTCTCATTAGCAAATTGATTAACATCAGTCAGCAATTAAACTTTTTTAAATAGCTGATTATAATCTTCTAAACTTTTTTTAGGAATTCCTATTATCTCAGCTGCTTTATTTAAAGTTAATCTCATTGTAGTACCATCTTATTATGGAATTCCATTTGAAAGAATCATTTTCCATTAATTTACCTTTAGTATTGCATCTCCAACTAATCTTTCTTTTACTCTTTTAAGTGGTGGTATTGAATTATCAAAAGTGAATGGATTCATTAGTATAAAGTAAATATTATTAAATGATTAAAATAACAAAAGCACATTTAAACTTAAATTAATGATGTTTAAATTAATTATATAGCATATCTTCATCAGAATTCAATTTTTTAAAGTTACAACCTTATAATAGGGATTTTAATTGTTTCTATTAACAAAGAAATGAATACTTAATATTTATTTATCCAGAAAATTTATATGATCAAAATTTAAATATTTTCTTATTTATTGATTTTTCCCTCCAGATATCATGTTTAACAAATTTGTTCTATTATTAATTCATTTTACTATTAAATAGAATATTGTAAACAATCATATTAGAAAGGTAATTAATTTCTAAATTAACTTGTGTTGATCATTTAAAGATATAATTTATAATTAAAAATTGAATTTAATTCTAAGTATTTTTTTAATCAGATATTGAATACTAATAATATTAAAATATTATAAAAAATAATTTTAAGTTCAGAATGGGTATTACATGTTAGAGAATGAAGAGTTAAAATAATTTTAATGTAATGGAATTGCCTTATAAGTATGGACATTAAAAGAATTAGCGTCCATGTCATTGCATATATTTGGTCTGATAATGGACATAATCTATTTGATTATGAAAGTGACTCTTTAATCAAAAAGTAACTGAATTTTGATTTTTAAGGTAATAAACTTATAAATTAAAGAATAGGAAGAGTTGTATAATTAGATCGAGATATTCTTGCACTTACAAAGAATGTAATTAATTGAACTAAAATTATCTAGGAAGTAGTGAGAAATTAAAAAGAAATATTTGAGTTTCGAAGTAACCAATAGTTTATTGAACTATATAATTCAAAAATTGATGATGCCTTTTGGAAGGTTATTAGACCTGTATAATCTTCAGATTTGCCAACTCTTGATAAATAGAAATTATCAATTAATTCTATAATAAAGTTAGGAAGAGTTCGATTCACAGTATTATATTATAGTTTTGCTTACGAATTTGATGATAAAGCTATACCAGATGAGATTGAAGACATAAATAAATTAAATGATAGTGATTACTTTGAAAGTAAAGTATAATGCAGATTTTGTCTCAGTAAATTGGCCACAATAGAAAACCCATTCATCAGTCCTTGCAAATGTGCTGGTTCAATAAAATTTGTTCATTTAAAATGTTTGTAAAACTGGCTCAATAGTTAATTGAAAACAAAAGCATAAAATGGAGTTACATTATATTATTGGAGAAGTATGAAATGTGAACTATGTAAAGTAGCTTATAAAAGTAATTTTTAATTAAATGTTTTAGCATCTTTTAAATTCAAATAATTTCAATATAATATTTGTGATATTAATAAACCTAAAGAGCCATATTTACTTATGCAAATTAATCATAGTGATAAAAATAAAGAATAAGGACTTTATGTGATTGAACTTAAGAATAAAGATATTATTAAAATAGGAAGAACATAAGATTGTGATATAAAATTACATGATATATCAGTCTCTCGTCATCATGCAAGTATTTTTGTAAATTAAAATGAAAAATCATTTCATATTGAAGATAATTGTTCGAAGTTTGGAACTTTGGTCCTTGCTTAAAATGAAGATTTATAAATTCATTTGAATTCTTAAAAACGACTAGCTTTACAAATAGGTAGGATAGTTATTGTTGTAACTATTGATAAAAAGATGAAGAAAAAAAAGTATTTATTTTATATATGCAGTTTTAAAAAGTACAGAGTACCTGCTTAATTTGAAGTTTTTCGATAAATTAAGTAACAAGATGATGAGGAAAAAGAAGTAACACCAGATTAATAATAATTAGATGAAGAAGAAATATTAATAAATGATCCAGCCTTTGATAAAGATCAAGATTTTAATAAATTTTAAAAAATGAATTTTCTTACTGGAAGTATTATACAAAAAGACTGAAAGTGATAATAAAATACCTTAAATTGAATTTATAATTCATCTATTGTTATTTCACATATTAAATATATCTTAAAATTTAATTCATAATTAATCAAAAAATTTTCGATTTAAGATAGATCTTAAACTTTTCAAAATTGTGTTCAATTTAAAAAAAGATTTTTTAGATTCTAATTATTTGATATTTCTTAGAATAGAAGGATTAATACAATAATTATTAGATTTAATTATAAATTTTTCGAAAATTTACTTTTTCTTATAAAAATTAGAATTAATATTTTTAAAAAAGAGTCATTATTTTATCTTAAGTTTTTCAAATAAATTTTTTCATATTATTATTATTAAATCATATTATATTTTCTTATAATTATTGTTTTGCAATATAAAAATTATTCTAAGTAACTATAAATAATTATAAATCTAAAATTGATGTGATTATATGTTATTTGTAATATTTATTTTAAATAATTAATAGATGACGAAAAGTTTAAAATAATTATAGTATTATAGTTTATAAATAAAATAAATTTACATTTTTGTAAATAAAAATAAAAGATAGTTATAATAAATTATTTTAAAATAGTTAAATGATATGTGAGTTGATATTTAAAAATATTATAGGGCTCTTGTAATAAAGAAGAGAAAATAGTTTTAAAATTAATTTTTTTAAGTTTTGATTAAGTTATTATTTATTTAGTTTATTTTAATTAAACATTATTTTATTTTAAAATTTTAGTTAAGTTAAAATTGGTTGATGAGAATTAAAGAATCTATTAAGTTTAATTTAATTTTATAACAATAATTGTGTAGTAAGACTAGAAATTACGAATAATAAATATAATGTAGTAGTAAATTAGATGTTGAAATAAAAGGTATGGTTTAAAATGATTTAGAGAAATAATAAGATTAATATATTTTTTTGGTAAATATCTAAGAAATATTGTATATAAAGTTTATAATAAATGTATTAAGAATTTACAACCTTAATTAATGGAATGAGTAATTCGATTCCAAAAAAGAATATTGCTGAAGTTTATAAACATAATAAGCAACGATAATTGAATTTATTACAGAGGAAGAGTTGGACTCCATCAATAAAATATTCAATGTTTAAATCTGATTATGGGACAAATGATTATGAAATTGTAGCTCAAGAGAGTTCAGATTCTGAATCTATTGTTTTTACACCTTCATAATATCCATCATTACATAAAGTTGCTTCTCAAATTATTATGATTTCATAATATTCTTAGATTCCATGTTCAACAGTATTAAAGGATGGTTTGAAATCTAAATTAATAATTAAAAACATAGAAGAGAATATTGAAATTTAAAAGGTGTAAGAATTTGTGGATAAGTTACCTATAAAAGGTTTTGTTTAAGAAATAAAATAAATATACTATTAATAAAATCCATGCTTATTATTTTAGTTGAAAACTGATTAACCATTAATAGTGGCTAATCAATTTATGAGTAAATAAAATCAGAAATAAGCAAAATCAATTTTTGGTTATAAATTTAGTTGTGGATAATTGGCATTGATGAATGAAGAATTTGCTGCAATAATATTGAGAGGATTAGACAAAACTATTAATGTTAGTTAGATAGAAAAGATAATTTGTTATACTTTGAAAATGGAATAAAAAGAATGTATAAGAGAAAGTCAAAAACACATAATAGATATTGAAAATGTAGGATGCATTACAATAGTTTTAAAAGACTTAGAATATTGTGAGAGAATTGCTATAGCATTTAATGGAACAAATTTGAATGGATTATAAAAAAATAAAATATTAGTTAATGTTCATCCTGAATCTGTGAAGGTCAGAAGAATTGATATTAGTTAGTCTATGTAGAAAGGACTATTATAAGTAAATTAATTAAGCAATATATAGAAAATAATTAAAGTTAATGATAAAGAAATGAATTGACAATTTTATTTATTTATATTATTTTTAGATTTCCCAAACACTGTTGGTAATAGCAAAATCAAAATGAAAACTCTTTCATTGAAATATGTATATAAAAATTAAATATTATTTTATTCAAAATGACAGCCAAAGATGTTATTATGAAAATGAACAAAGAAGCTGAATACAATGCACTTACAGCTGATTTTTAAGGAAATGATACTAAATTTGTAGGAGAATATGAAAATGTCAGAATTCCAACTGATAAGAAAGAGATCATTAAGGATGCTTTTAGAAAAGTAGCTATTGCCTGTAAACCAACATTAAAGAAGTAAAATTCAATCTATAATTTAGTCTTTCTTTGAGATAGAATTGGTTAGATTTGTAAGATAGAGTCTATAATAGAGCATAATACTACACAAGTATCAAATAATCATTTATATTTATGTAGCTGATGCAAATTCATGCATTAGTGATGCAAGAAATGTAGCTGAAGTTAATGTTTGCTGCGACAATTATATTCAAAGACTCAACAATGATTTCTATAATGATGTCTTGCAAATATTAAAAGATTATTGAGATATTTCATTTATTAAATATATACAAAAAAACAAAATATATTTATATATATATATTTATCATAAAGATATTCCATTTATCTATTTAATCATTTAAATTTATAATAAGAGGCTCCTTAATTTATATCGATGGAATTATTTTATATTTCAAATCATGATTTTGTTTCTTCTTTTATAAAAAAATCAATATTAAAGATCATTATCTATTTTTTTTATTTTTATTCTCATATCAATTAGCAATACCTTAGTTGATAAAATAATAATTTAAATCTAATTTATAATATTTTGAGAAATAAATAGTACTAATTATGAATAATGTTAATTCATTAATTTAATACACTATCTTTAAGCTAATAATTTATAAAGATTTTCATAACAAGAATTTAAACAAGTTTTACTTTTAGTTAAACAAAAAAATTTAAAGAATCATACACTATGATTAATAATATTTCTTAAAAATAATAAATTCATCATTGCCCTTAATTATTATTTAAACAGCTCCCTAAACTCTTACTTATTTTGATTCTTCAATTAAATTACCTGATCTATTTAATCAATCAACTATTTTCTATTCAGAATTTATAGATATCTTTATAACTACTTGAAGCGATATTTTATTTTCTAATATATTTACTTTTCAAAATCCTTTTTATTCATCTGAAACTCTATTCGATCTAAAATTCATCTCTATTTATTCAGCATTTAAAAAAAAACTATCTAATTCATTAGTTTGAGTTTACTTATTTTTCATGTAAACAAATATAAAATGATGAAATATATATCATGTCACAAAAATATATATTAAATTAAATTAAATTTATTTATATTATGCAATATTAATTTTTGAATTTTAACAACTTTAAGAAGTGTTAAAGTTGTTTTATTTATAAATACATCAATAAATTTGAATATCTTATTCATCAAATGCAAGATATAAGTTTTTAATCTGATTTCCTATTTTTATGATTTTAAATATAATTTAAGAAATCCAAATTAACAATGTTATTATTTTTACTATTTTAAAAGTAAGATAGATTCTTAAAAAATGATAGTTATTAAACATAATTTTTGATGGAATTTACTTTTTTGAGTAAATTTTTTTTTTATTAATAATTTTGTTGAAGTTTTAACTATTATTACTACTATTCGTCAATCCTAATTTTAAATTGTAGACTTTATATTCATTTTTCAAAGTTGATTCTATTTTAGAAGTTCTTATTGTTTACTGTGTGTTGTTTTATCGAATTTTCTTTTCGCATTTTTATTAAAATTTTTTCTTAACCTTTCCCTTAATTTAAATAATTGTTGATTTTCAGTTTTTCTAATTTAATCTCTTTTATATTCGATATTCAATTAACTTTAAATTTTATAACTTTTCTAAGCTATCATTTGGCTTTGAATAATGCAATTCATTTCGAGAAAAAAAGTATAAATTTTATTGGAAATTAACTATTAAATTTAATTTTTTCATTAGAATGAAAATTAATTAATATGATATTGAAATTATTCTTAATTTAAATCACACTTGGGATTATCACATATGATTAATCAGATTATGTAAGCTTTTCATATTAAAAACCTGGATTTAATTGCTAAAATGGATTTACCTAAACTGCCACAATTCTTTTTTCAGATTCATTTGCAAATACTCCTAAAATAATTATTATTCCATTAACTCAAGATTATATTTCTGCAGGTTCAAAATTAATAGTGATGCTTGAAATTTTAAGTGTCACTTTAACAGGTACTTTATAAAATTATATATATTTTACATTAAAAATAACCTGTCCTAGTAATAAAGTCAATTTGTATTGGTTATATTGATATGTCATTGATGATGCACGTATTGGAGTAATCATTGAGACAAATGCAAAAAATTAATTGCTTCTAAATAATATCCAATTTAAAATCCAAACACAAAAAAAGCAATTGCTTCTATAATGATTATTGGTTATAACGGATCATTTAAAATTGATCTATCTGTAAATTATATATTTTAAATAGATTATTGCATTAACTTCAACTTAAGTAACTTTGGGTATTAATAGTGATATTTCAAATTTAATTCATCTGGATTATTAAATAATATTGGCTAGTGAAGAAGCTTTTCCTTAAATAAATTAAAGGGTAGCCACAAGTGGTTATACAAGTGAGCTTTTTACTCTTGATCCTAATAATTAATTTATGACAACTTATAAGAGAATTCAAACTAGTAATGGAAATTCATTTAGGTTCTAATTAGATAAAACTCAAATTTTACCTACGGTTTCTTATCAAAGTTCTACATGTAACAAATTTAAATTTAACAATAGGCTCCGGTAGTTCTTATTCTTCAAACACAATCATTAGATTAATCTACAAATCACCTCAAGATTAATTTTTTTTGACAATGGAATGTTTTACAGTAAGATATAGCTAATTATTCGATAAAGAAGCAGATTTAAAATCAGCTTTTGAAATGAAAATTTTTGAGATCAATAAAGTTTATATTTCAGTTGGATCAGATTCTATAATTCTTAATGAATCAACTTAATTATTAAATATCCATGTTTATTATAAATGCCCATCTAACAATAAAAAAGTACACAGTCAATTGAATAAATGTAATAGTTGTAGCGGAACTAATAAGATTTATAACTTAAACCATTATTGTCATGGATCAATCAATTCAATTAATATCTTTNGATTTAATTGCTAAAATGGATTTACCTAAACTGCCACAATTCTTTTTTCAGATTCATTTGCAAATACTCCTAAAATAATTATTATTCCATTAACTCAAGATTATATTTCTGCAGGTTCAAAATTAATAGTGATGCTTGAAATTTTAAGTGTCACTTTAACAGGTACTTTATAAAATTATATATATTTTACATTAAAAATAACCTGTCCTAGTAATAAAGTCAATTTGTATTGGTTATATTGATATGTCATTGATGATGCACGTATTGGAGTAATCATTGAGACAAATGCAAAAAATTAATTGCTTCTAAATAATATCCAATTTAAAATCCAAACACAAAAAAAGCAATTGCTTCTATAATGATTATTGGTTATAACGGATCATTTAAAATTGATCTATCTGTAAATTATATATTTTAAATAGATTATTGCATTAACTTCAACTTAAGTAACTTTGGGTATTAATAGTGATATTTCAAATTTAATTCATCTGGATTATTAAATAATATTGGCTAGTGAAGAAGCTTTTCCTTAAATAAATTAAAGGGTAGCCACAAGTGGTTATACAAGTGAGCTTTTTACTCTTGATCCTAATAATTAATTTATGACAACTTATAAGAGAATTCAAACTAGTAATGGAAATTCATTTAGGTTCTAATTAGATAAAACTCAAATTTTACCTACGGTTTCTTATCAAAGTTCTACATGTAACAAATTTAAATTTAACAATAGGCTCCGGTAGTTCTTATTCTTCAAACACAATCATTAGATTAATCTACAAATCACCTCAAGATTAATTTTTTTTGACAATGGAATGTTTTACAGTAAGATATAGCTAATTATTCGATAAAGAAGCAGATTTAAAATCAGCTTTTGAAATGAAAATTTTTGAGATCAATAAAGTTTATATTTCAGTTGGATCAGATTCTATAATTCTTAATGAATCAACTTAATTATTAAATATCCATGTTTATTATAAATGCCCATCTAACAATAAAAAAGTACACAGTCAATTGAATAAATGTAATAGTTGTAGCGGAACTAATAAGATTTATAACTTAAACCATTATTGTCATGGATCAATCAATTCAATTAATATCTTTGCTTAATACAATGTCTAAGCAAATTACAAAGAAATATTAATAACTTTAATTAGTAATAGTATATCCATCGTTTAAACTTTAAGAAATAAAATTATCACGGATTAAAATATATTAAAAGTAGAATTTTTAGATACCTTAGAAATTCTTAATAGTCAAGAAATCTAAAATAATGGTATGCTAAATAAATTCTCTAGAATAAACACTATCATAATAATTAATCTCATCGCTGCATAATTCTATCATTAAGTTGATTTTTCATGTATTTAAAATTATCATGATAAAATCTATAGATTTAATTTACAATTAATCGATCGTAAAATAGCATAGTTATAATCATCAAATAAATGAAACTTTAATTTCTTCAGACAACATATTCTTCTTATAAATATATGATCTTAATGAACATTTTATAATGTGATAAATCATAGATGTTGATTATGAATTGATTTATTGAAAATTAGGAAAGCTAGGTTATTTACAGTAATCAGTTATTAAAGTTTAGTTTTTTTTTTAGTTGTAATAAATTATGAGGAGTGTGCAAAAATTCATTTTCAATCTTTCATTTAAAGTCATTCTAGTCCAAATACTGGATCAACATTTAACTAATTTATAAATAATACTTGAGTGGTAAAGTAAAAAGGATCTGAAATAACTCTAAATGGAGATTATGATCACATTGAATTTTTTTTACTAATTAATCATCTTAAAGAAGCCGATCAACCATTATATCAATAAATAATTGAAACTTATATTTAATATCTCTAAATTGATAAAATTCCTAAAATATTATTCGTTTAAATTTAAAATTTTTTGTGTTAAAAGAAAATAATAAAATTAATTTAATACTTATTTTTTTAGAGTTGATAAATCTAATTAATTAGAGGAAGACAAAAATTACTAATTTAATCTATTTCCATAATTTTTATAAGTTCCTATGCATATTAAGCTACAGATTTATTTGGTATTAAACGAATTTTAATAAGAACAGATAACGATTATTGTTAATTCTAATCAAAAATCTTATAGGTTAGCAATGAAGATTCAAAAAATATAAATTTATTAAAAGAGTCGCTTTAATAATAAAATATTTCTAAATAGTTCTAGTAGGAAATATTTTAAAAAGATTACTTTTGATATGATAGTTTTAGTATCAATAATTAAAGATAATAATTGGAAATTTTACTAATTTGTTTTATTGCTTATGCTTATAATTAAGATTTCATTATATATTTCAATAATGCAAATTTTTATTTTATCTGAGCAATCAAGACTTGAGATGTATATTATGTTGATAAATCAGACAATTACTAAATAATTTGTATTATAATACTTATTCTATTTGTTTAATATAATCTGAGATTAAATGTTAGTTATTATTTGATAATCCTGTTTAACTTTCATGAAATGAAGATTAAAAGGAAAGTTCTTATTAATCTTGTTTTAATAATTCAAATCTTTCTAACATGCTTAATTTACTCATATATTCTTTTTTTAATTATTTAATCTCTTCATCATATCCAATAATCATTGTAGCTTAATCTAAAGTTAGGAGCTGGATATTTTGAATATTAAATTTAAGCATTTCCTGCATAAATAATGGCTTACTTCATTAATTTAAAAGTCTTCAATTTAATTCAAGTCTTGACAATAATTTATTTAATAATTAATTGTTTGCGACTTCTAAAAAATTTAGTTAAGCAAATTAGAATAGTGAATTTTAAAAGCTTAAATTTATCAATAAACTTCTAAAAAATAATACTCTATCTTACATAGAGATATTATAGTTATGAATTGAATCATTATATCATTTCTTAATTTTCTCCTTAATCCATTTATTTTGATGAGTATTTATTTATAGTGATAATATTTTAGAAAACTATTAAAACTTTATGAGAAATAAAATGAAAAACTCAATTTGGCAAAAATCTAATAAATAAATTTAGTAATTATAATAATTACACTTGTATCTAATTTATAAAGGCTAAATAGTTACAATTATAAACATGAAATAGAAATCTTTTCAAAAAATAATGTAATAAGAAAATTTGTGTATATTATTAAGAAATCAATAGAAAAATTCATAAAATTTTAACTATTAAAGAAATTCTTTAAATAAATAAAAAGGCTTTCAAAAAATCAATTATAATAAAAGATTCATGTTAAAAAGAAATGATGAAATACATCAATAAAGTAAGGAATTGTTTTAAGAGATATCAGAAAATAAATAAAATGATACGATTTAATTATTATTTAAGATGTCTCATATTTATTCAAATATCTTTATTTTTTATGTAGCTTATCTTAAACTTTTGAATAAACTTTCAAAAATCCAATAAAAAAGCAGATTGATGGTTTCTGAAATCAAATAATATGATGATATATAAAATAATGAAATAAACTGTTATTTGTGCAAAACAATAAAATTGCATAAATTAATGTTCAACAACATCCACCTCCTTATTTTTTATCTTCTGTAGCATCATTTGATTTTAGTTATTAGGTTTGATTCTACTATTACTGTAATTATGGGGCTTTCTATTTGATTAAAAAACTTATTACTTATTATTAAGGCTGTTATTATTATTATTATTCATTTGGACTTCCTTGTAAATCATAGGATAATTTTTTAAAGAATTCTGCTACATTATGTGCACTTTTAGCAGAAACCTCTGAAAATTAAGCTCCCAATTCCTTTAAAGTGTAAATAAATATTATTACTTTAGCTTTTGCTTCTGCTTAATCAGTTTGAACTTATCTATCTTATTCAAGATCTGTCTTATTTCCCAAAATATAAATTAAAACTTCATCTCCTCTTTCTTCTTTGACATCTTCAATCCATTTTTATAAATCTGAAAATGATTTTTCATCTTAAATATGACAATAGAGTTTACTTGTAATATCATAGCATACAATGGCTGCTTAAGAATCTCTTATATAACTAGGAATAAGAGATCTGAATCTCTCCTATCCAGCAGTATCCCATAATTAAAGTCTAACTGATTTATTATCTACTTATAGTGTTTTGGAAATAAAATCAATTCCAACAGTAGGCTATTATTATTTGAATTCCAAATACCTATTCATTCCCTGTGAAATTATCAAAAATGAAACGATTAATTATTGATGTCTTACCTACTGATTGATTACCTAAGAAAACTATTTTAAACTTTTGCATTGGTCCACTTGTTGTATTTTAGGCCATGTAATTTTTTATAAAATATAATATTTATAATTCCCTAAAACTTCAAACTATTTAAATTAAAAAACTTCGATTTTTATTCATTATCTTTCAACTATCTATCCCATTACTTATTTTCATTTCAAATTTATTTATGTAGTACTTTTAACAATAAATTAAATTAATCTGTTAAATATGCTTAATACTTATCATACACCTAAATAGAGCTATAAATAATAACCTTCAAAAATCTACTAGCATATCCATCAAAAAACCTTAACCTGTAAGTCTCTATCACCTTAATAATTATAAATCCCATTATAATATAACCAAATTAAAGATGATTAAGACCCTTCAACTCCCTAAAAGATTAAACTTGCTAAGGGTGTAAAATAATTGAATATTCCATCATAACTCAATGACAATAGTTTTAGACGTAGCAACTCTAAAAATATCTTAACTTCAGATAGTCCCCTTATAACACATAATAAAGAAAATAACTCTATTGGAAGGAGAATATGCACTGAATCAGGATCTTAAGATAACTAAACTTCTTTTGTCATTTAAGAAAATAAAAAGTTAAATGAACTGATCTAAAGATTATTTAGAGAGAAATAAGAATTAGTTATTATCATAGAAAAATATAAAAATTAACTATCATTTTAAAATTGCCAAACTGATTAATTCAATCTTCTAAGTTTAAAAGCTAGAATTGAAAGGTTGGAAGGAATTATTGATTAACAAAGTGAAGAAATCAATGAATGGAAATTAAAATATAAATAAGCATGTGAAGAAGATGAAAGAGTGAATGCTATTGATTAAATGGTAATATTTGTTTTTTATTCTAGGAATCATAAATACTTAAAGTAGTTGAAGAAAATGAAAGACTAAATAATTTAGGCTTTGATAAAGATTAATAAATTTCAAATTTAAAAAATGAAATTGCGGTTCTTCAGAAGAAAGCTCAAGAATATGAATCTAAAATCAAAGATTAAGCTACAATGATTATTGGATATGATGAAGAGATTAAATAATTAAAAAAAGAATATATGAGTAAATTAAGCATGTTAGAAAGATTTGAATTATTAAAACAAGATTAATAAGAACTTTCCTTTTAATCTTCATTTCATGAAAGTTAAACAGGATTATCAAATAATAACTAACATTTAATCTCAGATTATATTAAACAAATAGAATAAGTATTATAATACAAATTATTTAGTAATTGTCTGATTTATCAACATAATATACATCTCAAGTCTTGGAAAATTAAAGATTACTAAGATAAAATAATAATTTAAAAGAAGAAATATTATTTTAGTAGAAAGCCTTGGAGGATCTAAGAACATCTTAAAAAGGAGCTGTGAACCCTAAATTCTTTGAGATTAATAGAAACATCACCTTATTAAAAGAAAAAATAGCTAAATAAATGATTAAATGATTAGAGTTACTTATTAAAAAACTTATATACTTTTTAATTCAATAAAAAATATGAAAAAGTTTGTGCATATCAGAAGATTCTTAAATGTAAAAATAGTCAAACTAATACAGAATAACAAACACTATCCTTCATAATTGATACTTAAGCTATGATAATATCAGTATTTTAATTATCTAGAAATCCTTTTAAAGTATCTCATACTAAGAAAGACAGAAGGTAAATAATGGAATTCATTTATATAGTTTATAAGAGAACTTACTTTTTGCAACAAATAAAATTATTTAGAAATAAACTTTATTACAATTTGTTTTTTTGATTTGAAAAAAATTTCTAAAATAACTTCAATTTAATCAAATTTTAATTAAAATAATTTTTATTTTTAAATTTTTAGAAATTAATATCAAATATTGAAATTTTGTCTTAAAATTTTCAAGTTCAATTAACTAATTATTATAAATAGAATAAAAAAGATAATATATTCGAAAAATAGAAAATATTTTATTTCTCATTAATCTAAAAAGTCTACTTTTAATATATTTTAATTTGTGATAATTTTATTTCTTAATTTTTAAACTATTAATATACTATTACTCGTTATAGTTATTAATATTTCTTTGTAATTTGCTTAGGCATTGTATTAAGCATAGATATTAATTGAATTGATTGATCCATGACAATAATGGTTTAAGTTATAAATCTTATTAGTTCCGCTACAACTATTACATTTATTCAATTGACTGTGTACTTTTTTATTGTTAGATGGGCATTTATAATAAACATGGATATTTAATAATTAAGTTGATTCATTAAGAATTATAGATTCTGATCCAACTGAATTATAAACTTTATTGATCTCAAAAATTTTCATTTCAAAAGCTGGTTTTAAATCTGATTATTTATCAAATAATTTGCTAATTCTTACTGTAAAACATTCCATTGCCAGAAAAAATTAATCTTGAGGTGATTTATANACACTATCCTTCATAATTGATACTTAAGCTATGATAATATCAGTATTTTAATTATCTAGAAATCCTTTTAAAGTATCTCATACTAAGAAAGACAGAAGGTAAATAATGGAATTCATTTATATAGTTTATAAGAGAACTTACTTTTTGCAACAAATAAAATTATTTAGAAATAAACTTTAACTTCAATTTAATCAAATTTTAATTAAAATAATTTTTATTTTTAAATTTTTAGAAATTAATATCAAATATTGAAATTTTGTCTTAAAATTTTCAAGTTCAATTAACTAATTATTATAAATAGAATAAAAAAGATAATATATTCGAAAAATAGAAAATATTTTATTTCTCATTAATCTAAAAAGTCTACTTTTAATATATTTTAATTTGTGATAATTTTATTTCTTAATTTTTAAACTATTAATATACTATTACTCGTTATAGTTATTAATATTTCTTTGTAATTTGCTTAGGCATTGTATTAAGCATAGATATTAATTGAATTGATTGATCCATGACAATAATGGTTTAAGTTATAAATCTTATTAGTTCCGCTACAACTATTACATTTATTCAATTGACTGTGTACTTTTTTATTGTTAGATGGGCATTTATAATAAACATGGATATTTAATAATTAAGTTGATTCATTAAGAATTATAGATTCTGATCCAACTGAATTATAAACTTTATTGATCTCAAAAATTTTCATTTCAAAAGCTGGTTTTAAATCTGATTATTTATCAAATAATTTGCTAATTCTTACTGTAAAACATTCCATTGCCAGAAAAAATTAATCTTGAGGTGATTTATAGATTAATCTAGTAATTGTGTTTGAAGGATAAGAACTACTAGACCCTTTTGTTAAATTTAAATTTGTTACATGTAGAACTTTGATAAGAAACCGTAGGTAAAATTTGAGTTTTATCTAATTAGAACCTAAATGAATTTCCATTATTAGTTTGAATTCTCTTATAAGTTGTCATAAAATAATTATTAGGATCAAGAGTAAAAAGCTCACTTGTATAACCACTTGTGGCTGCTCTTTCATTTATATAAGGAAAAACTTCTTCAGTAGTCAAAATTATTTAATAGCCAAGATGAATTAAATTTGAAATATCACTATTAATACCCAAAGTTACTTAAGTTGAAGTTAATGCAATAATCTATTTAAAATATATAATTTACAGATAGATCAATTTTAAATGATCCGTTATAACCAAGACTCATTATAGAAGCAATTGCTTTTTTTGTGTTTGGATTTTAAATTGGATATTATTTAGAAGCAATTAAATTTGCATTTGCCTCAGTGATTACTTCAATACGTGCATCATCAATGGCATACCAATAAATCCTATGAGAATTCACTTTATTACTAGGACAAGTTATTTTTAATGTAAAATCTACATAATTTTATCAAATACCTGTTAAAGTGATACCTAAAATTTCAAGCATTATTATTAATTGATTAGAACCAACAGAAGTATAATCTTGTGAAAATGGAAAAATAATTAGTTAAGGAATATTTGCAAATGTATCTGAAAAAAGAATAGTGGCAGTTTATGTAAATCCATTTTAGCAAACAAATCCTGATGTTTAATATTCAAAGGCTCTATACTCTGATGAATCATATGTAATAATCCCAAGTGTTATTTAAAATAATAATAATTTCAATATCATTATAATTAATTTTGAATTTTTCATTTTTATTAAAATAATCAAAAGAAGTAGTTAATTTAGAAATTTTAAAATATTTTTTCTTCTTAAATTCTCTAAAGAAAAGATAAGAGTCATTAAATCCTGTTGTTTTTAATTGAATAAAAATTACTTACATTAACTTTAATAACAATAATTAATTTAATCAAATAATAAATATATTAATAACTTTTTGATTTTCTACAATCCCTAATAAAAATTTTTCAAAATTCTAAAACTTTTGTTTATCAGGAGTAGAGTGCTGATAAAATTTATTCCAAAATATCAGCTATGTAGTAAATAAATATTTAAGCCTCCCAATCAATTATATCAAATATTTAATTTAATTTAATTTACTTTTTTTAAGAATTTATACAAGTTTTTAGATAGATCTTTCGATTTAGATTGCTTTTAATATTTTTACAGCTTTATAGTATTAATTACTGACTATTCCAATTAAAACTTTTCATATTTTATACTATTTTTAACTCAAATGAATATATTTGAAAATTAATTTTTTTTTATGATTTTTTATGTCTTCTTCATCTTTCATTTTAACAATAATTCTTGAAATTATGTTAATAATTAGAACAAAACTAATTATTAACTGAAGTTTCTTTTAAATTTTACAATAATTTAACAGTATGAATCCAAAAAGATTAAAGTTAATAATTATATTGAGTAATAATATATATTAAACGAATATTTATATATAATAATTATAATTATAAAAAAATGGGGTTGTGTTCAAGTAAAGAGGCTGTAAGTGAAAGTTCAATAAGAAGAGTACATCCTTTGAATATGGAGAGCAGTGTTGTTCTAACAATAAATTATGCAAAAATTCCAAATAAATTTAAACGATTGCCTTAAAATAAATCATGTGGTTTAATAGGATTATAAAATTTAGGGAATACTTGTTATATAAATGCTGTAGATAGTTTGATTTTAATTTAAGGCTATTTAATGCCTATCGAATACATAACCTCTTACAGAATATTTTTAATAGAAACTTCATAATCATGAATTGAATATAGAGAATCCACAATCAAGTAGAGGACAGATTACAAATGCTTATGCTCATTTAATATGTTCTATTTGGAGAGAATAATATAACAAGAGTATAAATCCATTTCAATTGATTTCGATGATTCAGTTGTGGAATCCATTTTTTGTTATGAACACATAACAAGATAGTCATGAGTTGTTAGCATTCTTATTGGACATGCTCCATGAAGATTTAAATAGAGTGAAAATAAAACCATATGTAGAAGAAAAAACTTATGATTAATAACCAAATTAAATATAGGCAAATAGAGCATGGCAGGATTATCTAAAAAGAAATAGATCTATAATTGTGGATTTATTTTAAGGATAATCTAGAAATTTTTTATAATGTTTGATATGTAATACAAAATCATATAAATTTGAAACTTTTATGTATCTGAGTTTGCCAGTATAAGGAGAAGGGGATTTATTACAGTGTATATCTGAATATTTGAAAGAGGAGGAATTGGATGAAGGGAATTAATGGTTTTGTTCAATTTGTAAATCTGTTAGGAGAAGTAAGAAAGGAATAAAATTATGGAAACTGCCTAATATTTTAGTTATTCACTTGAAAAGATTTAAGTTTACATAAAGTTATCGTTGTAAATTGAGATAGTTAATAAATTTTCCAATATATAATTTGGATCTCAACAATTATTCTGAATAGGAATAAGCTACTTATGATTTATATGGAGTTATAAATCATAGTGGTACATTGCATTCAGGGCATTACACTTCTTACTGTAAAAATAAGGATACTTAGAAATGGTATAATTTTGATGATACAAAAGTTAGAGAGATAAAGGAGAAAGAGGTTGTGAGTAGTGATGCTTACTTACTATTTTATTATAAAAATTGTGTAGATTCTTATGAAAGATAAAGTGAATTGATGAGATCGAGTATAAAAAACTCTTAAGTTTCACTTTTTAAGTAAAGTAATGTTTTCGAAAATAACAATTTAAACCCTAGCATGAAATAAGGAATGAATAAATTATGTATACCTGAAATTGAATAGCAATTGTCTACTCCTCAAATATTTGGAAAGAAGAAAAGTATGAAAACTTAAAAATTAAGTCCACTTCCACGGAAGAAACCAATATTCTAAGTATCAGATAATTAGAAGATGTAATGATAATTATTTGATTATTAAATTCGCTATAAATAAAATGAATTCTATAGGTCCGGAATAGGATAAGCCAATTTTAAGAATGTTTTTGGCAGGGATTGCATCAATAGCTGCAGGTGGATCAACTCATCCGGTTGACACAGTTAAAGTGAGATTGTAAAAGGAAGGTGAAGGAAAATCTGTAGTTAAAAAGTATAGGAATATCCTTAGAGGATCATACGTAATATACAAAGAAGAAGGATTGCGTGCTTTATATAAAGGGTTATCAGCATCATTAGGTAGAGAAGCAACTTATTCTACATTGAGACTTGGATTGTATGAACCATTCAAACACATGATATCAAATGATGGAGAAAAGACATCCTTGGGTGTGAAATTTTTTGCTGGTTTGATGTCTGGATCGACAGGAGCTATTGTTGCCAATCCATGTGATGTGTAATAATTATTAATAATTTATAAAAGTTTAAAAATTAGATTGCAATCTATTTCTGGCCATCATCAATCATTATTTGCTGAAATTACATAAATAATACATCATGAAGGAATTCTAGGCTTGTATAAAGGAACTATGCCAAATTTATTAAGGGGGGCTATTCTGACTGGTACAAAAATGGCTACATATGATTAAACTAAATAATGGTTAAAAGAGCATTTTGAATTTAAAGAGGGATTCAGTCTCTAATTTGTATGTTCATTTGCAACAGGTATATAAACCTTGTGAATTAGGATTGATGCTCTCAATTACTACAGCACCTATGGATCTAATCAAAACTAGAATAATGTCATAAGATGCAGGACATAAAGTTTATAATGGATTAATGGATTGTGCAGTTAAAACATTTAAATAAGAAGGTTTAGGGGCATTTTATAAAGGATTCTTTCCTTAATGGATTAGATTTGGACCATTTAATATAATTTAACTCATAGTTTGGGAATAATTACGTACATTTTGTGGAATTAAAAATATATGATTGTTTTTATTTATCATATTTTCATGGCAAATTAGTTAACTTATTTGTATTATAATAATCCCAAAAGTTAAGTCTAATTGGTTCTAAAGCATTAACAAATTTCTTTATAGCTGCATAAGCAACTTCATCTGTTTAATTGGGTCCAACAAAAGTTTCAAAAACTTTAGTTCTACTTGGAGCAGCTAACCAAGCAGCTTTAGCAGCATTTCTTACCATAAATCTAATTTTATTATGATTATATTTTACGTGTGATAAGGTGCCAAAGCTTCATTATAAGCATCTGAACAGATATCTGAAAACTTTTTATTTCTGTTTGCATCAACATCTATGAACATGATCTTAAGATAATTGAAAAATCTTATAATTCTTAACATAGTACGAGCCATAGATTAGTAATTAGCTAAGGTCTATTAATAAATTGTTGAATAGATCTTACTTTATTCTTTAAGATTTGTTTATTATTTTCTCCATTTAATTCCATTAATCCTTTTTATTTTTCTATTTGTATAACTCCATATATTCCTTTTGTTTATTCATTATATTCATTGCCTCTATCTTTTATTACTTAAGCTTTTTCGATCACATCTGAAAATGCGAAATATAATAATTTTCCTAATTGTTTGAATAGTTTGCAAAATTCTATCAAGAATTCAGCTATTTAATAAGGAGGATAATCTCTATTCTATTCAAAAAATTAATTTGCTTCTGTCAATAACTTTAAAATCTTTTCATTATCATATTTATCATTTTAATCCATATTTATTTAATAAACTAATTATTTAATTTTGAATTAATGGATTATCGAATTGGATCAGCAAGTATGAGTGATTTAGAAAGTGCAAAATTGGTTGCCAAGAAACTTTTTGAAACATATGATAGAGATAGAAATGGTGTTATTGATACAACTGAAACAATACCTATGATTGTTGATGCATATAAATCTTTTAATAGAAGTTTCTAACCAACAAGAGGAGATATTGATAGTTATTCAAAAGTTATGGATAGAAATGGAGATGGCAAAGTCACTTATTAAGATATAGAAGAACTATGCATCAAATATTTGTGTCCTCAATATTCCTAACAATCAAGATAATAAAATAATAAACCATAAGATCCTAGAATTGAAGTAGCAAGAAGAGTTTTTAGAAAATATGACACTGATAATTCAGGTTTCTTAAATGTTTAAGAAATTCAAAAAATGATTGCTGAAGCCTATAGATCTATGGGATTGCCTTAACCAACTTATAAAGATATTTAAGCTTGGTTAGATGCAGCTGATACTAATCAAGATGGTTTTATATCTCTCTAAGAGTTTGAATAATTTGTTTTAAAAAGCTTATGAAAGACATTAGTTTAAATGAATATCTATCATTTTTTATTATATTAAGATCTAACTACTCTTCTCATATCTTGTTTTCACTTTCAACTAATTTCAGAAATTTGTTATATTTTAATAAATAAAACCAAAAAAAAATATTTTTTATAATTTGTCAGTTAAAAATATAATATCTTCTATATATACACTTCTATTCCTTATTTTACTCAATTTATAACATATTATTGATCAAAACTATGTATTCAAATTGTTTACAAATATCAATTAATAAATAGATGATGGTTTCAAATCTAATTATCTATTGGTATATGAAATTTTTAAAATTATGAAAGGTGATCGATATAAGAGATTAAAATAATAGAAAAATATTAAGAAAAACAATTATTTATAAGATTTTTATGTATTTATGACCTTATATCAGTTAATGAAAAGAAATAATTTAATTTTTTTACTAAAGTGAAAATTTGATAAAATAAAAATTGTAATAAAATTAGATAAAAATAAACTTTACATATTTTTGAAATGAAATCTCAGCCATTCTATCTAATGAATATTGATTATTTATGTTTGAGTTGAATAATCTAAAAACAATAGCATAGAGTGATTGGTTTCTTGGAAATAAAAATTTTAGATCATTATGATCATGTATTAGGTAAATAGGGGTCTCCAACATTTTTATTAACTAGAAGATGTTGAGATTGGATTGTTATAGTGTTAAAATTCTAAAAAAATGAAATGACTAAAGGAGATTCTTTCAGCAGATAGAAAAATGACAATAATTGTAGGCTGGCAATTGAGCAATAAAGATGCCCAATTAGATATTTTTGAAGAGTTGATGAGATTTTATACTGATGTTCCTAAAAATAATTAAGATAGGAGGATGTTAACTATAATTAAGCAACTGAACTAGAATTTAGATTTAATTGATTTTTTGTAATTCTAATTTGAATATTGAGAAGAAAGTTTAGAAAAGTTCATAAAATAAGGGGGTAAGTTGAGATTAGTAAAAAAAAATTACTGTATCCTATACAATTTATTTGAAAATTCTAAAAGAAAAAAAATAAATAAAATTTACAGACAGAAAGCTAATTATTTTTCTGAATGAAATTGTTATCATAAGAATAAAGTGAGTCATAATAATCAAATATGGAAGAGAGTTAAAAATCTGAGGAAGGAACATAATCTAGGAATATAGATATATTGGGAGAGAAGGAATAGTAAAGTTTGAACCAATTAAAATTCTTCGATGTATAAAATTTTGGATTTGATCACATGATTCATATGATAGGAAAGGTTAATGGTGAGAGTTCTAAAGAGAATGTAGGAAAAGTGAAGGTATTAATTAAGTCATAATGTTATCAGAAAATAAAAAAGTTCTAACTGAAAGTAAAATGTGAAGGTGGAAAAAGGAAAGAGAAGATGAATAAAAAGAGAATCCTAAAAGAAATAGCTATGGAGGAGATATTAGGATTAATAGGAGAGTTGTGAATAATTGTTTATGATAATTGTTTATACTTTTAATAAATAGTATATATTGATTTGTTAAATTAACAGAATATTTTAAAATAAAATGTGATGGTTTATTAAAATAATTATAAATAAATAGAGAATTAAAATAATTAATAAGAAAAAGAATTAAAGAGGGAAGAATTTATTACTGAGGGATATAGTAAACAGATAAAACTTCTAAAGAATAATGAAATGAGACATTAGAAATTAGTTCAAATTATTTAGTTTTGGATTTAGTAAATTAAATGAAGGGATATATATATGGATATTTTAAATGGAGATGATGGGGGATATTATATGAAATATTTAATATAACATATTTATTGAGTTGGTTTAATAATATAATGAATTAAGAAAAAGATATTGAGTAGGATATAGTTAGTGAAAAATCAGGATGATTTAAAATGATATTTATTGAGAGAAGAAGAAGGAATAAAATATAAGAATGTGTAATAGTTTATTTTATATGATAAGGATATGATTGGAAGTATAATAAATAATAAATCAGTGGATAGTTATGAAAATAGGGTTAACAAATAGAAGAATTGATTATATATATATATATATATATAAAAAAGGATAGTTGAATAATTTATAGAGATGATAAATTATAATTTTGAGTTAATAAGTAGATGAAGGTTTATAGAATGAATAAATATAAATAATAATAAAAGTTTAAGAAATAGTAATAAAAACATTAATGATGATAATTATATTATTCTTGGTGAGTTGGGTGAATGGTGAGTCATTAGCTTCTTAAAAGACAAACGAATTGAGGGAAATGTAAATGAGAGATGGGATAATAGAATTAAACTCAACAGGATATTTGTATATATTGAATATGTATATAATAGCTATTACACAATGGAATTTCCACGTCCGTATGATATAGTGATTTATTTTGTTGCTCCAAGTTGCAAACTTTGCAATGATTTAAATGAATAATACTAGAAGGTAGCTAAATTCTACAGTGATTCAGGAGCATTATATAAGAGTGAATCAAAGAGAGCTGTATTTTTTGCTACAATGATATTTAATGATAAAAACAAGCAAGTGTTTGAATAACTTGGATTTGTATCAGCACCTAATTTATTTGTATCTCAACCACATATTGTATTTGTACCATAAGATGAAAGGGAGAGATATTTGAGAGATATGAAATGGTCTATTTCATATACAGATGGGACAGTGACAGCACATAAATTCTTAGAATTTATAAATAAAAGGACTGGTAGATAGATAGATTATAAAGCTTCAACATCTGAAGCCCTAACTGTTATAGGTATTTTATTAGGAGCATTAACTATGGGTGCAATTTTATTTATAATTGGAAGACCTTTATTTTTGAATCCAAAGTTATGGTTTATAGGATCAATTATAATATTTATAACTTGTTTAGCTGGAGTTGTATACAATATTATTCATAATGTTCCATTCTTTACTTAAAATAATAGAGGTGGTTTATAATGGAAGACAAATAATGGAAGATAATAAATTGGATTTGAAGGATTATTTCTTAGTCTTGGAATGACATTCACTGGCTTAACTATGGTTTTGATTCTAAAACTTAAAGTCTTAGTCAAACATTAAAAATTAGATCCGTATAATATTTATATTTATATTCTTATTTAGACTTCTATAGAGATTAGTATATCTAACACTATTCCTATGTATATTCTTAATCGTTCAATTTGTTGAAGATAATTATAGATAAAAATCACATTACAATCCTATCTTCTGGCCACCTAGACATTATATTAGAGGACCATTAAATAAAGATTAAGGAAATTCATTTTGAGTTATAATAAATCATCATATATATATAGATATATATTTATTTAGATATTTATTTCATACCTTATTTAAACAATTTTTCATTGCATCAGTATCTCCACTATTCAAAGCACTCATAAATCTCGTAATATTCATCAATTATCCAGAACATAATTTTTAATATTCATAAGCTGCATACATCCATATTAAACATTTATTTATTAAGTTTTTAACTTTCTCATCTTTTACTTTATCCTTATCTTCCTTAAAAAACTTCATTTTGTGATATAATTATTCATTATATAATTAATGTTCTATTAATTTTGTAAAATTTAAATTTGTTATCTATTCTGTATAGTGAGTACTTTCACGATAATTCTATGAAGTAAAATTGTTTATGTAATTTAAATATTCTATATATTTTCTTCTAATCTAATTTCTATTTCCTTCCATCTCATCTATTAATTCTTTTACCCTAATCATTAAATATTTTAATTATACTTTCCATCTTAATAAAATAAATTCCAAACTTCTTGATCCACTTCAAAATTTATATGATCTTATTTTCCCATTACTAAATTCTAATCCATCTTTTCTTTCAATTAATTCATCAATATTGCTGCCTATTTTAAAATATATAATATTTCAAATCGACATATTTCTATCATATTTTAACTTAAAAAATCACATAATTAAACCATTAATAATATTCCATTAATTTTATCTTTAATACCATCTATTAATTATTATATTCCCTATTAAATCATTTAAGATTTCTAAGAATCTAATTACATTTATAATTATTTTGCTCTTTCTTCTTCTTCTCTTCTTTATCTCTCTTCCTCTTATCTTTATATCTCTTGATTTGATATCTGTGGAACATCTCCTGCAAATTATTTCATGAATTCCTTTTCATCCTCCATTATTTTCAAAAATCTTTCATCCCTTTTATATTTATTAAATATTTCACACTTAAGAGCATCTTTTGCTGATATTCTCTAATTTATTATATTATTTATTACTTCTTATGGATTTTTGTTAATCATCTATTTTAATAATTCCTTAACTCCCTCTGATATATTGTATTTTTAATCATCTAAAAGATATTACTTTGTTAAAATCTTCTATTAAACTTCAAATTAACTCTTTCCTATAAAATAGATTTCACCAAATAACATTTCATGAGTTAATAATCCCAATGCCCATACATCTACTTTTGAATCATATTAATCATTTATAAAAAACTCTGGTGCCATATAAGGAAATGTTCCTAAATGAGTTTAATACATTGATTTCTATCCTGCAAATCCAAAATCTCCTAATTTATATACTTCATCCTTTATAAATATATTTTCAGGCTTTATATCTCTATGAGCTATATTATTATCAGCTAATAAAGCTAATGCCTAAAGTAATTAAAATAAAATAAACAAAGCTTCATCTTCTGATAACTTCTTTTATTTTTTTATCTTATCCAATAATGTTCCTTAATTACAAAATTCTAACACTATATATATATTATTTGCTGTCTCTAAACATTCATAAATTCTATTAATAAATGGACAAGCATCTTTTTTAGAAGCTTCTACTAATTCCTATAGAATTGCTACTTCCCTTTATATTTATTCTAGTATTTCATCACTTAAATTATTTATATTACTCTTACCCATATTTTGCTAACACAGATCTCTTTATTACTTTGATTGCGACAGCTTCTTAAGTCAATTTATTCTTTCCAAAATAAACTTCTGCAAATGCTCCTGACCCCAACTTATCTTATGTCTAATATTCATATTTCTTTCCAACAACTTTCTTTTCACTCATTTCTAATGATTCTATGATTAATTATTTATTATAATAATTCAATATGTAATCAAATTATTTTACATTTTTACTATCAAAATTATTCCATATTTTTCATAAATTATATTTTTTATTTAAAATATCTTTTTTTTCTCATATATACTCTTCATTAATTAACTTAAATTTAATATTTTAGAATATTATAGAATTACGTAAAAAAAAAACAAATTTTAATTATATGATTAAATATATATCAAATATTAATTATTGTATTTAATAATTTTAATATGATAAGTTAGTCTTATCTATCATCTTAGCTTATAAATTAAGATGTGATTATAAATAAATTAAGAAAATATTATATTATAATTTTAATAAATAATATAAAATTAATTAATTTATAAAATGGGAACTGGAAGTGGAGGAATGAAAGCATAATCATTATAAGATTAATTAAAATAACAATAATAGAAATAGGTGAAGTCAGCAAAATATCCACCTTTTTCTGAGAATGAAGTTTTTACTCTTTAGAAAAAATTTAAAATTCTTGATAAGAATTCAAGATAATCAATTAAATTAGAAGAATTTAGAGAGTTGTTAGAAATAAGAATGCATTTCTTCAGAGAAAGAATTTATACTTTAATTGAAGAGGATATGAAGAAGTATTTCTTCAAAATATAGTGTATAGACGAAAAACAGAAACAATGGATTTTGCAACATTTATGCAATATTTGACTGTTTTTCATCCTTTAGCTGATGTAGATATGAAAAAAGATTATATGTTTAGAATATATGATTTGGATTAGGATGGTAAAATAACAAAAGAAGATTTAACAGAGGTGTTTAAGATTTTATTTATGAAAAGTTAAACATCGGCAAATTAAAAGAAATCAATGAGACCTTAAATATTTTAAACAAATTTTATGAATAAAGATTATGTTGAGAAATTAGGAAAAGATATTATGAATATAGTAGATGATGATAAATCAAATTCAATTGAATTAGAAGAATTTGTTAAAATGTTTACAGATACAGATTTAAAATTTAGAATGAATATTGTATTTTGAATAAACTTAAATAAAATAAGTTCTAAAGGTTTAGTTGGTTTATTTAATATATTTATCATAATGGCTCTTATAATTATTATGGTTATTGAAGAAGTGGCTATAAATTATCTGGTAATAATTATTGTCTACAATTTGGACAAGTTGATTAAATTTAAAGCCAAGCAGAAATACATGTATTATGAAAATGATGAAGAGTACTACAAGGTAATCTTAAGACTTCATCATCACTTTAATATGGTTGCATACAAATTGAGCATTCTTAATCTCCTTCAAGAATATTAGGTTTATATAAAATCTTATTTTTTTGTAAATCATTCAATGCCATCAATGCTTATTATTTCTTTCTTCTATCTGTAAAACATCGAATTATCAGATAAACTAAAATAAAAGGGAGCATAACTAATGCTAATGCAGCTAGTAAATAATACTATGAATATTATAAGAATAAAAATGATCCATATATATAAGTTTGTATAATTGGCCATTTGTCACATTCTCCTGATCCTGTACTTGTATTTGGATTTGCTACTATATAATAAATAGTCCATATAAATATTCCTTAATTTGTAGCATTACTAAATATGTTATTATATTTGCAAAATTTGCTTTAATTAACAATCTCTTATCTTATTTATAATTGCATCACATCTGCCTTTTTATCAAGTTCCATTGTTGTTAAGTTTGCAGTGGGATCAAAAACTAATATTTTATATTTATTTAATACCTTCTGGAGCAACAGGATGATCTGTTACTTCATTTATTGGAACAAATACTATTTAAACATAATGAAATGCTAAATGTTATTATATTGATTCCTTGTTCGAAAAATTAAATAATTATCCATACAAAATTAAGCTAAAAACTGCCTATATATTACTAAACAACACCCAATAATGTAAATCATTCCATCCACAATCTTATAATGATAATAAAACTAAAATAATCGACATACTGATTATTATGTACAATCTCTCAAGAAATAAGAAAAATACTCTCAATCTAAATTAATCCATTGCTTTTGAGAATAGCTTTGTAAATTTTGGTACTGTATTACCATCATTTTCATTATAATCTATATTTTATTCTCCATCCTATTGAACATCCATTTTCTATATTATTTTTTATATTATATATTATTAAAATATTTTTTTATTAGCTCACACTTTTTTTTGTCAAAACTATCAAGAATTTCCTTACTAAAACAAAATTATTAAATAATCACATATTTCTTTAATCGATAATTTGTCTATCATATTTAATAATAATTATAAGTAAAAGATATAAATTATTAATAATTTTACAAATAATTGGTATTTGATCTAAACAAAAATTTGAAAAAGATTGAATATTAAAATCTAAATAAAAAATTATACTTTAATCTTTTGGATACTGACTTTAAGTATTAATATCTCAACTTATTCAAATGAACTAAAGAAAAAATAATTTAAAAAAAGTACTTAATTAAGAAATACAACAAAACTAGCTAATAATTTGATTAAATCACTAAATGAATACATATATGTAGATGAATATGAATACATAAACCAATAGTTAAATTTTTATGCAAAAATAATTAATCATTGAAATAATATAAATTATCATAATTTAAGCAAAAGTAGATTGTCCTTTTAAAGGAAAGACCTAAATTAAATAATATATAATTTTGATCATTTCATTTAAATAAAGAATGATAACAAGCAAAATTAAAATAGATTAATAAAATTATAAATCTATCAAAATGCTGGTATTAAGCACAAGGTAAATGATAAATTAGGAAATGCTTTATATATATATATATATATTATAATAAATTAATTATAGAAATGGATTATATAATATTTAAATAATCTCTTATATGGTAATACTAAAAAAAAGAATAAATAAATAATTAATTAAAATAAATAAATAAATATGATAAAAAGATTAATACCCCTTTCTAAGTAGATTAGGTTCGCTATTTAAAATTCTTCTAAGATTCTTTAAATCTAAAAAGTATAATTTCCGAGTCAAATGAAATTATATAAGATATCTTATAATTTTAGTAAAAATCAGAAAATGTAATTAAATTAATTAATTTTGAAGTTCATTAGTAGAAGGAATCTAACACATTCAATCACTTTAACGTTAAGTGGTAGCTATAAATGATTTAGAGAAGATGTTTGAGAATTAGTTATAAATTGTTAAATATTTGGAAGATAATCTTTAAAACTTTGATGATTTATATTTTACAGCATTTTATATTGAATAGATGATAGGTTTATATTGGTATTAAGTTGCTATTTATGCTTATTAAAAGCAAGAAAATCTTCTTAATAGTGATTTAACATCAAAATTAATGAATTTAGAATTAATGAAAGAGCTTGATATAATCAAAGAGAATTAAGTGAAAAAACCAAAAGATATAGAAAATTTGAGTATTCAATTAAAAGCTGCCAGTATAATGTGTTATATGATTACTTATGGAGTAAATGCAGAAATTGATTAATTACATGACTGGATGAAGTAATAATATACATATTATTTAAAAGTGATTATTTAGATTAGATAGAACTGAATAATTAATTAAATTAAGAAGAATCATCAATTTAAAATATGTTTTCAAAAGGTTATTCTAAATTTAAAGCATTAAATGATTAGTTAATACATTTTTACTTTTTTATAGCATAAATTCATAAGCAAAGAAATTTGATTGAAGAATTTTAAAGATTTTAACATCAAGGAATTGAAGAAGCAAAATCTTTTGCAGATAGAAGCTTATTAGAAAATAAAAGCACATTTAGTATGGAATTGATTTTGATTAATTTTTTTGAACTTTTCTCAAATCTTAGGATTTAGTAAGATGTTAGTGAAGAAATAATTTTAGATTATGCAAAAAAAGTTATTGAATTTGGATCTAAATTTTGGAAAGATTCAAAGGAAAGTTATATTTAAGATATTAAAGTGGGTTTTGCTCAATATTTTATGTCTTAAGAACTTTTTGAAAATGCTGCTGTCTTGTTAGAAGAAGTTTATAAAAATAAATCTGCTATTGATTCAGATAATACAGACTTTTTATTATATTCGAATATTTACTTTTGCTAAAAATAAGGATTTTTAAAAGAAATAGACTTTAAGTAGGTTTTGATTGAGGCTGATGATCTAAATTGGATAGATTTGGATTTTTTATTAATTTAAGTATTAGATGTATGAATTATTTATTATATAATTAGTTTAATTTATGCGTATTTGATGATGCTTTGGAAACTAAAGACCTTAAAATTATTGAATTTAGATTTCAAAAGGTTATATATTATATTCATGAATTAAGTAAATTAATTTAAAAAGATCAATATAAAGTAAGTTAAAATGTTCTTAAATAATATAGGCTATGTTACCAATTTTTAACTGGATTGATTCAGTTCTTACTGATGATTTTCTAAATAATAATACTTAATTTATTTTATCCATTTACAATGCCTTAAATTTATTTAAAGACATTAAACTAGATATAGATCGTTAGAATTTAGAAAAAGATTTTTATTTAATAATTTTATCTTTTAAATTGGATAAATAATTAAAATTAGATATTAATCAATAAGTAAAAAATGTTGAAAATTTTGTAATTTAATATATTCTATTAATTTAGGTGACTAAATATTCATCTAATCGAGAGATGTAAATTATAACTATTGAAAAAGTGCTTTTATTTAATTTTTAATTAATGGAGTAGGATAAGTTAGAAGAATGTTTAAGAATTATAGATTCTGTGATCTCTATATTATAAAAAGGAAATAAAAATTTATAAAGATATGTTTAATAATTCTTAAATTAGAAAAATTAGGCTTAAAGGAAAAAAAAGCATCAATGATATATTTTACTGCGTATTAAAAATCGTGCAAAAAGATATATAAATTATAATAAGAAATTTTATTAATACTAATAAAAAAAATTTATAGAATAAATTATCAATCTCTAAAGACTTTTAAGATTTTATTAGTACTCTTACATTATTTGTTTTAATTTAAATTAGTTTAAGTATATATAATATTGTAAACATCAGATTTCTAATATTATTAACTAAGAAATTAGTTTTAAATACATATAGAATTAATTTTTGATGATTTTCTTAAAGTTTTATTATTCACACTATTAAGCTATTTATATAATATGACAATTAAATTTTAAAATGACCATTTAAAATATATAAAATAATTTTTGTAATTTATGAATGAATCTTTTCAATTATATATGAAATTATTTATAAAATTTCTAATAAATTTTAATAAATAAATGAAACTTTCAGCTCAATTATTTTTTTAGTTTGTAATATTATTATATTATTAATTGCATCTCTGCTTCATCAGGTAATTAGTATAATTTGATATCTTATCTTTAAACTGAAAAACTCTATATAATTTATTGAAGATATTACTTTTTTTAAAACTGATAAAACATTAATGGCTCTTCGAGAATCTATCCATTTATGTTTAATTTTTGATGAGTATTCTTCAAATAATTTAGTAATGATATGTCTAATTTAACAAATAAAATACTATTCAATATTTATTCTTGGTTTTTAATCACTTCCCCTTCCTTAATATAATGCATAAATTTTTTCTTTAAAAGCCTTGATAAATTTATCTTTAAAGTTCTTTCTGACTAATCTAAGTTTTCTATAATTTCTTTAGATGCATTTTACTAATATATTGATTAGATATTTAGATTACTTTTAGAAATCAACTGAATATGTTTATTAATGAAAGTTTAATAAAGAATAATATCTACTAAAAATTAACTTAATATTTTTTCAGCCCTATTAAAACATTTTTCTTGGATATAGGAAGTAAAGGTAGATATTACGAGAGATGATTTACTTAAAGATCTTATAAATGGATTATCTCCATATCTTCTAACTTCAATTAAAGCTTTGGTGTGTAATTGCCATACTAATAATTTAGCTCTAGCAGCAATTTTATTCTTGCGTCTTACTTTCTAGAATTAAAATAGAAGTACTTCTAATTTTCTATAAATTTATCTACAAAAATTAAATAAGGTTGTTATCATAATCCAGTTTTTTTTAATAAATATTTAAAGTTGTTATTCTTTTTAGTGAATTTTTTCAACTTCTCTAAATTATGCTATTTGATCTTTGACTAATAATTTAATTAATCTCGTTTATCTAACTTCCTTTTAGATCAACTTTGATCTTTAAATAGTTTCTTAAGATTTAGTATGTCTATCTAATTTAATCTTAATTATTTTACGTTTTGCTTTAAGCATTTCATCTAATTTTGAATACATTCTAGTTTTAGCCAATTCAATATTTTATAGAATTTTGTCTTTTGGATGAATAGTTCTTCTATCTTGGAAAGTATCAAAATTGATCATTGATTATACTAACTTTTATCCATTTGATGCTGTATATTATTCTCCAAAAGTTATTTACATACCAATAATAGCATCAAATTCACTATAGAATGTTAAATAAACATATTCATCAAAAAATAATTTAGAGTTTTATTTTGAATGTACTTTTACAAATCTACTTTGAACAGTTTGATCAGCATTAAATTTATTTGGAAATTCTATAGAAGTAGAAACAAATAATTTATATTAAGTACTTGTTATTTTAGAAGGAAAGTTTAGTAAGATCTATAATGGAGCTAATTATTTATATTAATTATTACATTATCTTCCTTTAATTCTTATTCTAAAGTAATAAAATCTAAATCTGATTATTTAAATTCTATTAATAAATTCTATTTCAAGATCTGATTGTTATAATCCATCAAAAGTTTTTAGTAACTTTTTCTGTTGTTTTATAATTTTAGGTTGCTCAGTAATTTTTTATTTAGTTTCGATTTTAGTATTAGTTTTATCAATTTCTTATATGGTATTGTAATTCTTCTCAAATTCATCATAGATTTCTAGAATATCATTATCTAATTGAAGAAATTAAGATTCAGGATGAGATGATGCTAAAATTTTAGATCTAATAATTTGTGATTAACTCATTGAAAGATGTCTCATAGAACCTTAAACAGTACTAACAATATTCTCATTATTACTGATAAGAAGGATTAGTTATTTTCGATAAACTTCTCTCTATTTGACTAAGCTAGGTAATCATAATAATTATTGTTATAAATTATTATAATTCTCTTGAATTAAAATTATCTAAAATCCATAGTTATAGCATTAACTCATTAGATCAATATAATTTTTTTATTTTAGCATATTGATCAATTAATTAAGTTAATTCGTATTCATTTGGCATGTCATACAATTTAGGCTCAGTGAAATTTAATGCTACATTTTAAATTTTCTAATTTATTATTATACATAAATTACCTTAGACCTATTTTTTTCTTTAAATGTTCTATTTATATAATTCATCCATCTTTATCTTGCTTTCTCACAATAATCATCAATCAAACTCTACATTAAATGTCTAAATATATATATATATATATTTACACATCAATTATTATTGCAGGCTTTTTACCATCACTAAACAAATTTCTTACATCTTTCTACCTTCTTAATTAAAATACAATATTTGTTATATTATCTTTAATATATTTCCAAAATTTATCTCTAAACATTCTTTTCTTCTATTTCAAACTTCTAAACTTTCTCTATATTGTTTTCACTTTAATCTATTAAATATATCTATACCTTTCTTTATTAAACTTTATTATTTATTTAACGTTGTTAGATATAATAATATCTTTTTTATAAAACGAGTAAGAACCTCTTCAGCTACTAACTTTGTTTTCTTCTTTATATACAAAGCATATGATTATAATATTAATTTTGATTTAAATATTGTTCTCTCTTTTGGAGTTGATCCATATACTTAAACTTTCATTAATGCCATTGTTTTTAATTGCCAAACCAATAATTTTCCTTTTGCTTACGCTTTCTTATGTCTTTTAATGTCCTTTTATGAATTTTCTAATTACTTCTAATTTTGATTTCACTTCCTTGCAAAAATCAAATAAACTTATTATTTAACACCAATATTATTAAAACATTTTTATTTATTCTCTTCTCTTTTTTATTATTTTCTCTATTTCTCTATATTAATTTATTGATTCTCTTGCTAACACTTTACATACTTTATCAACTTATTTTTCTTCTTAAATTATTTTTTTATTCATTGAAACTAATTATTATTTCTACTCTCTCTCTAACTTTCATTATTTATATATTTACCTTATTCTATTCATTATTTCTCATCTTTTACAAATATTGTTTCATATCCAAATTATATTTAATCTTATCATTTCTTATAACTCTTTGTGTTTATGGACGAATATCCAATATATCTTCTTCTATTTATTATTTACGTACTGCAATCTTTTATATTGGATTCCCAAATATTATATCAATTTTTACTTCGAAATCTATGTCTGAATATATTGTTATATATAAATATTCCTTTGAAAAATATGGTTGATTATGATCAGCATACATTTTTGCATTTTTTGCTTATATTATTTATTCACAATTAAATTTTGTAGGAAATTCGGCTTTTAATGATATAAACATTCTAATATTTGAACTTTAAACTCTATCTGGACAATTCAATACTATTTGAGCTGGTGATAATCTACCTTTTATTTTTATTCTAAAATAATAGAATTTAAATCTCTATATTTTAACCTTATTGAATTTACTTAAATCATTTAATTTTAATTTCTCATCACTGATAGATACAAACTCTTGAGTTTTTATTGTAAATTATGGTTAATGCATTTAGGATATTTATATATCAATAAATTTGTCTATCTTATTTAAAGTTAAATAATTTTTCTAATATTCATTATACAATTCAAGGATATCATCTGATATAAAATCTTCATTGTTAAATAATGTCACTTATTTACGGTTTTTTATTTTTCCAAATTAAATTACCCTATTATCTTTTTTAGCACATTCAAACTGAGTCATAAAAGTATGACATGATGAAGTGGCTGAATGACTTTATTTTTCAACAGAGAATGGTTAAAGCTTATTTGACTCTGGTATTTTTTTTAATTCTTTATTAAAGAATCCTCTAAGATAAATAACTTTTGTTTACAATGTTCTAGAATTTGTTGGGCTATGAAATGTTGATTAAGTATGAGGAGTGTGAGTAGATTTACTCTCTAGTAATTTTTATTTTACAATTCCAGGATTAGTTATCATTTTTTAATTATTTTTAGTATAAATATTTTTATAAATATAAATTATTTAGTATTTTGGATATTTAAAAATTAAAGAATTATAATAGATAATTTAATAATATGATATATTCATTCTTTGTGTGATAGTAATGCTCTTGTAATTTCAGTAAGTAGGGATGGTTATAATTCTAACTTTTCATATTTAGGAGTTTCAGATATAATATTTATATTTTTGAGTAAATGATTCATGCAAGCATTTTTAAGTGAATGAGCTGAGCATTTTTAAGCAAAGATTAATAAATCACAAACAGTTTCATTACTAATATATTTTTTAATACTTTTTTGCATAAGATTTTTAAGTCCATCAATTAAATATTGATCAGCCAAGCCTAAAATAGATAGGTAAAAGATACTTAGAATTTCTCCCATAGATTCAATATCTAATTCAGCTACATTAATAAAGCCAGTGTAAACAAAAAGAAGAAATATATAGAAGGATTTATAGGTATAATTCTCAATAAGGAATGTATGTTAATCACTTTCTTTAGTGTTAGAAAAGAAGAGAGCTTTAAATTGCAAAGATTAAGCAGCCAAATAAACTAAAATATAATATAAATAATTAACTTTTATGAGCATAAATTTTTTAATTTCCTATTTCGAAAGTTATATCACTAAGTTCTTAATTATTAAAAAGATGTTTATGAATATTAGAAATAACTCTTTAATAATTTTCTTCTTAAATAGTACGATTTTCTAATAATCCAACATCTAATACATAGAGATCATTCAACCATTTATTTCCATCGAATCCACCAAAGATATAAATAAGATCATTTTCTAATTATAAGTATAATAAATACCTGTAGCAGTAGCTGAATGTCTTTATCTAGGTTAAGGGATTTAAGATAATGCTACTTCTTCCATTTACAAATAGGTTCCAGTTCCATGATGATTTGGTATAACCCATTAATAAGTTAAGAAATTAAATATAAAGAGATCATTAGATCTACCTGAACCATCATATCCTCCAAATACATATATATTATTTTAAATTAAATTAGCAGTATGTCCTCTCAATCCTTTTGGTAATGTACCTTTAGTAATAACTTAAGTCCATTCTAATTTTTAAGTATTAAAAACATGAAGATCTTATAAATGTTATGCTCCAGAATGTCCACCAAACAAATACAAATTTTCCTTATATCTACTATAATTATTTATTTACCTGGTCATTGTATGTGCATTTCTAGCTGTAGGTATAGTTCCATTTACAGTAGGTTATATCCATCTATTTTCTTATATATCATATATTTCAATTTCATTAAAACATTCTTAACCATCATAGCCACCAAACAAATATAATTTCTTAGATACAATATTTAAAGAATGACAAGCTCTAGCTGTAGGTATTTAACCTTGTGGATGTACTTTGTACCAACTAGCTTATCCATGTTATTATCCATTAGTCTCTAAGTAATATAAATCATCTAGCCATGTATTTCCATTATGTCCTCCATGAACATATAATTTAGTTTAATACACTGCTGTTGTATGATTATTTCTATAAGATGGTAATTCTCCATTTGTTTATAATTCTGACCATTAATTTTAATTCAGATCATAAATATGAATATCAGCTAGAGCATTCATACCATTCCAACCACCAAATATATATAATCTACCCATTATTAAATCACATGAATGAGCTGCTCTATCTCCTGGCTATTTTCCTGATGGATCTATCTTTCTCCAAATCATTCTATTGTTATTATTTTACATTATTATTATATTATTATAATAATCACAGATTTCTCTCTAAAAATAAATATCTAAAAAAATCGAATCTCACTATCTCTTCTTTTGCATCTATCTCTTTACTAAATTCACCCTAAAATAAATTTGCTGCCAATCCAAATTCCTTTAGTATTCCTCCCAATGTTGGTTCAACATTATATTTAAATATCTCTCATATATATAATTATTACTTTAACAAAATTACTAAATTCTTTTATACTCATATATCCCTTATTTTAATCAAACAAATTCCAATAACCATATGAACAAATCTCTCTAAATAATAAATCTTATCCAAGTGATCTTTCATATGTTGCTAATACTTTTGTTTATACTAAAGTAACTATTTCTTCAAATCTTAATAATCTATTCATATTCATTGGATAACCCATACTGTAATGAACCATTTACAATACACACCAATTATCTAATGCTATTGTAAATTGATTAACTCTTGTGTAATCCTTATTTATATTATTATTAATACATTCAAAAAATTTAGTAATTCAGATGGTCTAAGACCATTCTCTCCTTTACTTATAAAAACTTCAAATGATCTTCTCAATTCATTTAATTATTTTCCAGTTACTCTATGTTACTCAGGTAATTCTAAACTACGTTCTTTAATATAATTAGTCCAAGCTAAATATTCTTCTGATGCTAATTATTTTCTAGTTTATATTTCTTTTTATTATCTATATTGTTATCTACTATCACTCAGTCTTTTTATTAAATTTTCATAATTGTTGCAATGATATAACCCTTAACCAAAAGGTTGTCTTCCTTCTATTTCTCTCATTTATAAATGAACTTATTTAACAAACTTTGGTAATTTATCTAACTTCATAATCTATATTACATGGATTTACAAATTCAATCAAACCCTTTGTTGCTACACTCATTTAATTTTTAATTAAAATTTTATAATCCTAAACAATATACATCAATTTCTTCCAGTATTGCTTTTCCTCTATATGAAAATATATCTCTTTCTTTTATATTGTTACTATTTAAGTATTAATGTTAAATTTTAAATCTACCAAAAATAGATCATAAAATTGATATCTTTTCAATAACTGCCTTTTTTTCTTTAGATTATTTATAATTTACATTCTTAAAACATTCAAGTTTCACCCTAAGAAGTAAACGAAATCTTAATTTATGAAGATAAATTAAACTTACATATATTTATTTCTATTTATAATCAGTTAGATGCTTAATATTACTTAAATCAAATACCTTAAGATCTTCAGAAGGTTTTGAATATGCTTTAATCTAATGGACTTCTTACTTTCATTATATAAATGATCTTCAAATTTAAAAAGCCAAACTACTTGATAAATCGATGAAAAGAAAAAAAATATTTAAAGGAAATTATGTAATAGAATTAAAAGAATTAATTCATTAATAATATTTATTGATAATTGTTTATATATTAATTATTTAAAATTTATAGAAAATGAACTAAATACCTTTAATTTCTAATAATTAGCTGTCAACTAAGATAGAGGAAATTGTGAATGATATAAAATATGACATTCTAACTACAGAGGAAGAAATTGTAGGGGAATTATAACCTATTTTAGAATAATTAGAAATTAGCGAAAAATTTCAAATTATTCAATACATAAAATTAGAATTTTAGTAGTATGATTTCATTCAACATAAAATATTCAATTTTGAGAATTAATAAACCAATGAGTAAAAAGTGGAAGATTATATTTAGATTTACAAAATGGCAATTAAATAGTAAGAATATCAAATAATATTATCAAAAATTTAATTTAAAGATTTTTGTTTATAAAATTAGATACCTATATAATTATAAAAGAATATTCTACTATTGCAAAAACTAGGAAAAAATGTTAGATTAATTTTTGAATTGATTGAAATGTTAAATGGCACTTAAAATTACTGCTATCTTAAAATGATAAATATTTTTATTGAATTATATTATTTGGGAAGAGATAATCTATAATTAGACTAATTGCATTCATTTGTAGGTTCACTACTTGAAATGTAAATTTTGTAATTTGAATATTATATAGAGAGCTTTGAATAATACAATCTTCAAGAGTTAGAAGAAATGTTAAAAACTGTTTAAATAGTTTAACTAAAGAATTCAACTTCATAAGTAGAATTTCTAAAACTTTAATAAATTATGAAAAATAAATCTCTTCTGCTACTATTTAAAATCTTAACATTAAATTTTTTTACCTATTAAAATGAATTAGAAGATTATTTAAATTAATTTATTAAAAAAACATCATATTATAAAGTAGATCAATTCTATACAATATGGTAATTATAAAATTATAATGATGAATTTGATTACCTATATTTTTAATTAGTTTTTCATTATTGGATAAAATATTCATAGAAATATAATATTGAATAAGATTTTAAAACAATTGGAGAAAAAATATAAATCACTTAAAGAAAGATATTTGTATTGGAAAAATTTATAAAAGAATAAAAATAAAAAATTGTTGATAACATTTATATTTACTTACTATAAAAAATTTTCTTATTCCTTAAAATAAATGATAATCAACTTCAACAAAAATATAATGAATTTAAATAGGAATAAATCCTAAATGAAAAAAACTATTCATTATAAGTACAATAATAGATTAATGTTATTCTTAAATTAAAACAATAAGATTTTGCGAACTTATGGTTCAAAATTTAAAAATTAATGTATTTTTAGCTAAACCCTAATGGAGATATTTAGTTTTTGTAATTAGAATTTGCTAAATTTATATCCTCCAATGAATACAATCTAAATCTATTAAAAATTTTTAACTAACTATTAGAAGAAAAATCAAATAATTTACTGAGAATAGCTAATATTTTAGAAGAAGAAAAAGAAATACAAAATTATAAACTTAATCTTCTCACATTTATGTTCTAATATATTTATAATCAAAATGAAAATAGTTAAAATCAGGTTATGAACCTTTATTAGATTTTAATAAAGACTTTTCAAATATATTAATCATTTAAATTGTCAACAATATTTAATCAAATTCTTAATTTTAATGAATATCAGAAAAAAGAATAACTTTAAATTCTGAAAAAATTATTCATACTCAAAAAAGATGGATGGAAGAATGTTTAATAAATACTTAATGCTCAGTAACTGAGTAAGTTTATCATCTAAGCATTAAAATTTTCTCAAAATAATCTTTTGAATTAAGTATAATATTAAATAGTAATAGAAATTTCATAATTAATTGATTTAGAAGATGATAAATTGATATCTGGCTTTTAATAATTTATTAAATTTATTCATAAAAGATATTTTTATCTAATTTATCTATTAAATTTCCTATCTAAAAACCATTTTAATTTACTTGTAATTGTTAAAATTATAATAGAAATATACAAAAAAGTTGAAGATAAAAAAAAACTAGAGGAAATTTTGTTAGTATTTGGGGAAATTTATTTGGATAAATATAAAATATTTCAATAAATAAAAAACAATTTAATTGATAAATGTGATGAGAAAATCATTTATAACTAAGTTCTTATTTAATTTTATGACTCAACAAATTAACTAGAAAAAAGAGATAATTTATGTGAATAGGTTTTCACATAAAACTCAAACATTTATGTAAAATTATTTGAATAGAATTAATATTTTAAAAATTTTTTCTTACATCCTGAATTTTTACAGTGTAAATAAATATAAAGTTAATTCCCAAAAAATCTACAAATAAGTTTAATTAACTTTAATAAGTCTTTAGCAGACATTAGTTATTCAACTTTAGAAACAGTAGTTACTCTATGGTGTTAGGACTTTAAAAATTAAGAAAAATTTTTAAACTTGATTCCTTTCCTATTTAATATCATCAAAAGAGGAGCATCTCCAAAACCCTTATTATATTTAATTAACTAAAATGTAAACTCAAAATAATTAATCTCAAGATATTATAATTTTAAATCACTTTTTTAATTGTTATATAATAATTCTGATGAAGAATTAAAAATTATTTTATTAAAATTGCATTCAAAAAGCAATCCAATACCTTTACTATATCAAAATCCTTAAATTTAAGAAGTTTAAAATTATGGTGACATTTATAAATTTAATTAAAATATTATATATTTAATATCGAATCATTATAGCATCATTAATATGAGTTTATTGGTAGATTAAAAATAAATAGGAAAAACTGATCTTATCAATAAATTATTTTATTTATCTGAAAAATTTTCAATCTGTGACACATCTGACTTAAATATCAGTACTATAGATTGCATGTTTGATAATGAATTTGATAATACCAGAAATTTTTTTATCGCTGATGCCCATGGATTTATTCCATTAGAGATTTTAGAAAAAATATTACCTTTGTTTTAATTTTGGATCATATAATTATAATCTGTATCATAATTAATAGAAAGTTTTGAAAAAGTAATAAAATTATAATCTAAAATGGTCAATTAACCAAAGATTTGCTTAATTATTAGGGATTATAATGAGCCTGAATAACTTATAGAATAATATGAAAAATAAATTACTGTAGCAGGATTTTACGTTTATAAAATTAGTAACTTAAATTTACAAGGAACTGATAAATAGCAACAATAAAGAGAAATTTAGAATACATAGAAGTTTATATTAAATATAATCTCAGATGATAAAAATAAAAGACCTGATTTTTTGGATCAAGATAAGTTTTTAAATATTATAAAATAAGATTAAGCTAATTTAAGCTTCATCAATGAGTTTGAAAAAAGCTTAAAGATTATTTCTTAATTAAAAAAATAATTAGAAGATTTAAAAGAAAGACCTTCCGGTTTTTATGATTAAGAAGCTTTCCCTTTTAGAAGTTGCAATTGGAATTTAGAATAATTAAGATAAAAACAATCAAAATTAAATAAGACAGATAATATTTATAAACAGGAGATTGATAAAAAAGTAAAAGAAATTGATTCTAATACATAAGGTGACAATTCAAATTTATTTCAATAAAAATTTGATTTAGTTAATAAAAAAAGTATAAATGAAAAAATGATAATCGAAAATGAGAATGAAATATAAAAGTTATAATAACAAACATTGAATCCTACTTCTATTTTAGAATTGTTTTGTGAATTATTTGAATAAAAGAATTACTATGTTATTTATCTATAATTTTCTGATTGGTTAAGATAATTTAATTCCTAAATTGCTTTTAAATTATAAAATAGAATATAAGAAAAAAATGAGGAATACTAAAAAATTAAGAATAAAAGAAAAAATGAAAAAGAAAGTATGACTAGCAGTTATGATATTATAAATAAATATAGGGAATAATTAGATAATATAAAGAAAGAAATTTAGAAAACAAATATGGAAATAGAATTAAAAAATATTGGGATAGAGTTATTTTGGAAAGAGATAATAAAGATACATTTAAGCCAACCAAATCTTAAACTGAATGTAGACCCTATAAAAGTAGTAGCATCTATGATAAAAAAAGGGGAATCATTTGAATTGATTGATGGAGATTAATTAAATATAAATTCAGATTTTTTGATAAAATTAAGTGAAGAATTAAGATTAGATGAGTAAGTTAGAATTCTTATTTTGAGTATTTTAGGGCCTTAGAGTTCTGGAAAATCAACTTTATTGAATAAAATATTTGGTTGTCATTTTTGGGCAAGTGCTGGTAGATGTACTAAAGGAATAAATTTATAACTAATTGAAATTTAGGATAAATAATAATTTAATGATAAATTTGATCATGTTTTATTATTAGATTCTGAAGGTTTATAAAACCCTAATTAATTAAATCCAGAGTTTGATAAGAAAATAGCTTTATTTGTTCTTTCAATTAGTGATGTGATTATATTTAATGTTAAAGGTGAAATGAATGGATAATTTCGTAATCTTATAGAAATGTGTATGTTTACTTATGGCTAAATGATGAGAAATGGTTCTTGTATTAAGTAACTTAGTTGGTGTTTTAATTAAAACAATGAATTAAAAAACAAAAATCCTTATTTATCATAAATTTAAACAATAGCAACTAATTTAAACTAGTCATGTGGCCATTTAGAAAGTGATGATTAAAATTAAAAGATTGATTATGCTGAATTATTTGATATTAATCTTGACAACATAAGTATTTTAGGGATTGCTTATTCATCTAATAGTTGGAAATAAAACTCAAGCAATTTAATTTGTTAAGAATGGACATAATAAATATAGAATGACGCTTATACAGAAGATGCTTATAATTTTGGAATAAAAGCAATTCATAATTATAAAATAAAATACTTGAAATAAAAATAAGATGAATAAACTTATAGTAATTGGAGTTAAATCGTAAAGAAAGTTGAAAATGATTGGATAACAATTTCTAAATTACCTGATTTATTAGAATTTTCAGATTTAGTATAACATAAATAAAATGAATTAATGAAAAATTGTTTTGATTTAATAATGAAAAATTAGAATCTAGAATTTTAGCATGAGATAATTGAAAATATAAGAAATGAAATAAAAAAAAAAGAAAATAGATTCAACTTTTAAATATTTTAAAAAATTGGATTGGAATAATAAAAAATTATTGCACAAAGATTAGAAAAGATACTAGAAGATAGCAAAAATGAATTACTTAAATACAGATAGACAAACTAAATTTTTAAGAAGATATACCTTAAATTTTTAGATATATTAGATTAGCGAATTAAGGGTCATTAGACTAATTTAGATATGATAATTAACTATGAAATTGATAAACAGAAGATAGAATTTTAGTAAAAATAGGGTTTCAAGCTTTTTGATGATTTTATATTGGAGCTAAGCGAAAATACTGAATTATTAAAATAATTTTAGAAGGATGAGAAAATGATTAAAGATAAATTTAATGATATCTGGAATACAATTAGATAATAATAAAGAAACAGTTAAACAGAAAACTTCAAATAATTTTAATAACAATAAATTGAAAATATCAAAAAATTATACCCAATATCTTATTACACTTATTATGAAAATAATTATATAGAAAAATTTATATAGGAAATAATTCCTTAGAATCCTTTTGAAAAATATGAACAAGAAAAAGATTAAATTTTTTAAATATTTAAAAAAGAATATAATGAATCATTAATCACTTAGCTAAATTAAAAGGAGCCTCTTCATTTGTAATATTTAGAGAAGATATATAACTTAAGTATGATTGAGAGAATTGAATAGGGATAAAAAAATTCATTAATAAGAATAAAAGATTTCTACAAAATTTAAGTAAAATACCATGTGCTTGAAAAAGATTAAATAGAAAAATATTTTAAAAGTACGTTTTCTCAAGATTTCTAATCATAATTTTAGAAATAAAAAAAAAAAAAAACTTAAAATTTAGCTAATTTTGATTATTTTTTTTAGATTTTAGCATTCTTCAATATTGGTTTTATTTAATTACAATTAGATATTTTAAAACAGAGGTTTTTATAAGAAGAGGATATTCAAATACAATTAGAGAATTTGAAAAGTTCATTTAATTTTAATAATATTGATTTTAATTCATCCAATAGTTAATAGTTTTAAAAATATCTTTAAGATTTTAAAATCTCATTAAAACCTTTTGAAATTTCAAAAACATTTGAAAATTTCGATAATTTTTAAAGTTTTAAAATGACATAATAGATTGTAACTCAAAAAGAATTAAATTTTTTACCGAAAAACTAAAATTGTGATTTTTTGGTAAGAGTTATGCGTTCGTCTTTTTCAGGTAGCGTTCATGCAATGTAAGAAAATTTTCAAAAACTTATGGAAGAAAATTAAGTTTGGAAAATGTTATTTTATGAAATATATGATATTGTTAAAGTCGAAATATTAGGTGAAGCTAAATATGAATCAAATTGCTAATTATAATAGGATTATGATCTAACTCTATATGATTAAAATTTTATTTCTGATATTATTAAACAATTAGAAAATAGGATTAAGGAAAATTACAACAAGTAATTTGCGCATTTTGGAATGATTTTTTATTCTTATTGTGAGAGAACAATTTACTACTAAGCTTTATTTTTAATTTGGAGATTTATTTGTTTTAAAAAATAAAACATGTATGACGATGAATATAACAAAATTTCAGAATAAGAAGAATAGTAATATAAAAAATTTAAGGATAATATTGACTAAAATAAAATTGAGCAGAGTCGAAATTAAGCTGTTGATGTTATTTAAAAAATTTCAACAGAATGGCTGAACTAATTTTACCAGAAAAATAAATAAGAGGCTGAATAAGCGATAAAATCTAAATAAATTTCTTGTTAAGATTTAATAAAAAAATTAGATGATCAATTACTGGAAGAGAAGGATAAAATAAATTATTTTGAAGAAGGGTTAAATGAATAAATTTTATCATATATAAGAAATTAAAAAGAATATATTACAAGATATGCGAAATCATATGTATCCTAGCTGAAAGAGGAATTAATTAAAAAATACTAAAAAATACTCAATTCATTTTTATAAAAAAGTTGGGAAAGTCTAGAACGAAATGCTTCATAATTACTAGAAAATATTAATTAATGTAATAAAAATATTGATTAAAATTAAACTATTCTTGTTTCTTTTTATTTTAAAAATCAAAATTCATAGTTGGATGAACAAGAAAAGATTTTATATTAAAATGTTTTAAATTATTTACAAGGTAGAGATGGCGAAAGTCTTGATCAGCTAGAATATTCAAATATTTTTAATTTTACTGAAGAATTATAAAAAATATAACTTCCTGAATTAGATAATATAAATGATAAAAAAGTCTGTATCTTGGCTTCATTTGTAGATGAAATTTTAAAATAAATTAAAAAAGAATAAACTAAGTGTAACTCTTAGAATTTATAATTTTCAAAATTCTAAATTGATGTTCATATGCATAATTTGGAAAAAAACATGATTGGATGCTTGTATTCTTGTCCGATTTGTTCAAGAAAATGCGATTAATCAGTTCAATTTGATAATCCGTCCTAGAAACATCAACATTCATGTTTTAATGGTCATTAACTTAGAGGTATATATCAATTCTTTATTTTTCCAAAGGTATGAGTGGAGTTTGGATAGGAGATAAACCTTCTCTACTTACATGTCAATAAATAAAGGATACATCACACATAATAATATAAGAAAACAAAGCTTTAAAATAATGGAAAGAAATAAAAAAGATACATGGGTAATGGTGCTTTAATAATAATAATGACTAGCAAGATAAATAGAATAATGAAAAAATGTAGAAAGCCTGGAATAATGGAATAGGAGAATTAATTTGTAAATAATTATCCTAAGAATTTAAAAAAGAAATTGTTTTTTTTAAAAAGAATGATAATTATGATAAAGATTATAAGGTAAATAAATAACACTATATCTTTATGCTTGATGATTCTTCATCAATGAAAGGATAAAAATGGGAAAATATAAGTAATTGTTTTTCGAACTGTTTAAAAATAATAAATGAAGATATAGATTATTAACTAAGCCTCATCTAATTTAGCTTCAACGCTGATATTGTTATAAATTGCGAAATACCTAATTATAATAAACATAGGGAGAAAGTTAATTTTAAAAGAAGCCTATGGAGAATTTGGACTTATAAAACAAATTTTGACAGTGCTTTAGATTTAGCTTATGATTTAATTTTAAACAATCATGAAAATTTTTTAAAGTATAAATTTTGTCTAAATTAGCACAAATATGTTACTCTTTACTGATGGCGATGGGAGCTATCCCTAAACGTAAGTTGATAAATTTTGTCAACTTCCTCCATCGATAAGATAGAAAATCTCTTTTATTGCTTGTACAGATTCTTCTGATTCAAAAACTTTGGATTAAATTGTAAAGACTTTTAAAGCCTTTGAAATCCGCTCTAAAAAATAAAAAGTAGAATCAGATAGTCTATTCTAAGTTTGGTCTGAAATTATTTCTGAATCCAAACTAAAAGCTGAGGATTATAATTGAGTTAAATTATGTCAGCTTAAAAAAATTTAATATTCATATAATTAGAGTACTAAAGGTTTATAAAGTTTAACTTAAAGTACTGAACCACTCTTACTATGTTCTTTCATTTAATTTATATTCTATTTAAGGAATTAATATAAAATAAATCTTTCTTTTAAGTTACTTTTTATTTTTTTCATATTTTAAAATTATTGTCTTGAGTAAAATGAAATTTCCATATAAACTTGATTATTTTGTTAAAATTAAAAAAAAACTTTTTTATTTTTATTATGAAAAAATAAAGTATTCTTTTTTTGGATTCTTAATTCTTAATTAAAAATTTTATTTTGTTTAAATAATTTATTCATTATTTTCCTTTTAAGCTTTATAAAAGTAATCACCTTAATATATGTAACAATTTGTCCTTTGTATAATTTTTGTAAAAAAAATTTTACTAATTATTCTCATCTATTGGAGCTCATAAAATAAAAAATATTATGCCAATCTCGTTTTAATAATCAATTACACAACCAGAGCAAAAATAATCTTCATTTAATATGAGAACGTTATGATGTCAAGCTTATGAATTCCAAAGTTACAATAATAAATACTATAAATTGATATCATGACTAATAATTTAATAATTTTAGATTTTATTATTGATAATATAAATAATTTATGATGTATGATTTATAATAATAATAATTGATTTAATATATATTTATGAACTGATAGATGAATCAAATATAAAATAGGACTTTTTACTTAACAAGATCTGGTAATGGTAGGAATTTAACTTAATCTCTGTCATCATAGTTATCTCCAATAAAATTGCAAAGACAGTGCGCATATCTAACAGGAGCAGGTATTTTAATAGAGCCAGTAAAGTTATAGAATAACCAACATAATTTAAATGTTAATATTTTGATATCATCATCAAGACCTATAAATTAATAATAATAATTAATACCTGTTTAATCTGAATGTATAATTTTATACAGGGAGGGTGTTACAGTACCTTATCTAGTAACTTACGATATTAAATAAAAGTTAGGATTAGTTTATTCTACAACTTTAGGATTATCAACACATGTTCCAGGTTAAGGATTATCAGGTCTAGCATTACCACCAGTATAAAATTTAGCAGAGACTCTTTTATTACATACAACGAGTGATATTTTAGTATCTGTTATTTATAATTCTTCTAATGCTTATTTATATTATGGTAATTCAGTAGCAAGTACTGTTACTTATTAACCATCACCAACTCCATCTCTATAAATAACAACTAATTTTGGGAATATTCCATTTTATTCTTTAAAAGCTAAAAGTGAAGCTTTGAATACTTATTATAAATGTTAACTAAATTCTCCAGATGTAATCACTTAAGAATAATATCTACTTAAATTTCTATCTACTGTACTGCAAAAAGCTAATTAGTTTTTTCTACCACTTTTTATAAAACAATCAGTTCCACAAATCATTGTTGGTTAATTTTAAAAACTAGTTGGTAAACTATCAATTGCCCAAGGAGTACCACCAACTTTAGCATTTAGTTATATTAATATTTTATTAACAATAGATCTTGTATTTTTAGCTAATGTTTTTTCAACAACTACTTGTGAAGCACAACCAAATTTTTACATTGATATTTTCTTAGCAGATTTATATAATCTTGCTTTCTTTTTTTATCCTGGTAAAAGAAATAAAAGAAATCCAACTTTAGCTTTATTTGCTTCAGCTTATTTTTAAAACCCATCTAGTACTTTTTCTAAATCATCTTCTCTATCTTATTCTATTGGAAATACTTTAGGAGCCATAAATGCTTAAAATTTAAAGTCATTACATGCAGCCTAAAAGTTTTACATCAAAGAATCCATAGTCTATTAACCTGATCTTTTATTATAAATGATTCCCAATATCAGTTATTATGGAGGAGTTGAAAACATTTAAGTTTAAGTTTATCTATCTAAATTAGTTTATGGACTTGATAAATCTAATCTTAAACCATTACCCATTAACATATTCCCTGGATGAATTCTTCTAGCTGGTAAATCCATACTTCCTGGATTAATCTCTACACCCCATTCTTTAAATATTTATCTTTTTGTCCCTGCTTTTTTATTAACAATTTCTGTGTTAGCTAATTAATTAGCAAATTCTTAAGCCATTTTCATTCTTTAATCAGCACCTGGTTTTGTAACCACAGCTAAATTCTTCATTGCATTAAAATCCTAATAAAATATAATTTATATATACATTTCTAATAGCATCTGTTAAACCAGTTAATTAACATAATTATGGAATCAAATGTATTGTTTTTTCAGTTTTATCTTATTTACTTCTTACTGTTGCTCTTATTAATGGTTAATTTCCTTCGACTTTTACTTTATATCTTTATTCATAATATTAAGCAAATGACATAGTTTCACCTTTCTCATTAGTAAATGTACTCCCTGGTGATAAATTTACATCAACTGCTTCAACCTTATAAAACTTCTTATTATAAGTAGTCATAACTATCTAATCTTAAATACATGTTGGATTTCTTGTTTAATTCAATTCTTCTAAGGCAGATCGATATCTTAACATCTTAAATGCACAATCTATAACTAAAGTTGGATTCTAAGCTCCTCCTTCTCCTGGTCTAAATATACATTCTACACCTGGCCATATCTATATATATATTAATTCATTTTATTACTTCTAAATTTTATTCTTTAAATTATTATGCTCTACTAGACCAAAACAACTTTTAACCTTTATTTCCTACTGAAACCATTTACAATTAACTTCTTATTACTTATTTAAACAATCTTGATATTATTATATTTAAATCTGCTTTATTTTCTATCTTTCCTACTAATTTTAAAGTTGCTGTGTCTTAATTTGTTTCATTCCCACTTAATGAACCTAATACTAATCCACTATCAGCTTCTTAAATTAATTTAGGTGAATATATATTCTAGTTCAAGCTCATAAATAAGATCAATTAACCTTAAAGTTAAGGTCTGAATTTCTTTAATGCTTCACTTACTTTCTCTTATGTAGAATCTGTGATCTCTAATTTGTATTAATAAACTGGTCTTGATGGGTTTAATCTCATCTCATGAAAGTTTGCTTTTAGTTATATATTTTAGAACATTTTGTATAATACATTATTATCTTTAATTCAATCACTTCATATAATCATTTTTTAAAAATTTACCTAAACCTCTTAGTCTAACTCATATTTTTAGTATAATTTATAATAGATATTAATTTAAATAATTTATATTTAATTCACTTCAAAAATTATACTATTCATTTAAATTACTTGATTTCAACTATTTTTAAGAATAATAATCTCATGAAAATGGGCTTTATCAAATCAATTTTATTAAAATTATGGGGATATTTTATAAATCAGCATAATTTTGAAAACAATTATTTATTTATCATAAAATATATATTATTTTATGATTGAACATTATATTCATATTAAATATATGATCTTGATTATTCAATATACATTTTAAATATTTAAAATCAGATTTTATCAAGAAAAGAACTCTTTTCAAAATAATTCTTTAAATTAAATAATATATAGAATATAATTATAAAATAAATTAATTTCTTATCATGTCAACTTCAAAATCAATTATTGATGAAACTTACATTAATGTTCATTTAAAAGGAGGTAATCTTCATTCTGAATTACTACATATTGAAGCCTCATTTAATAAAGGTAATACTTATAATTTAATCTAGGATAATTTAAGGGATAATCAATTCCATTGAAATGTTAATGGTTTAATATTACTAAAGACAAAGACTTTGTAGAAATAGAAGATGTTTCAGGATAATTTTATTAGCCTTGTATTTTAGATATTGATACTAAGTAAAATCTTCTATTTATAAGAATTATGGTTTAAGCTATACCAATTTTAGACTTTGAGTATAATGGCATGCCCTTAATGGCTGAAACCAATTTTTTGCAAGCTGATTCTAAAATTTTTGATCTAGTAGTTTACTACAATAAAATTAGGTTAACTCAGCATTTAATGAAGGAGAGATGTAAATTAATTGTAAATTGGAAAATATTTAAGCTTAAGATAATCAATCATTTACAAATCTTAATTTTCCATTAATTTGCACTTTAATTGCCAACGAAAATGGATTGATATTGAAAACTGATTAAAATAAGATTATTGTTAATATTGACAAATACGAACTTAAGATTATTAAAAAAAATAATAATTAGATTGAAATATTCAATTCAAATATTAAACTATTAGCAGCTGTAACAAATAATATGGTTCGTGATGCAATTTTTCAATTTAGCAAAACATTAAAATTAAAAAAAAACCATTTAAGTGATACAGCATAATTATATGCAATCATCTCTGATTAAGAATAAAAGTTAACTTATAAAGAAAATGAAATTTCATAATTATAAGATATTAAATTGAAATTAACTAAAAATCTGAATGAACTTTAATAATAATACAATATAAATATCAAAAAAATAGAATAGATTGATAAATAATTGGTGTAATAGAATTTATAAATTTAGAATAAAGACAAGGAAATTTAAAATTTAAAATAATAAATTGATAAATTGGATGGAAAAACATAAATATATATTTAAGAAATAAAGGTTTTAAAAAGCTAAGTAATATTATTAGAAAATACAAATAAAAAATTCTAACAAGAGATAGATGACTTAAAAAAAAATTAACACTAAAATTAGGATGAAATAAGAGAAATGTTTTATAAAGAAAAGTTGGATAGCTTAAAATAATAAAATGATGTATTAAATTAGTATATTTAGAGAAATGCCAAAAGGAAAATTAATAATGGCAATTAATTAATGATTAATTAATGAAGGAGATAAAGAAACTTGAAAATAACAATAATTTTTATTAAGAAGAGAGAGAATTAGTTTAGAATGAATTGAATAGTTTAAAAAAAAAATATGAAAGTTTATTATAGGAAATTGAATTGAATTAAAAGAAAGAGAAATCAGATATATCTTCCGAAGTAATTGTTTAATTCTAAATTTTTAGAATGATGTTCAATCTAATAAATAATCTGAAATTATTATTTGCAATAATGTTGTTTAAAATAATATTGGTTAATAGGATGAAGTAAAAAGGTTAAAAACAACAATAAATAATTTAGAAACTAAAATTAAGAAGTAAAAATAATTTAAAATTTAAGTATGAAATGCGATTATGAATAAGAAATGCTGAAATTAACAAGTAAACATTTTTTGAAGAGCAATATTTCTTAAGAAATATAGGTTTTGTAAAAATTGGTAATTATGAAGTATTATTTTAGGCTAATTCTTTGGCTGAAAGTTTATCTGATAAAGAATAAGCTTTATAAACTTAGAGAAATATTAATCGAGAATTACTGAATAAAATATCTGAATTTAAAAAGTGATGAGTGGAATAATTAAAATGATTAATATTTATTCTATTCATTATTCTTTGGGTGTTAATCCAAAATATTTATTTTGTAAAACAAAAGGAAGATGCGATTTAAAAGAATGAGAAAATAATTTTTCTATTTATCCAAATTTAGATTAGGTTGGACTAGTCTATTATCTTGAAGTTGTTGAATGTATTCTTTTAGTTAAAGTGCTTTCTGTTGCTTATTTTTTTAATAAATATCTAGAACTATCTTAGATATGATCAGTGCTCTTTTTAATTTCTTTTAAGTGAAATTTTTATTATTATCTATAGTTGTTATCCTCCTCTGAATTCAATTTACTTCTTATAGTAGGTGATGAAAATAATTTTGATAGTACATTACATATATATACATTTTATTTTGGTGAATCATGAGTAGTTAGCATTTCGGTTTTAGGCCTTTTATCTATAGATTTCTTTGTACTTTTAGACCCTTTCTTAGAAACCAAAACAATTTATTATTCAGTTCTTTATCTTCTATGCTTTTGAGATGTATATAATTACGTAAGCAATGTACTATAATTCATATCAGTTTTAGGAGGTTCAAGTGTTAAGGTAAGTTCTCGAATTTTTTTATCAATTTACTTTTTTCTACTAGTAATTTTAGATATATAAGTTTGATTACGTACTAAAACATTAGTTTATAAATCTTCATCAGTTAATAATTTTGGATTAAGTTATTCTTTAATTTATGTTTTCTGAAGAATACTTTATTTTTCTGTATGATCAATAAAATTCTTTTCATATGCCTTAATTTATGCTAAAGCTTATTTGAGTTTGTCATCATTTAAAGAATTCAAACTTTGAAATAATGGTGGATCATTTTATATAACTCTTAAGAAATCTCTTTTAGATACAGAATATACAGTATTGGATTCAAAAGTTGATACATAACTAAATTATCTACATAAATCTGATTATTTTAAAATTTCTAATTCTCCAAACATTTCACCAGCACCTACAAATTTTAATGTCATAATTGACTTTTTATCACCAGTTACAAGATTTCCATATTTCTTTTTTTAATATAACATATCAATTTTATCTGAATTAGATAAACTTGGTTTAGTATATGCAAATCGATCCTTTAACTTTTATAAATCATCTTAAGAATTATTATCATCATTAAATTATGTAATTCTTAGTGTCTTTACTACCTAAAAAATATAAATATTTAATTACTTTAAATTAGCCAGTTTATATAAAATAAACTTCGTTTGAAGGATCGCCTTCTTTGAAGATTATATGATTAAGTCCATATTTATTTGATTTAATTACATCAAATAATGATTTAATACTCATAAATTTCCAATCTCTAAAAATATTCAATTTTGCAAATTCTTCAAAATACATTTATCTTTGTTAGTTAATCTTTTTTTGAATAGATAATAAGAATTACCACTGTTTTTTTAATAACCATATAATCTTCTGCCTCTAAAACAGCTAAATGTGTTGGAAGAATAGCTTTAACTGAAGCTGAACGAGGTTCATTATTCTCAAGCGCTAATTCTCCAAAACCTTATCCATCTTATAATTAGATTAATTCTTTATCTTAAAATTCATCTTAAACTAATAATCTTTTATGAATAGATACTCTTCCCTACAAAATGATATAAAAGGTTGTACCAACATCACCTTATAAATTGAATTTATTAAATACCTTCTCTAAATAATGTTTATCCATAAGAAAGATATGTATAACTCATTTTCCTTAGACATCTTTCCCATAATATAGGACCCTATTCTTTTTCTATTAGTTTTTGAAAATAATCTATATGACTAGTGGCCTTTTTAAGAATTTCAATCTCTGATTAAGTTCTATGATAAGAGGATTTGGTAAGAATAATGCATAAAATACCAAAGATTTACTCTTATGTTAAAGTTTCATAAAGAGATTGGTCTTGTTCCATTTGAAGAATGTATTATTTGAGTTTTTTGTTTTCTTGTTCTTTCAAGGCTAATGTATTTAATGAGTTTTTGCGAATAAATTTATTCATTATTATTTTAATAAGCAGGAAATTGGAAAATCTATAATGAAGGGTCAACAAACACCAAGTCGTTTTCCTAAAATAAATTAATTTGAGACTCAGTTCTCTCATTTATCATTGAGTAATTTCTAAGAATAAAAACATAATCCTACAATTTGTAAGGGAATGTTAAGTATGATTAATCCTAAGCCTCCTTGTGAAAATAAGAAAATAAAGCAATCTAGTATATATATTGATGAATAGGTCAATTTGAATAGAAAGCACATTGTTTAAAGAGATGTCCATAAGAAGAAGGTTCTAGTTTTGATTTAGATTTGGCAGTGTTTAAAATACGTCCATGTTAAAGATAATGTGAACATAATTAAAAATAATGTCCATATTTCCATTCTGAAAATGATTTAAGAAGGCCAGGAACATACTATAAAGCAGAATTATGTCCATATAAAGTAGAATTAAAAGAATGCCCTCATGGTTACAGTTGTTGTAAAGCTCATAATCAATATGAATTGTTATATTAAGAAGACAATTATAGAAAGTTATTTTGTCCACAACCTCAAAATTGTTGTTTTGGTATGTATTGTCCTTATGCTCATTTTGAAAAAGACATAAAATGTGACTTGATCCATCTTTATTAACAAGATCAAGATTATTTTATGTTTCATTATAAAACAATTAGTTGTCCCTATGCTCTATTTAATCATAATTTAGTAATCTATAATTTAATTAGGTCAACTTGTCATTATTATCATAATGATAATGATAAACGTAGAAGAATACAAGAAATATCATATTAACCGTAACAGTGTCCTAATTAGATGTAAAATAAGGTTTGTACTAATGAATGCTCATATTGCCATTCTATATTTGAACTCTATTTTCATCCTCATCTATATAAAACCTTTGAATGTACTTAATAGAATTGCATCAAAGATCTCTGTCCAGGATATCATGATGAAAATGATTTCAGGTGAGATATATTAATATTTTAAAGACAATTAAATCCATTAGTTAGGAATGGAATAATGAAAATAGTTCCTAAAAATAGATTTGAAGAAAAACAACCAAAAACATAAACTATTAAATTTCCTAGTATATATTAATGAACTATTTTGCAAATATATATACTCTTTATAATTTAAATAAATTTTATGTCATTCTGTTAAGAGTAATTTTTTATTAATATGTGAAGACCCAAAGTTGACTGTCAATACCTGAAATCTGTTATCAAGAATCTTAATAACAGATTGAATACATTAGAAAATGCAAATCAGAATTCTGAATAGATAAAAAATGAAGTCTTGCATAAAATTAATAAAGAATTAGTTATTCCAAAACTCAAACTAAATAAAATTCAAATGGGAATCAATGTTCCATAAAAGAAAGTCTTGGTAACTTTTGGAAACAAAGAGAATTTTAGAACAGACAATTGTGATTGTGTTGGAGATAGAATAGATTAAACAATCATAAATATGAACTAATTTTCCCCTTAGAAATAATCAACACCTTAATCAAGCGTTATCAATTATTAATTCTAATTTACCTAATAGATAGATAATAAGTTAAATAATTTTAATAAATAATAATAACCTTAACTCAAATTAGTTAAGCAAGATTCTAATCTAATCCAACCTATATTTTCAAAGAAGAATTCTGATTAGTAATCTTAAGGGACAAAGTTTTATACTCGTAATAATTCTATATAATCAACTCCTTTTAAGTAGATTGCATATAATTCATCTATGGGAACTAGTCCATTAAAAAGAAAGAATTCTTAAAAAACTAGTGATATAATCATTAACTCTTTATAAATTGAAGATATGATGTAAAATCAAAGCAAATTTCTCAAATATTTTTAATAAAATTATGGATCACTCAAAAAACATAATAATATAGTAGATAGGAGAAAATCTTTAAAATCTTAAAATAGGATTGCTTTAGTTGATGCTTAGATGATTAAAATTTGATTTTTTTTATTGATATTTTCATATTACTTTATTTAATGACAATTAATATGAAAAATAAATTAGTAAAAACGATTTATTATTTAATATAATGAAAAGCATAGTAGCCATAACATTAGTTCTGTGTCTTCTTTCAAATCAAGTTTTGTCTAAGAAGCATAACTAAGAGGAAGAACATTCAGCATTTGAAAAAAGTACATTTTTATGTTTATAGAAGGTCATAAAAAATTAGCACTCTCTGATGATCCTGCTTATGGAAAATTAGAAGAAATTTAAGATCATCCATTGGGATCTAAAATTCTATAAACAATAGCTCTTTAATTAAGAGGAAATGAATCATTAAGTGCTGTTAGCAAATTATTGAATGATTTGAAAGGTGATCTTGAGGTTGTTATATAATTTATATATATAAGGGTAAACAAATTGATGCAGATAATGAAAGAGCTTAAATAGGATCATAATGCAAAAAAGATCTCTAAAATTATAGCTAAAGAATTAGTTTATCAATCAATGAAATTAAAGATGCCGAATTCAAAGCTAAAAGATTGAATGAAGCTATTGCTGTCTATTAAGCTGAAATAAATGAAAAAGCTAGATAAATAAAAGTCTTTTAAGCTAAAGATGACACTCTAAGAGATATTAGAAGATAAGATAATTTAGATTTCTCTACAAGAACAACTTAAATGAAAGAGATGGTTCAAGCCTTTGAGGTTATCTTGCCAAAACTTCATTAAGTTTGGGATGTTGCTGCTGCTCATAAAGCAGGTTCATTCATCGAAGAAGAAGCCATTAACGAAGCATTAGTTTAATTGGCTAAGATTGGTGAAGAAAATCCTATTACTGCTATGGTTGCTTTGACATCCACCTTAGAACCAACTGCGGTTTAAACTTTGATTGAAAAAATGGAAGCAATCAGAGATTCAATCAAGGAAAGTATATAAGCTGAAGAAGAAGCTGAAGCCAAGAATGCCAGAGTATTTTTTCTTTTAGTATTCTAATTAGGACACTGACACTATTTTGGCAGCTATTTTCAATGCTATTGAAAGTTTAACCAGAGAAAAGGCAAGTGATGAAGAAGCCTTGTAAGAGACTATTAGAAATAGAGATATTTAAGATAAGAGAAGCAGAGATGCTCATGCTGTATCATATTTTTAATATCATTAGGAATTCAATGCTGCTAAAAATGGAAACTAATAAAGAAACTAATAATGCTAAGAATATGAATTATAATATTAGTAAAACACTATTGAAAGAGATAAATAAATTGCTATCATCAAGGATGTCTAAAACATTATAGCCACCAAAATAGAGGTTGTTACGTGCTTCGTCGAAGAAAACAATTTATTTTGATATTAATTATATTACAATCAAACATTATTAGTAAGCATTCTTATTCAAAATATATTTCTAAGTCTTCGGACTAAATTTTTTGTTGCTATCCACATATCTATAGATAATTGTCTTGTTGCTGTAAACATATTCTTTATCAGATTTAATAACCCTTTTGTTAAAACCACAATTAATTTCCACACTGGTGTCAAAAGCTAATAATAAATAAATTTACTAATAGAACTTATTATTGTTATAAAACACTAAATATTAAATTACAATTACCTTATAAATTGATTTGCTTAAATTCCATAATGGGACTAATATAAATCTCTTAATATTTTTTGTAATACATTTTATAGTAATTACAAGTATATTATAGAGAGGTTTAAGAAAATAAACATAAATATTTCTTATTAATAAGTTATATACTATTTCTTTTATTATCCAAGTCGAACATCTATAAATATTTACACATATATGATTGTAAATCAAATCAGCAAGTTTAGATAATATCATATAAATGACATCAACAATAATGAATCTTAAAAATTGGCAAGTTTTAATTATAATGATTTCATATAAGAAATCTATCAATAACCATTTTACAGCTTTAAATATTGGAACAATCACCAATTTGTATAAAAATTTGTAAAGCACCAAATTCATTGCTTTGTATGAGTAAGTTAATATAATTTCATATAAAAATTTAACAATCAAATACTCATATAAATTAAGTAAAATGAAAGTATAAAAGTTGACTATAGACCATCTAATTCCTTTAAAAAGATTTATAATAATTGTTTCATAAAGTACTTTTATTAATAGAAATCTTAATAGATAAAAAACATTTAAGATGATATATTCATAGAATGGTATGAGTAAATAATTAATTGTAAAGTTATAGATATGAATAATAGTAATTTTTAGAATATGAAAGGATTTCTTAAGAATAAAAATAATAGCATTCTTAGTAGGGCAATAGATTTTATGATAAAAACACAAAGCCAAAGGAACAATAATTTTTAACGATAAAGGAATTGTGATAATTGAAGTAAATTCTTATATGATTGATCTTAAATGAGCAAATTTGAAGATCAAGCTGATGATAAATATTGCATACCAATCCAGGATGTATTTGGAATATCTGCCAAAAAAATAGATTATTTATAGTGTTGTATTACAAATATAAGCTAAACATCTGTAACAATAATTGAAAAGGATTTAAATTACATGAGATAAATGCATTAAACATACAACAATTTTTCCATAAAGGTAAAGCAAGCAATTATAAAGTTGATTTGTAAAACAATCATATATTAGGTTAGCTGTGCAATAGAGTAATCTCCAAGCAAGGACTAAGGGTAAGAGAGGTACTGCAAGAATTAATTTTAAGACTTTTATTAGAATGTGATCGCTTCTATTAAGTAAACCACCACAATATTTTTCATCTGAATTTTAAATATCTGATATTTCATTTTATTATTGAGGAGGGTTTGGTTCTTATAATTCTTCTCCTTATTGTTATGGTGAATTATTAATGTCAGAATATAAATTCATGATGATTTATATATATAATAGTTTATTTAATAAATCTGTTTTAAAGAAATTATATGAGTAAAATAGATGAGTAATTCAATTTAGAATGTTTAAATTTCTAAAAAGAAATATTTTAATCCATAAATAAAATTAAGATTTTAATAAATTATGAGTAAAAAGGACCTTGAAATCACAGTAGGATGTAATGAAATTAAATATATAAAATAGAAATTAGAAAGGCTATTCCTTAACATTTATTTTAGAAGAACGAATTAAGATTTTTAGTTTCTGTAGGCTAAGCTGTTAGTTGCACATTATTATTAACATATCTAGCTTATAATTATATTCCCTTGACTTGGTTAGCTCTACCAATTTGGGTGGCATATGCCTTTTTAACGGGAACTGTGGCTACAGGAATATGTAAATTTTTAATTGAAATTTAGGGGTTCTTGGTCATGAATGCGGGCATTTTGCATTTTCAGACATCAAATGGTTAAATGATGTATTGGGATTTATATTACATGAAATATTGCTAGTACCATATTTTTCATGGTAACATTCTCATGCTCTTCACCATGCTAAGACAAATCATTTAACAGAAGGCGAAACACACAATCCAGTCATTATTGATTCAAAGATGGGGAAAATATATTAAAAAATGAAGGATATATTGGGAGTGGAATCTTTTGCTTGTGTTTAGATATTCAACATAGCAGTATTGGGATGGCCTCTTTATCTGTTACTTGGTGTTACAGGAGGATCAGCAAGAGGATTTACTAGTCATTTTATTGTACCAAATAAGTTGTTCCCACCAAAAATGTTAGTTAAAGTTACTGCTTCAAATATTGGATTGTGTTTAGTTATTTATGGACTTTATAAATGGTATTAAGCAACATCATTTGCTGAAGTTATGGCTTTATATATTGGTCCTTATTTAGTTGTAAACATGTGGTTAACTATTATCACATTTTTGTAACACACAGATGCAGATGTCCCTCATTATGATGAAACCGCCTGGACATGGTTAAAAGGTTCTTTTATAAATTTATTTTAGGTGCCTTGTGTACTATTGACAGAAATTACCCATTGTGGATTGATTCTTTACATTTCGAAATTGGTACTACTCATGTAGTTCATCATGTCTTTTCAGAATTACCTCATTACAATGCAAGGGTAATTTTTGATCTTAATGAATTTACAGGAAGCCAATGTTTATGTTAAATAAGTTATTGGTGATTTGTATAATCAAGATGCCAAAAAATTATGGACATCCCTTTACAATTCTGCCAGTCTTGTTGGTGTAGAACACAAAGGAAATGGAGTTTGGAAATTTGCTAAGGCTTGATTATCATAAATTATATATATATTTCCATACATAAATTAACATCATATATTACAAATAATTTTAAATCTTTAAATTATGAGCAAAAAGGATAAAGATTATACAGGGTAATTTGTTATTTATATAAATTCAATTTAGATTTCCTGGTGATTGCAATCAAACTTAACTTAAGGCTTTGGCTGATTTTAGAAACATTGTAAATAACATGGGATTAAGCGATAAAATTTATGATGATCCATATCTCTTGAGGTTTTTAAGGGCAAGAAAATTTGATATTGCCAAAACTCAACTCATGTTTAATGATTTTATTAAATGGCGTAAAGAACACGATGTTGATAACATTATGGTAATATTTAAATTAACTTAGACTTATATGTTTGAAGAATTACCATAAGTAAGAACCCACTATCCTCATGGCTATCACAAAACAGATAAAATGGTNTAGTACCATATTTTTCATGGTAACATTCTCATGCTCTTCACCATGCTAAGACAAATCATTTAACAGAAGGCGAAACACACAATCCAGTCATTATTGATTCAAAGATGGGGAAAATATATTAAAAAATGAAGGATATATTGGGAGTGGAATCTTTTGCTTGTGTTTAGATATTCAACATAGCAGTATTGGGATGGCCTCTTTATCTGTTACTTGGTGTTACAGGAGGATCAGCAAGAGGATTTACTAGTCATTTTATTGTACCAAATAAGTTGTTCCCACCAAAAATGTTAGTTAAAGTTACTGCTTCAAATATTGGATTGTGTTTAGTTATTTATGGACTTTATAAATGGTATTAAGCAACATCATTTGCTGAAGTTATGGCTTTATATATTGGTCCTTATTTAGTTGTAAACATGTGGTTAACTATTATCACATTTTTGTAACACACAGATGCAGATGTCCCTCATTATGATGAAACCGCCTGGACATGGTTAAAAGGTTCTTTTATAAATTTATTTTAGGTGCCTTGTGTACTATTGACAGAAATTACCCATTGTGGATTGATTCTTTACATTTCGAAATTGGTACTACTCATGTAGTTCATCATGTCTTTTCAGAATTACCTCATTACAATGCAAGGGTAATTTTTGATCTTAATGAATTTACAGGAAGCCAATGTTTATGTTAAATAAGTTATTGGTGATTTGTATAATCAAGATGCCAAAAAATTATGGACATCCCTTTACAATTCTGCCAGTCTTGTTGGTGTAGAACACAAAGGAAATGGAGTTTGGAAATTTGCTAAGGCTTGATTATCATAAATTATATATATATTTCCATACATAAATTAACATCATATATTACAAATAATTTTAAATCTTTAAATTATGAGCAAAAAGGATAAAGATTATACAGGGTAATTTGTTATTTATATAAATTCAATTTAGATTTCCTGGTGATTGCAATCAAACTTAACTTAAGGCTTTGGCTGATTTTAGAAACATTGTAAATAACATGGGATTAAGCGATAAAATTTATGATGATCCATATCTCTTGAGGTTTTTAAGGGCAAGAAAATTTGATATTGCCAAAACTCAACTCATGTTTAATGATTTTATTAAATGGCGTAAAGAACACGATGTTGATAACATTATGGTAATATTTAAATTAACTTAGACTTATATGTTTGAAGAATTACCATAAGTAAGAACCCACTATCCTCATGGCTATCACAAAACAGATAAAATGGTATTCAATTTATAATCTATTTAAGGGGAGACCAATCTACATTGAAAGAATTGGAATGTTATAATTAAATAAACTCTTTGAAATCACTTCTGAATAAAGGTTAATCAAATATTATATTCAATCATATGAATTATTACTAAAAAGAATATTTCCAGCATGTTCTTAAGCAAAAGGAAAAAGAGTTGATTAAACCTTCACTATTTTGGATTTAAAAGGAGGATCAATGAAGATGGTTTCTAAATAAGTGTATAACTTCATTTAGTTAGCATCTAATGTTGGTTAAAATAATTATCCTGAAATATTAGGAAAGTAAATATAATAAAATATTAATAGAATGTATATTGTGAATGCTCCAATGATGTTTACTGGCATTTGGGCTATGATTAAAATTTGGTTAGATGAAAAAACAAAAAATAAGATTACAATTTTAGGTTCAAGTTATAAGGATGAATTATTAAAACATATAGATATAGAAAATCTACCTGATTTTTTAGGTGGAAATTCAAAATGTGAAAATACAGATGCTCTTTCTTTGAACATTGGTCCTTGGAATCCTGATGGTACTAAACCACTCTTTCCAGTTGAATAACCTTAATAATAAGAGTATTAAATATAATAATGAAAATAGAGAAGAGACATAATAATTTAATTAAACATAAGAAGATGAAGATTAAAAATAAAAATTAGATTAATTGAAATCTGCATTAGCTGACATGTAATTTGCATCACCAACTGAAAAAGCTCCACATAATCCTAATAAATATGAAGTAACAACTTAAAATAATCACATTGTTAGTGATACTCCTCTAAATACAGAAGTGGTAAAAATATAGTATTATTCTAGGGTGAAGAAGACAATCAATTTTCATAATAATAATAATAATAATTACAATAATAATTATAATAGGAATGATGGAGACATCAAAAATATATATAAGTTACATATTAAAATTTATTATTGCCAAATTATATATTATGAGAAGCGCAGACTTAAAAAATATAATTGTTAACCATGCTCCAAATCATCACTCTAAAAATCCTGGTTGGGAATACTTTCCATCTTCTTAAATTAAATGTTAAGTTGAAGCAGCCTAAAAAAAAGAATTAGCTAAACCAACTCCACCTTCAATCAAAATCAAAACTCTTGAATTAAAAGCTAAATACATTGATAAAACTAAACCTAAACATATTTTTAAAAAAACTGATTTAAAAGAAATTGCAAAGAAAAAGAGAGATGATTTATAAAATTGGATTAAAGAGGAAAATAATTTAAAAAAAGGAATCTAAAAATAACATAAATGTAAGCCAGCTCCTCCAATAAAAGAAGATGAACCAAATGATTAATGGCCAGATATAAATGAAGATTAATAATAAGAAAATAATAATGAAAATAATCAAAATGAAGATGAACAAATTGCAGAAGAGGATGATAATTAATCAGAATAATAAAATGAAGAAGTAGAAAAGAAGTAAGTAGATGATGAAGATTAAATTTATATACAAGAGGAATAATAAGAATAAGAAGAATCTGGGATAAATTAAGAAAATTAAGAGTTAAATGAATCTTCAGATAATTAATAAGAAAATTTATAAATTAAATATGACTAATCTAATTAAATAAAGGAATCACAAAGCTCTTTAAAAGAAAGCAAAAACTTAACTATAAATGTAGAAATTGATCAAAATAAAAGTGAAGTATAATCTGTGGTCTCTAAATCTTTTGTTAAAAATCAATCAAAGGTCATTAATAATAAATCTATGAATACTAGTTCATTACTTTTTTATAAATCATAAGTTGCAGATGTATTATATTAGAAATATTAAATAGTAAATGCGATCTTTAATGGAAGAGTTTGAATGAATTGTAATTGATTCTCTATAGTTACTGATCATAATTATTTTAATTTATATAATTAAATAGAGTTAATAAAATTCATTATTTATAGTGACAAAGTGAGGCAATCGATCTTGTCCTAATACTTTAATTTTGAAGATTTTAAATCATTTCCGATATTTAACATTACTCTTCAAAAACTTCACAAGATTCATTCGTATTGTTTTCAAAATCAATAGATGAATTTATTATATCCTTTAAAAAAGGAGTAATATTAATTTTCACAAAATTTTTGGAGACGATATTTTCTAGTTCATCCTCTTTAATGATGCTTAAATTATTAGTTTACTTTCTATTTTATTTTAAAGATAACTATTTAGAATTTTATTTTATTTTAATTATATGATCATCACTTAAGCATTTAGTAACAATTCTATAAATTAATTTTTGTAAATGCAAATAAGGAAAAGGAGTAATGGATTATATTTTGGATAGCAATTCAAAGTAATTTCTAAAAATGATTTTAGTTTAATTCGATCCATAATTTCCATTTTAATTCTTATTTAGTTCATCTTTAAAATATTTAAAAATATATACAATCTACTAGAAACCTAATTAAATATCCTAAACTCTCCAAATCATCTATAAATGATAAAGAACAACTCTATGTAGGTTATTTATTCTAAAAACTCTTTTCTCTAAATATAATTTTTTCCTCATCATCCAAGAGGTTGAAATAAAATCCATGTAAATAAACTTAATTTTTTAATAGAGATATATTTTAAGGACCTAAGTTTTTATGGTAAATGTTTAGAGCATGTATTTTTTCTAGTATTCCAATAAGCTATTATCCAATATAAATTATGGTGGTTGCACCTAGTTACTTTTTTGCATCAATATATTATTACAAATTGTGCCCTGTTTATTCAGAAACTAAGTAGAACCTATTGAAATATAAAATTTCTTTACTTTTAATTTGATGTATATCCATAATCGATAATCTCGGGTATCCCATTTATTCCTTTCAATTTTAGCAATATTTTCATTTCTATATTCAAAAAGTGCTTTTAGTAATGGTGATGTTGGGAGTTCTATATTTTTAATTCCACAGGCCTTTTTGTTGAGTTTTCTTTGGCAAAATAAACCAAAAATTCAGAGTCAACATAGCAGAGTTTAATTTCTATATAGCGAGATAATTGAAACATATTTGATTGGATTTAAATTATGCAAATTACAATAAAATCATTGTGATTAGAATCATAAATACTGTTTATTAATTAATATTTTGTGATCTTTTAATTGAATATATTATCACTTTTTTAAAATTACTCAAAAGTTGTAATAATTTTACAATTCAAGGTTATTTAAATGCATTTTGCTCCTTCCTATCACTATATTAAATGAAGCATATCTTACTTATTTCTCCTTTGAATTATTAATTTATAAAAAAATATCTTTGCACTCGATTAATTATATAAATTTTAATTATACAACTTAGTAAAAATTTTTCTTTCCTTTATTTAACAATAAGTAATGTAATTTATAATTTTATAGGTCAATTGTAATAGCAGAATTTAAATCTAAAAAAAAAATTATTTTTTTTAATTTAATAGTAGGCCTGAAATTATTTTCCACTGCGGTAATTTTCTTTTTTTTAAATATAAAATATTAAATTTGATTTTATAAACTACACAACAACATTAATGTCCAACATATTCCATAAATAAATTGCTTTGTATTGGTTTTTAAATTTCAATTTTATTACACCTAATCATTCGATATTTGTATATTATAATAAATTTTCTTCTGATAATTGTTTAAATTTAGATTTACTCATCATAATTTCCTACTTGATTAATCTAGGCTGTAAATTTTATTTCATAGTTTACTAATATTAATCTTTTTTTGACCTCTAAATAAATTAATTAAGTTAAAAACATGATCATAGTTTCATTGTCAACATATAAGAGTTGAATTAATCAACTAAAATAATCAAATATATATTTTTAATTAATTCAATTGAAATAAAATTACTTTAGTTTATAAAAAACATAGAATATTATTATGTTTAACTGAAAAAATTAAAGTATAAATTAGATGTTCATAATTAATTAGATTAAATGTAAATTCAATCAATTATTTTAATATATCATTAAATAATCATTATTAATAGTGATATTTGGAGAGTTTCTGGGAATAGTCTAGAATCCGGATCCTAATGTATAAATAAATATTTATACCAAACAGTGGATGATCTTTAATATGGGTATTCAAAATTGTTGTTAAGTAAAGATTTGTCAATGACCAAAATTATGGTTTAGGTGGATACTTTTCGTTGAAAGATCTAAGCAAATTATTAAAAGTATATTAGTATTATTAACAAATAATTTCTATTTGAGATAATGTTTAATTAAATTAAAGATTTAGAACTAGATCAAATTCTAGAGTCAATAATATAATTTGATCTTCTGAGTAATAAAAATTACATTAATATGCAAGGGTAATATTAAAAGGATTATATTAAGGAATTTCTGTTAGATTACACCATCCAGTAACAGGTGTAATTGGACTAACTTTTTCTAAATTATAAAGTAAATTTTAAAAAGAGCCAATTAAGAATTAAAAATCTTAACTCTTCCAATTATTATTCAATTAAATTTAAAAATAGTTTTATGAGTAAGCATATTGAATGATTGATTAAATAATTGATGTTGAAAATATTTCTAATTGCTAAAATTAAGTACTATTATTCGGTAATTGAGTTTCTGTACAAATATTATTGTTATAATTCTTGATTAATAATTAGCCAATAAGAGTAAGATCTTACTTTTAATATGATATATTATTAGATTGATAAGTAAAGTCAATTGTCAATGGTTATCCATTTATATTGATATAGGTATAAGTGTAATCAGGAAATATAGGCTAAAACTAAAATTAAATGGAATTAAATAGTATATTGAGTTGAGGAGGGATTTAAGCAATTATTAAGTTAACTACAGATTGAAAATATTGGTAATAGTTCATGAGTGCAATAAAAGTAAATTGTGTTGGTGAATTGTACTATATGGAATTGGTATAAAATGTGTTGGTTTATGTGTTGAATGATAATTACAATATAAAAGGTACATCCTAAAGGATTGCTTATCCAAAACTTTAGAATGTAGCGTTTAAAAAGTTGTATGAAATAGATTATTTTAAATAGATAGTGAGTTATCCAAAATTAGTAAATGTATGATTGATATGTTTAGTATAGAGTGTAATATTGGTGAATTGTTATGTATTTTATAAGGTTTATGTTTATGTTACTGATTAGATGATATGATTGATAGGTATGAGTGAATTGATATCAGTGATGTTTGCATACGTTGATTCATATTGGCACGCAAAAATGAAATCGATTAAAATGAGGAATAACATAAATTAAATAATTTATACACGTTTAGATGTTACCCTTAAAGAAGCCTTAATATGAATTATTAGGTGTTTAGAATCCTGAGAAGGAGCAATTCATCAAATTTATATAATTCGACCATTTAGATATCAAGGGAATAATATTTTTAATAAGTCCTTTAGGAACGTGCATTTTGTTATAAGTAATAAATATAATGAAATATATACATAGATATTAGGATTTTCATACTTAATTTAATTCATAAGCACAGTTTTACATATATCTATAATAACTATAATCTTTGCTACATGTATATTGGATTAGATTTTGAGACATGATGATGTAAGATTTGAATGTAAATAAAAAGGGCAATAAAGAAATGAAAAAGATAGCATTATCAATAGAAGAGGGAGCAGAAGGATTCTTTAAAGCATAATATGGTACAATAGTAAATTTAAGTTTAATATTTGCATTGTTAATATTTGTGGTTTATTGGTAGAAAGGAACAGGGGAATTAGAAAAAGATGAGATTCCTGTTGGTGGATTAATAATAGGATTATTAGAAGGAGGATCATTTTTATTTGGAGCATTTTGTTCTGGATTTGCTGGATTTGCAGGAATGTGGGTGAGTATTAAAGCTAATTCTAGAGTGGCAAGTGCAGCTAGAAATTGTTATAATAAAGCAATTTAATTATCATTTAGAGGTGGTTATTTTGCTGCAGTTATTAATATAGCTTTAGCAATATTTGGAATAAGTATATTATTTTTGGTAATATACTTTTATTGTTATATTACTATAAATGATTAATAAAAACTGAATGAATAAATAGATAAAATACCATTATTATTAATTGGATATGGATTTGGTGCATCATTTGTAGCTATGTTTGCATAATTAGGAGGTGGAATCTATACAAAAGCTGCAGATGTAGGAGCTGATTTAATTGGAAAAATAGAAAATGATATACCTGAAGATGATCCTAGGAATCCTGCTGTTATAGCTGATCTTGTAGGTGATAATGTTGGAGATTGTGCTGGTTAAAGTGCTGATTTATTCGAATCCATAACTGCTGAAATATTAAGTGCTATGATTCTAGGAGCAACATTAACACATGAAGCTAATCTACATATTAATTATAAAGTTACTTTTATGCTATTTCCTTTAGTTGTTCATTGTTTGGATATTATTTCATCTACTATTGGAATGTATTTTGTACGAACTTAACCAGGCATTCCAACTAAATATATTGAAGATCCGTTATGTATCATGAAAAAAGGGTATAGAATAGCGATGATTATTGGTTTCTTTGGATTCTTTTTTATTTGTCATCATTGCTTAAATCCAGCTTAACATAAAGATGCTTGGTTATATTTTGGGATGTGTGGACTAATAGGAATTATTATTTCTTATTTATTTATTGAAGTAACTTAATATTATACAGATTATCATTATGAACCTGTGAAAAGAATTGCATAAGCAAGCAAAACTGGTCACGCTACAAATATTATTGCTGGATTAAGTGTTGGAATGGAATCTACTGGAATTCCTATATTAATTATTAGTGTTGGAGTTTTAGGAGCATATTATTTAGGAGAATAAAGTGGTATTAAAAATCATTAAGGAGAGTTAATTGGAGGATTATTTGGTACTGCTATTGCTACTATGGGAATGTTTTGTACTGGAGTCTATATATTATCAATGGCAGCATTTGGACCTATTGCAGATAATGCTGGTGGTATTGTTGAAATGAGTGGTTGTGATGAATAAGTTAGATAAATTACTGATAGACTTGATGCTGTAGGAAATGTTACTAAAGCTAATGCTAAAGGATATTCTGTTGGTTCAGCTTCTTTAGCTTCATTCTTATTATTTAGAGCATTTATTGATGAAGTTAACTTTTTATCACCAACTAAAAAAATTCTAGATATTGATATTACATAACCTGAAATATTTATTTCTGGATTAATTGGAGCATGTACAGTCTTTGTTTTTAGTAGTTGGGCTATGAGAGCTGTGGGTAATGCAGCATAAGATGTTATTAAAGAAGTACGTCGGTAATTTAGAGAAAATGATGGGATATTAAAAGGTACTGCATAACCTAATTACAAATAATGTGTAGAAATTGTAACAAAAGCTGGATTGAGAGAAATGATTAAACCAGGTTTATTGAGTGTATTAACTCCATTAATTTTGGGAATCATATTAAGAGCAATAAATGTAGTAAGAATGTAAGAATTACTTCCAGCAAAAGCAATATGTGCATTTTTAATGTTTTCAACTTGTACAGGGATTTTATAAGCTTTGTTTTTAAATAATGCAGGTGGTGCTTGGGATAATAGTAAAAAATACATAGAGACTGGAGAACTTGGAGGTAAAGGAAGTGATACCCATAAAGCTGCAGTAACTGGAGTAATAATAATAATTTAATATAATAGGATACAGTTGGAGATCCATGTAAAGACACAGCAGGTCCATCAATTCATATATTAATTAAATTATATTCTACCATTACAATAGTAATGGTTCCATTATTTGTGGATTGAATGTTGTATTTTATATATTTTATCAATTTTAATTATTAATTTTTATTTATATAAACAAGCCAATCATAATATTAATAATTTAAAAGATTGTCTCCTTTTAAAGTGAGTATCCTAGTTATATCTCAAATTATAAAAATGAGTATAAATAAAGCTTGCATCTGTAAAAACAAGAGAAGAGGCCTTCATTAGTAAAATGTATTCTCCTAAAAAATATGTGATACACAATCCATCAAGATATATGAGATCTCGAATGCCTGACTCTTGAGGATATTTCATTAATTCCATTCGTTAAACTGGTTTACTCAAAATTCCTCATCCATTAAAATTTAATTAGCAATACATGAGAACTAGATTTATAATAGTAATACTTAAGATCGATTTGATATAAAAAAAGAATAGAAATTAATAAATAATGATATTAAGAAAGAATGGAAATCATCAAATAAAACAATAAAAATCTTATTTTAAATTAAATTATGATACATAATTATTATTTATATATAGTTTGCACTATATAAATCAGAAGAAATTAGATTTAAAAGATTATAAATTTATTATCATAAATGAAATTATTCATCGTAATTACACTTGTTATCTTGGCAACTACAAATGAGACAGAAAGAATGAAAAAAATATTGGATGAGATGCCTGAGATTAAAGAATCTTTAATTGCTAAAAAACTTTTGGCTAGAGAGATGGAATTGGAAAGAGTTCTTGAAATAAAAAAAGTTTCAGAAATAAGTAGAACTTTGCTGATTTATTTAAGGTGATTCCATATAAGATTCCATATAATTTATAAAAGTGGCCTAGTTCACCTATAATAGCTCTAGCACAAATTATACTTAACCAAATATAACATATAATACCACATATTCTAATTATTCATAGCCTAACAGTTCTTCTAGTTATTAGAATCAAACAAATAGTACAAATGCTACAAATTCAACATAACCAAATTATTATAATACCTCATATCCAACCTAAAACAGCATTAATAATTATGTGACTTATGATAACCAAAGCTCTTTAAATAACACAAATTCTACAAGCATAACATGTTAAATTGGATATTACTTGACAACAAATTTAACCTGTTTACCTTGTTAGGCTAATTGTGCTATATGTAGTTCACAAAGTATTTGTGTTTCCTGCTATTATGGTTATACTTTATTTACAAGTTGATGTTACTTAGATTATAATACTACTTAAAATTCTGTTAGTAATTCATATGTTATTGATGATACTTATAGTAATTCAACATCAGCTTATGGTACCTAATAGAATTAAACATACAATAATTATACAAATCAATCAAGAATAAGATAAAGATTTGATTAATCAAGAGTTTATCTTAAATTAAGAAATAATTACTATGATAATAACAATTTCACTTAAATAATTTCTTATTACAATCAATCAAATCATTAATAGGAGACTGTTGTTCTATTTAATGAATCTGCTGTAGTCTAAAGATAAATTTAAAATGAATATTATCTTTACTAAAATAATAGTTTAGTAATTTTGAATAGAGAATTTGATCCATAAGGAAATATTGTTTATAGATCTATTAATTATGATTTCACTATTGTAATTTCTATATCAGAAGGAAATTCTAAAAAATTAAAATAAAATTAAGAAATTTATGGAACTATTGTTTATGGTTATGGTAATTTAAATGCTTCGTACAACAATTAATAGGTAGAATCAGGTTTATAATCTAAAAATTATAATATATCCAATAATTAAAGTTATTCAAATGGATGGATGAATTATAATTAGGTTAATAATTAAGGTTCTATTAAATATCAAAACTAAAGTAATGGATATTCTCAATCAGATTATGCAAATGCACACTCTGATATCTAATATAATAATTCTTATTATTATGAAGGAAATGTAAACTTTGATAATAATTCATCAAATTCAAAATCAAACTATTCAAACTATTAAAAATCATTAAATTATAATAGTAGTTATGAAAAGATAGATGGAATTGGATATAGTAATTCTACTTTCTAAGAATAAAATTCATAATTGAATGGTTCTTCTTAAGCAAGTAATTATAATGGAAATATATCATCTAATTCATAGGGTGTAAGTAACAGTTATGTTCGTAATGATTAATCTAATAATATCTTTTATCCAAATTACGCACTGCTTAATCAATCTTCAAATATATACAATTAAAATTCAAGTTACAATAATTCAGAAAATTCTTAGAACAATTATTCCAGATATGATAGTGCTGAGAAATACTAAAGTAGAAATTCAATAATTACTGATAATTATATTTATTCACACAATGTTTCTGATCTTAATTAACACTCAAATGTTTAACATTAAGAAACATCATAATATAATGGATAAAGTGAACATGAATTTGGTTACAATGATTCTACTGATATTTAAGGACAACTTATCCGAGATAATTATTATAAAGTTAATAAAATAAATACCACTTTTGATGGTACAATCAACCAATATAATAAATCGAATGATAATTATTTTGGAGATACAAATTCTTCAGCTTTTAAAAATGTAGATCTTAAAGTTACTGATAATTTTTCAAACTTTGCTTAATTAAGAGGATCAAAGAAATTAGCAACAGGTTCATGGAAAGAAGTCAACTAAAAAGAATTTGAAAATTCTAATGGATTAATTGTATAAGAAGTTAGATAAGCTATCACAAATAAATTTAATCCTGAATAAGAAGGATTATAATTTGATTCAATATCTAGCATCTAAGAATAAATTGTTGCTGGAATCAACTATAATATTAAATTGAAATATTTGAATGCTAATTCAAAATCAATCATCTATGAAGTTGTGCTTTACACAATGTAATTTATTCTTTATTATTAAATAGACCTTGGGCTAATTAACCCAATTAATTAATCAGCTGTTCCAGACTTGATTAATCAGAAATATGAATATGATTTATATTTCATTAAATATCAAAATTTGTTCAATTATTTTAAAAGGGTTATTTTCCCTTATTTTTGTATTTAGATTAAAATATAAATTATAATTAATTGATAATATAGTTATAATTTCTATTTAATGAATAGAATCTATATAATTAATGAATTAGATAATTAAGTTGATGATATAAGACTTTGTTTAATTTACATTTACCATCTAATAAATTATTAAAGGTATAATATAATTTTTAAGTATTAGTAAATATTACTAAATTCTATATTACTAATACTTAATTATAACATTATAAATAATAATGAGTGAAAATATTGATGAACATATTCTTAAAAAATATGAAGTCATCTAACGTATAGGTAAAGGAGCATATGGAATAGTATGGAAAGCTAAGGATCTTAAAAGTCTAAAAATAGTTGCACTTAAAAAAGTGTTTGATGCATTCAATAATCCTACAGATGCTTAGCGAACATATAGAGAAGTATGATAATGTTTATAGAATATACTAGGTGACTTTCCTTAAATAATTAAAGCATCCAAATATTATATCCATAATAGAGACTTATCCTGCTAATAATAAAATTGATCTGTATATTGTATTTGAATATATGGAAACAGATTTACATATAGCAATAAGAGCTAATATATTACAAGAAGAACATCGACGATATATTACATACTAATTAATTAAAGCATTAAAATACATACATTCAGCAGGAATGATACATCGGTAATTCATTGATTTTAACATATAGTGATCTTAAACCTGCTAATATTTTAATTGATTCTGAATGTTAAATAAAATTAGCTGATTTTGGTTTAGCACGTATGGTGGGATCACATGATTCTGATATCTTAACTGATTATGTTGCTACTAGATGGTTTAGAGCACCAGAGATTCTTCTTGGATCTAAATCATATTCTTATGGAATTGATTTATGGTCTGTTGGTTGTCTTATGGCAGAAATGATTCTAGGAAAAGCATTATTCTCTGGTAATAGTACAATTAATTAACTTGAAAAAATTATTGATATACTTGGTAATCCTAATCAATCTGAAATACTTGCTATGGGTGGATAATCTCAAATATTTTAAAATCAATTCAAAACATCCAAACAAAAACTTTATACTTTGCTTGGATGTTCTCAAGATGAATTAGATATCATTACTTAATTACTCTAATATGATCCTACTAAAAGATTAAGTATTCAAGATTGTTTAAAACATTCTTATTTTAAAGAATATCGTAATAACAAAGAAGAAATTACTTATCATGGATCTATAATGCTTTAATTATAAGATGATAAGTAATATCCTATCTCTACTTATAGAGATGTCTTATATAAAAAAATGGATTATTCTACAATCATTACTTTAGTTAATAAATAAAAGAAAATTGTTGAAGAATTAGCACTCAAAAAATAATAAAAAAGTTTTAAGTAACTTATTCAATTCAAAACTGTATCAAATATTAAATAGTATAGAAGTACTTAATTTCTCAAAAATACCTATTCAAATTCTAATCTATTAGATAAAACTCATTTAAATAAATCATAATAATCATAACAATAATAATTTAAATAATAAAACTCTACTTCTAATATTAAAAATAAATTGCGCTCTATTTGTCAATAATCAGATACTAGATAAAGAAGTGCTGTATCTAAATAATCTAATTCTTCATCAAAATACAATATACTTCATAATGTTACAAATACTTCTTTAAGTCCACATTCTGCTATTAATTCAAGGTATTTACCTAACAGATTACAACAAAAACATAATGATTTTTGATATTCATTTTAACTTATACACTAATTATACATCACTATTTAATAAATAATCATTATTTTAACTTAAATAATTTTTATTTTTTTTTAACTAAAGACTTATTATTTAAATTAATATTTGAATATTCAAGTGCTAAACCTCAATTAAGTTTTCAACATTTTGAAACTACTTAATCAGAAGCAAATTAAATTTTTATTATATTTGCAATAAAATACTTGAACAAAAGATTTCTTTCATTTCTAAGTAATTAATAATACTTACTTTCATTAAATATTTTATGAAAAAATGCATTTTTAGCATTAAATCCAAAAGAAAAAATTTAAGTTTATTTTTCATCAACAAAACTTATTTATAGAAATAAAATCAAGAGAAATAATATTTCTAAATATTATATATAATTCATATAAAAATGCTGAGCTGAATTATTTGGGAATTCAATAAGCTATTAAATTATTTTCGATTAGTTATTTAAAATAATTATATTTATTAAAGTCATTGATCCAAATTCTTATTATAAAATTCATGTAAGAAATGTCTGATGAAGAATGAATTTTTTTAATCAAGTTAATAAATTTATACAAAAAATAGATAAGTTGAATTGTAAAAACAATCCTGAAAATTATTTATATATTTAATATTAATTAAATCATTTAATATATAATAATCACTAATTTTAGTCAGTAATAAATGATGTTGCCTTTACGAACCAATTTGAATGAATTTTGTTTCAAATCAGTTTTATTGTTTGATGTAGTATTATTTTGAAATTTATTTTTTGAATGTCTTGATAATTTCTTGATGCTACTTGTATTTTTATTTTTGGAATCAATCTGTGTAACTTTTAATTATGCTCTTACCTAAATACTAGGGGAATTTTCTTTACACTTTGAGGATGTTTTTTATTCCCTTTTTTCAGAATGCCTATCAAACTTTTAAGTTTTTCTTGATTATCTTTCTTTAATACAATTCATGAAAGCTTCACTTGCCATTTAATTATAACTACCAAAATGAGTCCCAGTTATTTTCTCTTCTATTAATAATTGAGATTTAGGCATATTTGTCTTTTCTTCTTTAAAATTTATCTAAAAGAATTAATCCTCAGCAGTATTCTCATCAAATATATCAAACTAAAAATTTTTATTATAAAATTCTTCCTCAAATTTGTCAATATTATTTTAAATGTTATATGTATAGCTTTCTACCCTAGATTATTTATTTGGAAATTATTAAGAATTAACACCAACTAATCTAATTCTTTAATTTTATTTTTCAATATTTGGATTTTAGCACATATTACCCATTTAATTAATTATAATAAACTTATTTTTGAATTTATAAAATATTGATTATATGAATGTATTTTTCTTTCATAAAATAGAATAATACATTATTTTTTAATGTTTTTTTTGCTTACACTCTCTGAACTAGCTTTGTCATTAATTCATCCTATTTTTTATATCCTTTATTTATTATTACTTAATCAAAATTTATTTTTTTATGCTTAATCATTATAGATTTCGAATATTAAAATAATTTTATTTTAAAATAAGAATTTCAATATAAACATGTTTTCAAGATCAAAATTTGTAATTTCTATATGAATTATAAATATAAACTCTAAATTAGTTTTATACATTACAAACTTTATTATTAAAATATAATTACTCATTGATTTTTGATTCACATTAATATTACTGATTATAAATTCATATTAATTTATAATAACCTTATAAAATTACTTAAAACCATGCTAATTTTTGTATTCTATAAGAAAATTTGGTTAATCGATCTTGTAAAGATTTTTGAAATTTCAAGTTAGTTTTGCTAATTTTATATTCTAAATAGACTTATGATGTTTACTTAAGAAGTCATTTTTAAAAGAATTAAATTTAAGTTATATTTTTTACATATTTAGATGAATATATATTTATATATATTTTTTCTATGAGTTTATTGTTTTATAATATATTAACGCTAACTGAATCTTACTATTTTACAATAAGGCTTATATTCAACTAATTATTGATATCCACTAATGATTTTTTAATTTAGTTTAGCGATTAATTTATATAATGAGATTATTTTCTAAGCTTTATTACAAAAATAATTTAAGATAAATAGTAAAAGAGAATTTTACATATCTTATAATTTAGATGATAAAATAGATTATAAAGAGTTTAAATAAATTTTAGCTTCAAAATTTGTTTGTTTTTCAAGTAGATAGAGATACATAATTTAATTGATTTATTAAATTGAAACAATAATCTAAGAATATTATAAAAATATTAGCTTGATAAATGTTGATAGCAAATTTAGAATAAATAATAATTATTATGGAGTATTTATTGTTATTCAAAAATTCTGGAAAAAATAATATATTAATAAAACAATTCTTGATGATTATTTATAAAAAAATGATTAAATCATTTGATATATAACAGAATATTAAGATTTGAATAAAATATTAATAATAAAGACTTTTTATATAGAAATAAAAGATGATAATTGTTTAATATTCTTATTATTTAGTTTAAATATTTTATTATTAATGAATTAGAAAAATGAGGGAGTTGAAATGAAGTTAATGATGGAAAAAGGTTAATGTATTGACTAAAATAGATCAAGAATAAATCTCATAATATGATATAACAAAAGCAGCACATCCTGGCATTTGTTTTTTTCATATATTTTTTAAATTTTGTGCATTTTTTTCGTAATAGATAGTATTATAATAATTAGATATCTATTTTTAGGGTTAATAATTAAGAGTACATTATTTTAATACATATTGATAATGATTTTTCATGCTTTTGATTTTTATACAGTCAAGAATATTACAGGAAAATTTTTAGTTGGATTAAGATGGTACTCAGATTTTACTCCAAAAGGAGATGAAATATGGAGATTTGAATGTTTTGACAAATGTAAAAGAAGTAAAATAGATTCATCTGTATTTTGGACATTTTAATTTGGAGCTTCTTGTGCTTGGGCATTTTTTGTATTTACTAATGTTTTATCTTTTGAATTTGTTGATGTAATTTATATATAAGTAAATAAAAGATCTTATTTGCAGGAATAGGAGCTAGTCTAAGTTGGATAAACTTATGGGGATTCTATAAATGTTCAAAAGATTAATAAAGAAAAATGAAAGGAGTTTAATCATATTTAACTAAAAAAGGTTTATAAATGGCAGTTTAGAGTTGAGATAGAATTTTCATAAATTCTAAATCAATCTAATATTATTATTTAATTTCATAGATAAAAAGTCAATTCAAAAAGTAATTTAAAAAACAATTCAATATTTTATATTCATTAATCTGATGAATCAGGATCTAAAGATTTCTCTTCGTCATCATTTTTTTATTTTTTTGCTTATCTTAATAAATTTAATATAAAGATTTACAATCGACTTGTAACATAAGCTTCTAATTTTCTTGCAGTTTTAGTTGGAAGTGCATCAATATCAAATTCAACTTCATCTTCTCCATTTGCTTAAACACTCTCTTAAACAATTTCCCAAACTCCTCTTAAATATTCAAATTTTAATTGTTTTATGTTTTCTCCTAAATTTAATTTCTCTTATTGAGTCATTTACTTTTATAGCTTAGATCTTAATTTAATATAATTTATTACACAATTTATGGACTTTACTATTGTTATTATTATTATTATTGCTACTATTATTAAGATTATTATTAATTATATTAGTGATGCTTTTATTTCTGCATTACTTTTTATACTTTATTATCTGGCTCTTTTTTTTCCTTTTATTATTATGGTTATATCCTTTAACCTCTTCTTGGTATTACATCTTCTTAGCTTGTTTAATCGAATTTATGTGTTTTGAATGTAGCATCAAACCTAGAAACCTTTTTAGACTTTTAATAATAGAGGTAAAATAATACAATTCTTTATTCTCTTTAATGAATTAAACTAGCCAAATGTAAAGAAAACCCTTAAGGTAGTTTCATTTAAATAAAATCCACTTGCTATGAATTCAAGTAGAATTCAATCTAATTATTGGAATTCATTTCTTAATCTTAAATATTTATTAATATTTAAACTAATACTGATAAATAGAATAGTGATCAACTATTAAAATTTAATTTTAATCTCAATACTCTAATTATAAATTAGATAGCAATCTTTTTTTATTGATTTAACTCCTAAATCAATATTATCACCATAATCAAACAAATCACGTTGCATCATCAAAAAAACCATATCATTTATTTATCTTAAATATTCAATATCTGATTTTTAGTTATTGAATTAATGGTTATTTTAATAATCTATTTATGTTTCATCAAATATGTGATACAACTAAATTTTATTATAGAATAATACTTAAATTAATAATTTTATAATGATAAAAATATAGAAAATTACATTCATTCTTAAAGTATAAAGTTTTAGATCTAAGATATTATTAATAAAATGATATTTATAAAGCTTAAAAATATCTGATTTATTTTATAGATTTAATTATATTCAGAATTTTAAGGATATTTTAAAATTGAATTAAATATATTAATTTATAAGTAAGGTTAATGATATTTTTGTTTATTCTCCAAAATATAGAATAAATTTTATGAGTATATTCTCATTGAATTTATTTAATATTATTAATTAATACTTTATTGATGTCTTGTGACACTTCGTATTTATTATAATAAAGAGAGAGAATATAAGAATTACATAAAACTATTAATAATATTTTATTGAATAATTATTTAATACCCAAATCAAATAATTTGAAACATTTGATAGAAACTAATATGAATGAAAATTTATATCTTTTAAAAAGAGGATTTAATAATTTATAAGGTTTATTTAAATGTTATAATAAAAAAATAATAGTGATGATATTGAAATAAATGAAAGAATATATAGAATGAAATATATTTTGGAATAAAAAAAAAGATTTGGTAAAATAATAAATATAAAAGTATAAATACATTTAATTATAATGCTTTTAGAAAATTAATTAAATAATGTATAAACAAAATAAAACAATTTAATATATGCTAAACAACCAGGATTTTTAATATATAAGTAGATAATAGTAGTGTGTATGGGATAAATAATTTAAGTACAATTTAATAAGTAATAAAGATGGAGTTAAGTAGATCTAGGGAGAGAGAGAAGAATAAGAAATAAAAAGAGAAAATGGAGACAAAAAAGGAGAAACACTATAAGTTATAAAAAAATGAGATATTCAATTAAAGATATTTATTTGTGTAAGCAATATCAGATGGAACATTTGGAAGAGTAGTTAGAGTATTTGATGGAGGAGAGAAAGATTTTAAAGCAATAAAGATAATAAAATCAGTTAAGAGACATATATAGAGTGCAAAAATAGAATATGGAATATTGAGAAGGATACATTAATAAAATCAATATCATCCAGGAAATGAGAAAATAGTAAGAGCATATGAAGCATTTAGTCATAAGGATAATTATTGCATAGTATTTGAAGATGTATGAAATAGTATAGTAATTTTTAGCTTGGATTATCATTATATGATTTTATGAAAGGAAAATATTTTGGAGGATTTGAATTAAAAGCAGTTTAAGAAATCTTATACGATTGTTTATAAGGTTTAGATTTCATGCATACAAGTGGATATACACATACAGATTTAAAACCAGAGAATATTCTATTAATAGATAAATAATAAAAAGGGTAACTATTATTAAATATATATAAAATGATAGTAAAAAAGAAGGACATTATCATGTTAAAATAATAGATCTTGGAGGTGCAGTATTTTAAACAGATTGCCATTCTTAATTAATAAATACAAGATAATATAGAGCACCTGAAGTAATACTTAGAAATAAATGGACTAATTTAAGTGATATGTGGTGTATGGGATGTATAGCTGTAGAATTATTTACAGGTATTTATTATAATATATAATATAATAATAGGATAATAATTATTTAAACCAAAAGGAAATGATTTTTATCATTTAGCTATGATTGAAAAACATTGTGGACCTATTCCATTTGAAATGATATAATAATGTAGAAATGAAGCAAGAGAATATTTTAATGAATATTAATTGAATGATTCATATTTAAAATGGCCAGATGATTAATTAATGGTTTAAGAACTTAGTTTAATGAAAGTTTTCAAAACATTCATTCCATAGAATTAATAAGAATTATTAAATCTTATTGAAAACTTAATTGTTATTGAACCATTAAAAAGATTAACACCAAAATAAGCATTGGAACATGACTTTTTTAAATTAACATTTGATTGACTTTATTTATTTATATATATATTCATTTAAATAAAATGATATCATATTATATATATATATTTTGAAGTATTATTATATATATACAATTTTTATTAATTAATATAAAAAGCGGCAAAATTTAGTCATGGATTAAATTGACATAGAAACAATCAATTAATAAGCTAGAAAAGCTAAAGAACTCTTTAATGAAGGTAAACATAATGAAGCTGAGTCTATGATGTAAGGAGTTATGTAATAAGCATTAACTTATTATAAAGATGAATTAGCAGTAGAAATGGCAGAAGTATATTTTTATTATTATTATAATTAGTATTATTATATGTATGGAACTATTATAGTATTAAAATTAAGTGAACATCAAGATGTATTTGGTTAAAGAACAAGAGAAGCTGAAAATAATGCACTTGCTGTTTAAGATCCTGAATATACTTAAAGTGATAATGATGGAGAATAAATTGAAGATGGAGATATTGAAGAAGAACATAAAGTTTAAGATAATAAACCTACTGAAAATATTGAAGATTTAGATGATTTTCATATTGCATGGGAAAATTTGGAAGTTGCTAGAGTTATATTAGAAAAAGAAATATCAATTTAAAAAAATAAAGATATTTAAGAATTTAAATATATTAGAAATCTTGCTAAAGTTTATATTAAACTTGCAGAACTTGATTAATGGAGAGATAAATTTGATGATGCCTAAGAAAATTTATTAAAATCTTTATAATTAAGATTATAATGTGAAAATCCAGAAATATCTAGAGATATTGCTGAAACATACTTTTTTTTAGGAAATGTTACGTTATATAATTATAAAGAAGGAAAAGAAGAAGAAGCATTAAACTATTATTTAAAAGCTTTGCAAATTTTAGAAAATCATTTATGTAAATTATAGAATAAAGAATTTAAATAAGTAATTATATTATTAATTGTAGATTATTCTTTAAGATACTTATGATAGAGAACATTTAAAATTATCATTTTTAGATAATGATGATTCAAAAGAATTAAAATAAGTTTTATCAATGTTATATGATAAAGTTGAAGATACAAATATTGCATGGAAAGAAATTTAAACTGATGAATGGAAAAAAGCACGTGAAGAAATGTTAAATAAAGCATAAATTATGTAATAATAATAAGTATAATAATAATAATTCACTTCATAACCAATTTAAGAAGAAAGATAAATTATTTAATTAGGAAATTTTGGTAATGCTAGAAGAAGAATAGAAGTAGTTGAAAAATAATAATAACCATAATAATAATAACCATAATAATAATAATAATAATAATAATAATAATAAGCAGAAGAATTACCTTAAGAAGAAGCAAGTAAAAAAGTTAAAATTGATTGATATATAAATATATATTATGTTTTTATAAATAATTTTTAATTATTAAATTATTTAATTATCATATTGTTTCAAATTCAGTTGTATTAAATTTCATAACCATTTTGGGCATTTAAGGATATTAAACCATATCGTTAGTAACAAATGATCCTTTATATTCAGTTTTTTCTTCAGTTGCAAAATCTACAGTCTACATCATTTATTTTTATTATGCAAAAAATTATTTTTTATGTGCATTAGATGGTCCATTTGCTGTAGGTACAGTATTTACATTTTAAGTAATATTTGTTGTTTTACTAGATTCAAGATCATTCTAATGAATTGAAGTAAAAAATGGATTTTTTAAACATTCTTAAGCAGTTGGTCTTAACATTGGATCTTTTTATAACATTTATTTTAAGAGTGTCTTTAATAATAATATTATTTACGATAGAATCTGAAGGCAATTTCCTTAATTATAAAAGAGTAAAGTCAATCTGACATTTTTTATTTTATGCTAATACATATGCAAATCCAGTTCCTGGAAATACATCTCTACCAGTTAATAATTTATAGAAAACTGCTCCTGCACTAAAAATATCACATTTCTTATCATAATTTTAATTTTTATCAGTTAAATTTGCAATCTCTGGTGCTACATATCCTGGTGTACCACATTTAGGATATTTAAATCTAGATATTACTTATATTTTAATTACTTTTTTATATTTGAATAAGTAGCTAAACCAAAATCTACGATTTTTAATGTTGTAAGATTGTCAATCTTTTCCAAAATCACATTGTCAGGTTTAATATCTCTATGCATAACATTTTTTTAATGCATGTAATCAATTCCACTTAATAATGCCTATTTAACTATTTATTTACATGCATTATCAATTTACACTATTCAACTGTTAAACCAGTATGTTAATTTTTAAGTAATTATGTTAAATTCTTTCCAGATAATAAATCCATTATAATATAATAACTTGTATCACCTAAAAAGACTTCTTTTATTTTTACAAAAGCTTTATGATCTAAAAGATTATTAATTTCAATCTCTTAAATTATTGATTCAGTCCTTGGAACACATTTTGCAGCATAATATTAATCTCCTATTTTTGATTTTACAAGTAACACTTTTGCACTACTACCTTTTCCTAATATTTAAAGTGGAGTATAGAAATCTTGAATTTTAGAAAAAAATAATCTTCCATTTAGATGTTCTTTTAATTTATAAGCTTAATCAGTCATATAAGTTTCATTATCTATTGTAAATCCAACTAATCCTTTTTCAAATTTCCATTTTATTAAATTAGGAAAATATAACTACAATGAAGAAATTCGTTCTCCTTATTTATATATGTGTAATTATTCTTTTTTTAATATTACTTAATATGAGTCTTTTAAGTCTATCTACAATAATATATCAGGGTCAATAAATTAGATTTATGTTTTTAAGAGCAAAGAATAAACATTAGGACAGCAATTCAAGAACATTTTAATTTTTATTTTATATATTTATACAATAATTTTATTATTATCGTAATTGTACAGAAAATTATTTAAATACTCATTTTCTTTTATAAATTTTTATATTAATTTTCATTATTTCGATTATGAAATACTTTTCATAAAAACTCTTTTCAGATGATCAATAATAATTAGATAAACTTATTTTATTGATTAGTAAGATAAGATCTCAATTTAATCAATAATTAAATGAATTAGAAAAAATTATTTATCAAAAAATTGAACTCCTTTAAGAAGATTAACTTTTTTAACAATTAAATCTAATGGAAAATATATTTACATAATCAAATGATAGAAATTTTGATTAAAAATCAACAGAATTATTTAGATTGATTCCTACTTTTTCAAATTCTAAAGATAATTTAATATTTCATAATAATGTTGAATAACTAAATCTCTTAAATTTTTAATAAGCTATTAGATTAATGATTGAACTTCAAAATTCAACTTAATTTATGATAAAAAATATTCATAATTTAATTGATTTAAATAAAAAAGATCCTAAAAAGATTATGAATTAAAATTAACCAAATCCTAACAACGAAATTTGGAAACATAAAACATTTGCAAAATCTAATGATAGAAAAGTAGCATTTAATTTTACTAAAAATTGTGGTGTAGCTGAAAATATTTTACCACTTTAAAATGTTGTTTTATCAGGATTCCTTTTAACTTAACTTTTTTAAGGATAAAATCAATTTGATTAACATATAAATGATTAAAATAAAGATGTAGTTCTTTTATTTAGAATACATGAAGGAATAGACTTAAGTATTTCAATTTATGATCAAATTATCAAAATTCAACATTCTAAATTTAAAATTGTTAATAATTGCTATTTTATTGAATTAGATTAAGGAGTTTATTTAAAAAAAGGAATGACATATTCACTATCTTTAATCTCCTAATCAAATGAAAGTTTTAATTTATTTATGTTTGCTGGTAAAAGTGTTAGTTTTGGAGAAATCAAGTTTCTCAATAAAGAAACTGAAAACATAAATTAATCTGTTTAAGTTAAATAAAGTCTAACTTAATCTTGCATTCCTGGAATAGTAATAAACACTTATTGATATTTTATTGATATATTGTTATCTTATCAATATTTTTATTTATTTCTAAACTTCACATCTTATTAAAAAAGAATGTCTCTTAATAAGTAAATTCATTTCAATATTAAAATAAAATAGTAATTTTCTTAAAATTTTCGATTTAAAAAATCAAAGATTTATTAGGAGGTATTTAACAATTTAAGATTTATATCAAAGAACTTCAAAATTCTTAAATATTCTAAAAATACTTCAAAAAAAAGATTTTTTAAAATTATTGAGAATATGAATTCTATATTAATGTTATCATAAACTTTGAATACCTTAAAAGTATCTGAAAATACTATTTCTGAATAAATTATATTGTATTATTAAAAGTGATCATTTAATTATTTTATCAACCAAACTAGTAATAATGTAATTTAGAAATATTTATAATTTTTTTATTTTTAAAGAGTGTTCAAATTGAATGAATATAAAAGCTAAATACTTAACAATTTTTAAACAATTTAATGAGCGAAAATAAACTATAGATCTTAAAATGCTCTATATAAATATAATACTAATGTAAAATTATTATTTAATAATAAAAATTCTAAATTGGAAAATAAGGAGAAGATTAATAATTCATAAAATTTTAGGATACTTAATTGATCTAATTGGTTAATAGTTATTGTTTAACATCAATTTAATTAATTTCCAGTGTCTTTATAAATAATTATTATTAGAAAATTAATTATTTTAAAAATATGTTATATAATTGATATAAAATATGCTAAACAGATATGATTCTAAAATTTAACATAATATTATTCAGAGAATTTAAACCCCTTTTTATCTAAGTTTATCATTCTTAGTGTCTCTGATGGTCAAAAATGTCATTACAAGTATTACTTATTTATCTTCAGAGAATAATGAGCCTATTTGAACAGCAATGTCTTGTGAAACTTCTTAATTATTTATTTTAATTCTTAATTGTAAATCAAATTTTTATGTTTTCTAATCTTCTGTACTGTAAATAGCATTTTAAGTAATTTAGATTTATTATGTTTTGTATGTTATTGGATTCTAACTTAAATTCTCAATAATATAATTTGTAATTTCAGCTGCTGTACATGTTTTTGGTATAAAAAGTATTATAGGATTGCATAATAAGATAATTTCTACACTTTATATAAAGCAAATCACATAAATATCATTACCTAAAACTAATGGTTTGATAAATCTTATATTATATTTAGAAATAGTTTTAGAAATTTTGGTATTAAGATCTAGTAAGACTAAAGCTGCCTTTTAATCTTTTTTAGATGTTAAGAAGGGAAGAGTTTCTTTAAGATTTTCTTTTTCCATAAATTCTGTAAAACTCATACTTTTTTAAATGATATAAGTTTAATTTTCTATTTAGAAACTAATTTATTCTTTCATAGCTCCAACTGGAACTACTGTCTATTTATATGCTATACTATTATCATATTAGATAATTTCATCTATTTTTATATGTTATTGTAAGATTTAATAATTACCTTTTTTATCTTTATATTTAATCTAAATATTATCAGGATGACAATCTTCTAATTAAGCTAAATACTCTAAAAGTTATTGAGTAGATTCATCCTTATTAAATAATTAGGAAATACATTAATTTTCATTAACTACTCTAATTAAAACTTCTTTCATTTTTTCTATTTCAAAGATTTTATTCCAAAATTAATATTCATAATCTAAATAAACTTAATAATATTCTGTGTTTTTAAATTTAGAAAATTGTTAAATTTACATACCATCATTTTAATATAAAATATTTACTTTAAGTTCTGGATTAAATAAAGTAGTTATGTAATTTTCTATGCTTTCATCCTTATTAAAAAGTAAAACTTATTAAAATAAAACTACCATATTATTAACAGTCTTAATAAAAATAATTATTTTATTTTCTTTAGTTTTTTATTCTTTAACACTTTTGCAATTTTATAGATTTTATTCTAATTTTATTTTATCTAATCCTAAATAGTTATTTATTAATTATTAATCTTCTAGATTTGTTGAAATTAGCATTAAAGCCATTTGAAAACATTTATTAGCTAAATAAAAGGTTAATTATTTTTATGGTTGCATTAAAACAACAGATTCTAAATTTGGTTTAAGTTATGTAATTCTATAAATTAATAAATGAGCATTATTTTTATTTATATTAATTCTATCACATAATTAATCTATGATTTGTTAAACTGTTATTGTTTTAGGTACAATTAAAGGAGTTGTATATTAATCAAAAAATTCTTCAACTGAATTAAAATCTATAGATTAATTAGATGCTTATCTATGAAATATAATTCCTAATTTAATTTAAGAATTCTAATTCAAATTCAAGTGATTAAGAGAGAATAAATATGTTGAAATATAATTCTTTTATTCAAATTACAAATCATTAATTTTTTATTCTTATTTTAAAATCCATTCAGGATATTTCTCTGGGAAACATAAAATATCTTGATTATTTTTATCTAAATAAACTAACATATAAGCTGTTTCTGGATTATTTTTATTTTCTACAATAACTTCACCTAAATCTTCATTATATTCTGGTAATTAATATTATCCACCAAAATTATTTTAAAATACTTCTTTCTAAGTTGCTCTTGTAACAAATTTATCATCAAATTTAAACCATTATTATGATTAAAAAAATGGTTTTATATAACAATAATAATGACCATGATTAATAGCCTCTCCTCTATGAACTAATACAGCATATAATTCATAATATTTATCTTCCTCATCTATTAAATAGTTTTTGAAATTGATTATATTATCATATTAAAAACTATCATGATTTTTTGTAAATCCTTATCCATCAAATTAATATCTCTTTAAATTTATCAATAAAATAGGAGGTAATTTTTTGAATTTATGATACTTTATTGCTTCTTATTTACCTAATTCTTCATGAATATAAGCATCTAATGGTTCATATTCAACAAATAAATCAAGAGATTCTCTTAAAGAATTAGTAATATTAAGCTATATATCCATAAATTACTCTTAATTTTTGTTATCAAAATGTTGATTTTTAATATGGTTTTCTAGAATACCCTAAAATAAATTGTTTATTTCATTTTCTATCTCTGGAGCTTTTGTTCCTAATGCTTTCAATACTTCCATAATAAATTCTTAAACATCTTATTAAATTGCTTATTAATCAACATCCCATTTAAATGATTTTATTATTTCTTATGTTGATATAGCTATCTTACTATGTTTAAGATTGTAAAACAAAGATTACAACTACAATAATTAATTAATTCTTACAGTGCATGGAAATTGATTATACTAATCAGATTCTATAGAATAAACTAGCTTTTAGAATATTCCCAAATTAAATAAGATTTAAAATACACTATTCATATAACATGTAGCAGCATTATTTATAATCCCTGTAAAACCTACTTCATCACGACTGTTGTATTTTGGAGCTACTTCTATTTAAATTTCATTCACTAAACAAAACTAAACATCTTTTTATTTCTATGTCAAAGGAATTCTTAAAATAATCTCTTTTGTATCCAATTTTACATCTTTTTATTTTTTGTTTTTCTTACAAAATATTGTACTAGATAATTTATAAATTTTCCTATATAATAATACTATTTAACAAATTACGATTAGTCAAGATTTTCATTCAAAGCATTACAAATCACTAGAATTGTAGCATTCTCATCTTTTATTTCAAATCCTATTTATATTTTGAACTCAATTCCATCCTTAGCATGAGCAATATAATTTAATGCATTTCTTTTATCTTCAATTCCAAAATAAAAATGCGGAGGAAATATCGCCATTCTACTTGATTTGTTGCCAGGCATTTCATATTCTTATGATAAAAATGCTTCTTAATTCATAGCTTATGCAATTTCTTCAATTAAGATAGGAGCTTCGTCAATAATCATTATATTTGAATATTTATTTATATGAACAAAGGATTCAATGCGATTTTTATAATCAAATATTTCTCATATCCATATCAATTTATCTATCTCTTTTTTTGGTAAACCAATTTAAACTATCCTATATTCATTTCTTTCAAACATTAAAGTTCTTAAATCTACAAATTTCAAATTAAAAACTGCTTGTCAAAACTCTAAATCGAGGATTTATACATAAATTTTATAATTTCTTACTAAAATTATTTCATTAAAAATATATATTTCTAATTCAACATTATTATTTATATAAACAAATAGAATTAAAAACAAATATAACTAATAGAAAGACTGATATCTAACAATCATATTTATTACTAATTCTTCAGCAAATAAAATAAACAAATTAAAAGAATAATTTTCTTAATTTTTCGTATTTTATTTTAAAATCTTATCATTGTATTTTTTTATTTATCAGATATGATTTATATTTAAATATTAAACCTATTTTCTGAAAAATTATCTCAAAAAAAAAATTATAATTTATAATTATTTAATATTTATAGGTATATAATAAATATAACAAAATATAATAGTAATCAAATTAAAAGAGTAATTTAAAATGATCTTTCTATTATTAATAATAATAATCTTGTTTTTTTTAATAGAATTGATAAATATAAATGGAAGAATAAAAGTAGATATAAAGAGTTTTGTGCTTTTTTAATAATAATATTGAGAATTATTATTATTATGAATGATTGTATTATGGTTTATAGATGGTTGCTTTATAGATATTTTCAACATAGAATTTATCTAATAAGAATAAGAAGATTTCAGAATGAAATGAGTAAATTGAATGGAATAAAAATAATGTAATGTTGATTATAAGTTTAGATGAAACATGTATCTAGTTTGATAAATAAAAGACACTTAATTTTATTATGGTGATAATGATTATGATTGTTTAATAATTATCAGATTATAATTATGAATATAATAAAAATGACAATTCTTGCCTTAATGATAACAATTCTAGCATTATGCTGCAGTCTAATAACAATAATTTTAGAGTTAGATGATGATAGTAGTAGATTTACAAACTACTTTATATTATGTTGTGTAGTAATTTAATATGATGCATGTAGTCAGGAGTGTTTATTTGTTTAATTGTCATCGAAGGTTACCTTTATTAATTTAAACCAAATAGTAGGCATGTTTAATTTCCTCGAATGATGTTAATATATTTACTATTTAACAAGTCTTTTAATTCTAGCTGTTTTAGTTATATTATATTTAGCCATAACTCAAATTTCTCATGCTTTATTAGATGATAATGGTATACATTAAGAATATATAATAGGCAATGGAAAAGTACCAATTATTGATCCTCATGATTCTGGTTGGTATAGATTAAAAAACATTTCTCGAATTATTGAATATTCTACCTGCTCAATTGTTGTTATAATACAAATATTAATTGGGTATAAAAAGAAAAAAAACTTATATAAAACAAAGGCTATTGAAAGTCTTATTGAGAATGATGTAATCATAATTAATTAATAAAAAGCAAGTCTTGATTACGTCATTAGAACCCACAATATCAAAGAACAATTAAAATTAAGTTACTTAGAGTTAAATGAATTCTTAAATGGTAAATACTTTAGAATCAAAAAATACCGAATAAATAAAAGCTATACAAAAACTAAATAATAATAATAATAATTCATGAAATAGTTTTTACGAAAATTGATTTTTATATATTAGAAGCTAATTATAATCAAAATTATTCATCCCAGGGAGATATTGGAACATTATTATTATTATTATCATGATTATTTACTGTTTTAATTCTCTAAGTAATAAATTAATAAGAAGCACTCATTGTTCTAAAATGACTGCTAGGTGGTGTAATGCTATTACATATTAGAATTTTAAATATCTAAATATATTAATGTTATACTTTGATACAATCTAAATTTGATTCTCCTAATATTTACATCATCTCTTCTCTATTTTCTAATAATTATATTGGATCTTTGCTGTTTTCTAATAAATCTTTCATTCTTTAAAATACTTATTATCCTAATTTATTTTTTAAGAAATCTGCTAGTAAAATATTTCTATTAGGAGAAGTAGGTGTTTTTGGATTGAAGAGTAATTTAGCAAAAGATGGTTTCTTTTGAGTAACTTCCTATTCTACTTTTTCATCTAATTAAGTATTAATAGTCATAATTTTTTTGTAAGGCTTTTTCTAAATCTAACAATAATTGTTATTTGGAGATACACATTCTGAGAATATATTTTATAATCCTAATTATGTTTATCTATATTAAGGTGTGATAGAACATTTAAGAATTTTAGACATATCTTTATTGATGGATTATTTGTCTTATTTTAATTCTTTTTTTTCATCATATCCTGGACATTCAATAGGACATATTCTTCTGTTTATAATTCCTTTACTTTTATACAGAACTTATAATTTAAGTTACTATTCCTTGATTTATGGAATATTTAGTATATAATTAATATCAGGTCTAAGTTCTGGATCTTTTTATAATGTAATATTGAGGATATCTTAATAAAACTTAGGGAATGTTTCATTAAGTTAAGGTGTTTAACCATTTATTATAGAATTGAGAATTGCAGGCAGAGATTCTCCTAAAAATGGTTTTTATTATGTGCATAATTCATATAAGAAACAACCTAAATTCCAGATATCTGTTTTAGAATTGTAATTTTTAGATTAACAGATTTCAGGAGATAAATAATATGGAGTTCCTTATTTATAAAATTGAAATACCTAAAGTTGTATTTGTTGAAAGATCAATCAATTTTTTAGAGATACTAAAATCTCCTAATTTGATCTTAAAATGAATAAATTATAAATATTTACAATTCCATCATCAGTAATAAAGACATTTCTTAATTTAATATCTCTATGAACTATTTTTTATTAATGTAAATATTAAACTCCTAAACATAATTATGTGAAGTAGTTCAAGATATCAGGTTATTTAGATTTAATATAGATTGAAAGATCAGCTATAATTAATTGATATCTAATACAATTTTTGGCATATTCCATTATAATACACAATTTATCATTTTGTTCAAAAGAATCATAAAACTTTATAATGTTAGGATGCTTAAGAACTTTCATTATACTAACTTCATTTTATGGATCTACTGTATCAAATAGTAAATCTATTCTTTTCATAGCATATTACTATAAAATAGATATTTTGAATACTCTTCCTTTGTTATCTTCCACCAACCAAACATCTCCAAAATTACCTTTTCCAATCTTCCTTATTCTTTTATACTTTTCCATTTGTCCAAGTATTATTAATTATTATATTAATATAACATAAGAATAGTGATAATAAATTTTATGATAGTATGTTTGATTTTATTCTAATTTATTGAGAAATATAAATAATAAATAACTTATTTATGGCAAGTTCATTAGAATTCAATCTTAATTAGATTCAAGTTGACTTTATTCTAAGTAAGATGCCAAAGGGTTATTCACTTTTATAATCTAATCTCTTAAAATCACGTGAATAGAGAGTAGTAATATTTCCCACCTTATTAATTAAATAGCCTAAAAAAGTTAATAAATATGATGCATCTTTTCAAAGCAATAAATAAGAAATTGTTGAAGATAAAAGTAAAAGATCTCAAAGAATCATTCCTCTCTAAAAAGAATAAGTCAAAATTCCATAAGATGATAATTGTAAAAAGGGATTATAACTTCTGTTAAAATTCAAATCCCATCCAGCATTTAGTGAGATTAATGCTTCTGGGTATTTAAATATAGATAAAATTGAAGCTTCCTTCAAATAGGAGGGTATTACTTACTTGTAAATTAAAAGGTAATTTGATGAATCTTTGGAATTAAATCAGAATTGCATTACAAAAACTTACATAATCTGCCTCATCCACATAAATGCAAGATCAAATCACATAATTAGAAAATCATTTTTATCATGTTTTTAAAACTATTTAAAATGAATAGAAATAAACATCAACATCTACAAAGTATATATTAATTTAAATACAATTTAGAAGCATTCCTATCACTAATAAAGTTAATACAAATAAAATAAAAGAACCTTAATCTTAAAAAAAATAAGATACTCATATTTCATTTGAAGAAAAAAAATAATTAGGATAACATATACGTGAATTACCATAAGAACATTTAAAAGGAGTTTGGGAAATAGTATAGTAAAGTGTTTAAAATCAAGAAGCAGAAGAACTTGAATTTGATATTGATTAATTACCACCTAAAGTTATTCGAAAATTGTAAGAATATGTACAATCTAAATTGTATCATCTACATTTTTATTAAAAATAGAAAAACTAAAAAAGTTAAAGTTGATCCTTCAATCAATTACAGCTCCCAAAAATCCAATAACTAAGAAGATAGTTCTTTTCCTTCTGAGTCCTCTGATTGAGATATTATCAATATTCAAAATCTATATTTAACTATTCCCAATCACAATATCATTATTTTTATACTCATACCTATTAGCATATTTTATTGTTATAAATATGATTATCTAAAAATAGAAGAAATTTGTTTACAAAATTTCAACATATTAATTTGTTGACTGCTTTTCAAATTTTCAATAAATTATATTGTCTATATTTATTTATTCTAAATATTTTATCATATTTAACATAATTTTGAAATGTAACTATCAATTTAAACACTTAATTAAGATTTTCAATCTATAACATTTATAATAAGGAATTTATAGTTAAAAACTATATTGTTAATAATATAAAAATTTTAAATTAATTTTTTATAAATCATTTCTTGCCTTGTTATTATTGTTTCCACTCATAAAATTCTGGATTTCTAGAATAAACTTCATTTCTGTTATTATTTGATTTCTCTTTTACTGATGCTTATTATTTTGATGAATATTCTTCAAAACTCATATATTTCCTAAAATAATCTATATATTTAATACTTTTCTTTTTCATCATATAAGAGTTTACTATTATCATTTGCATTTTCAAGTGAATCTCTATACCAAACACTGAATAAAAAACACATTAACTAAATTCCTAAACTTGTTAAAGTAATGAATATAGATCTAGTATATTGATTTTATAATTATTCTTTTAAAGCATCAATTGATTCCTAAGGTTCATCAAGTTTTTCAATTGCTACATTCTATATCAATATTTACCCTTATCTATAAATGTATCTTCTAATACAAATGCTAATATTGTAATAGTGATTTATCCCAAAAGTATAATTCCTAATATGAAATTATATACTTTGATTCTAAACATAGCCTTTTTAGACCCCAAAGCTAAAATACTAAACTGTTATAACATTACATATTAAAGATAAAGTTAGTTAAATGCCACCCAATATTAATATACACATAACTATTACTGAAAATATCTTAGCTACCACCCATATATAAATTGCTATAGCTATCATCAGTAAACCACTCATTCCTAAAAGTAGATTAAAAAATTGCTTGCAATAATAAAGGCATTTATTTCCTGCTTTCATTAAAAACTTTAAAAATTAATAAATAATTTATATTTCAAGCAAATTATTACTAAATTAAAATTTATATATGATGCTTTATATTAACCAATTAATTTAAAAAATGCTTTAAGATTCTTAGTAAAAATATAATTTAATGGGTAACAATTGCATTAAAAACAAAGAAAATCAATTATTAAAACTAAAAGGAGGGTATCCACTGATCACTCCTTAGAAATAGCATTCTATTCAATAATTCACATACGATATGAAACTTAATTTAGATTCTTTCGAAGATGAATTTTTTTAAAAGGATTACTAAATCAATCAACAAGTTTAGCAAGATAGATCAAGAATTCAACAAAAAGATTCTATAGATTTCGTTATAGAAGAACCCATATTTCATAATTAAAGTAGAAAGAATTATTTTATCTAAAGAAATAATTCAGCACCTGTGAAAAAAACGAGAAAACGCCCTTATCATAGTATGAATTGCAGCAAGTATATTATTTATGAAATTCCTAAATGTTCAAATCAAAAGAAAATAAAATCAAATAGCAGATCACTCTCAAAAAATATATAGCCTTAATTCATTCAAAAAATTGAAGGTCATAAACCAAGAAAATCAAATAATCATTTATCAAACAAACTATAAAAGCTTTCATTTAATTAAATAAAAACAGATTAAAGAATTGAATAAGGAAAAAAAAAGAAAGATAAGTCTTGCTAATTTTAGGATTCTGTAAAAATTATATTCTGATAAAATTAAACCTTTTTATTTATTTTCTCATCAATTGAATTCAAATAATTGTTAGTATCTAACTATTTCTAAAAAAAATCATAAATTTTAGTATTTATTTTTATTTTTTTTTTCTTAATTTACTAACATTATTAACAACCAAAAATTTGTTATTATTTAAGTACCAATATACAAAAAGGAGCAAAATTAGCTATCAAAAATTAAAACTTCTTATTATTTTCCCTGATTTAGGCAGTAAACCTGAAAGCTTAAGAATGTTAGTAAATAATAACTTTCGAATATTTTACAAAAAGATGACTAAATATTGTTTAATATTCCTTAATTCAAAATGTAAATTTTGTTCTTTTAATGTTAAAATAATTCTTTAAATTTTTGTCATAAAAAATTTTGATAGCAAGAATAAAAAGAAGAAACATTTTTAAAATACATTTATGATGCAGTCCAGTAATATACATATTTAAAATTAAAATAATTATATATATCAAATATTATATTATTATAGCTCCTGTTATGCTTATCTTTTGTTTTATTTTTCAAATGAGCATCTCTGCAAAACAACATAAATATTTGGATTAACTTAAACTAAACCTTAAATATAACATTTATGATTATTTTTTAACTAATTGAATACCAGAAACAAAAAAAATAATTACTGATTATGCATATTATAATAAGATATGTTTTATATTTAAAGAAATTACGTCTAATAGGATATTATATCAGTGGTTCTAATTCAATTTCAGTTAAAACTTCTTTTTTTTGCTTATATTTATTAGTCTTTAATTTATTTATTCCCTTTTTCTACTAATTCTCTATATACTTATAATTTACAATATTTTCTATGAGATGTTTGAAGTGCGCCAAGATAATCTTATGGATTAAACACTTTTTTTTGCTCATAAAATTACTAAGATCTAAATTGGTAGTATAAACATAAATTAAAAATATTTTCCAAAAGAAATACCACTCAATTTAATTATTTATAAAGACTAAAGGAATAATAAGCTCAAATAAAGGTTCATCATTTAATTATTAAATATAAACACTCTTCAGTTAATTGATTTTCATCATGATTACTCAATCTCCATTAATATAAATAGGTAGAATTATATAGAATTAAAATATATATTTTTTGAAATTTACCTTTGTCTATGGCTTCTATTATGATAACAAGAATCTCTTGATAGTACATAATATCTACATTCTTCAAAAGTTAATAAATATTGTTGATCAACAATATTATTAAGTTCCTTCAAAAGTAGATTGTTTTTCTAGCTCTCAATTTGATATCAAATGTTTTGTAATAATATTCTGAAAATTATATTTATTTATAAAGTTTTAATTTATAAACTAATCGAATTCTTAATTTTTAAAAGCAAAATTACTATTGTATGCTTTTCTATATATTATTTTATCAAAAAAGAAGAGATAATTTTGTTATCATCTTTATTTCATAGAAATATTTCAGCTTTTAAAAAAGTTAACTTATTGCTCATTCTTTCTCTACTTGTAATTTTAGTCAAATTATTTCATTTATTATCTTTATATAAAATTTAAATTAAATTCACACGTCATCACAATATATTAATTGCAATTAATCAATCTAAAATACGTTAGGGGCTTAATTATTTAACTTAAATAACATTGCTTCTATGTACTCTTTTGTTTGCTTAGATAATTTAATGTCCTTCTATTATAATGTATCAAACAAATCCTTATAATCATTATATAAATTTACATATATCTACAGCTTCTTTATTTAATTTCCATACTTAAGAATAAGTTAAGTCTTTATGGATTGTAGTTCCTATTCATTAAATATTTATGATAATTCTTTTTTTATATTAAAAATTTCTTAAGCTGATGGGAATTAGTAATTATCAACTAAATTTTTAAAAATACTACGAATTCTCTACTTAGATTATATCTCATTCCCATCCTCAGAATCAATTAAGTAAAGACCTAGTTGATGTGCTTATTAATTATTTAATTTGAAGATAGAAACTTGTAAAGATTCTACTAATTCTTTTAATTGAATATCATCTGATGATATTTAGCAAAACAAATACTATAATATCATATTAAATATTACTTAATCAATATCATTAAGATTTATTTGATTTATTAATAATTGATATTTGAGGATTTTTATTACTTGTTAAAGATCTTATCTTGTTATTAAGACAACTTTTTTACGATGAGTTGCACTTTAAGATCTTTAAGAAGAGAGAACAAAGTCTTAATTCAATTTGAAATTGCCATTAATATTACCAAATGAAGATGGCTTGAATAATGGCGTATTTTTACTATTTTTTCTGTTTCTCTATTCTGATAGCCCTTAATGATCTTCATTCATTATTTTATTAATATTTTCTATTTTAATTCTTAATGTTAAGATTTCTTCATCTTTTTCCATAATGATTTTTTCATACTTATCTTATTAATTTTGAATATTTGACATAAGTTTATCAATTTATGACTATTAATTTTAAGTTGTTTAGCTTAATTTATTTATTTCTGATGTTAATTTTTGAATAACATTTTCTTATTTATTTTATTAAGTAACTTTATTTGCAAAAACAGTGTCTCTATCTTTGTATTATCTGATTTCTAATTATAATTAAATGATTAATTTTTATTGATTTTAGATTTTACTTTAAAAGATTGTATTTTATTTTTTTATTTGATCAAATCCTTTCAACTTCTCTTCAAGACCAGTTACAATTTAAACAAGTCGAATATTGTCATCTTCCAAACTTCTTAAAACATTTGTTTTAGATGGAATGATTATTTCTGTTTCACTATTTAAAAGTTTCTACTTTTATATTTCACAAAGTGCTTTCAGTTTTTACAATTGCTCTTATTGTTCATTAAGTTAATCAATTTTCAAAAGTTTTTTAAGTGACTCAATCTCTGATTCTTTTTACGAGAGTGTTTTTAGAAGTTATTTGATTTTTACCTACTATTAAAGTGGAACAGAAATAGTATCGGATTCCTAACATTATGATTATAAACTATCGAGTTCTTTCTTAATTAAATACTTTATACCTGATAATACATAAGTTGAGACTTAACTTACTTGAGTTCAATTCTTAGTAGATTGTTGTCCTTTTTTAATTTTTAGATTTAATCGATGTAATCTTCTTTATCAACATAGGACATTCGACTCATAGAATCTCCTCGACTAATTTAAATGTTATTGATAAGTATTTTGTTATTCCTAAGTTTGTTTGGATCTGGTTACAAGGAAGTTATGGAAAAAGATTTCTTTGCATGCTTAGAAGATTAAATTTCATGAGAAGTTTAATTATTATTCATTATATAAATAAATGAAAGGAATAGTTGTATTATGCATTTTATTAATGACATTGAAATCATAATTTATAAAGACATCAACTTTGAACTTAGTAATGAAATACATAATAAATAATATAAGTGTGATGCAAGTATATATTTACGACCAGATATCTATTATGTATAAGGATAGTCTTCAACAATTATTGAGCCAACTTAAGCAGTAGTAACATTGGAATTAGAAGTTAAGAATGTTAAGGCATAAAATGCACTTTAAGAGGCAGCTTAAATAGCTGAAAATGCAGTAAAGTAATTGATAGACTAAATAAGATAGAGCCATTAAAGAGAACTGCAATGGGGAATTAAAGATTCAAACAGCTGATTTCACAATCTAACCATTTTAAGAGTACAGTTAAAGTGAACCTTCTTATGTTACATTTTCAGGTTTTATGGTAAATAATAGGATAACAGTAGAAACTTTAAATATTAATGATGTGGGAAGGTAGGATATTATTTATAATGTTAGAATAATTGATGTAGCTGTGAAATATAAGGTAAATAAGGTGAATGGAATTGAATTTGATATTAGTAAAAAAGAGAAGAAAAGATTGAAGGATGTATTACTAGAATAAGCAATTGAAGATGCTAAACATACAGTAATGAATTAAAATTAGATTTAGGGTAGTGTAGTTTTGAAGGGATTGAATATGAAAATAGAATCTATAAAATCTGTTTAAATATTACAGAACTATGGATATAGTATGAATACATAGATGAGTTAATCGGTGAATGTTGGATTTGTAATTAGTCAATTAGATTAATGACACATCATAGTCATAATATAAATATTAAATTTCACTATTTTTAGTAATTAATAAATTCGAAACAAAAATATGTTGATAAGATTTCTGATTGTTTCCTAATAGAGATAATTTAAATATCACAAAATTTTAATAAATAAAGGTTCTTTGGATTGTTAGAAATTGAGTTAATATTAAATATAAAAAATGTTTAGAATTTTAACAATTGCAATATGTATAACAATGATAGTTGGATCATTCATTAAAGACTAATCTACAATTAACAATTTCGAAGTAATTAACATAAGAAAAATATGTTTAGTGTTCTGATATAGAATACAGAAGACCAGATGTATTTTAAGTGACAGGAACAGGATCTTTAAGTGTTGAACCAACAATAGCTACAATTCATTATGCTATAGAAATATAAAATGAATTAGCAGAATTGGCTTTAAATACTGCTAATAAAATATAAGCAACATCATTCAAGTAATATATAATTAAAAATAAATAGATCCTTATAATCAGTAGATACAACTAATGGAGGAGTGAAGATCTCTACAACTTAATTTTAAATGTTTCCTCATACTGAATATGATTATTCTTATGGAAAAAATGAAATCATATTTAAAGGATATAAAGTAATTATTTCTCAAAAAATGGAAACATCTAATTTGAATATAGTTGGTTAATTGATTGATGCTGCCATCAATGCTGGAGTTACTTCTATTTAGAGTGTTTAATTTGATATTAAACCAGAATAAAAAGCTGAATTAAAAGATTAAATACTTTAATTAGCTATTAAAGATGCTACTCATAAAGTATAAAACTATTTATTAATATTAATAGGCTTAAATTGCTTTAAAAACTTTAGATATGAAAATCCATTCAATAAAAAGTATTTCTATAGATCAATCATATGCTCCAAGACCTTCTTATTAAAATAAAGCAATGCCTATGATGGATACTATGGCATATGGATCAGCACCAACTGAAATTTATGCTCAAGAGTAAAACCTATCGCATTCAATTACAGTAGGATTCATCATTGTTCCTATCGATCAATGAATAAATCTATTATATAAATCATTTATATAAATTATTATTTATTCATTTCTAAATTTATTTATCTATCCATCATCTTTATACTCTTTTTACTACAAAACTACTTCATATATTTCTCATTCAATATGTTAATTTCTCACATATGTTCTATTAGGAAAAACAATATCTTATAATATTATTATATCTATCCTAATACTTATTTTTATTCAGATATCCATCTTAATTGAATTATTTTCAACTTATAATTATCACTCGTAAATTATTAAGTCTAATCTAATCTTTTAACATTTTAATCTCATCTTTTTATTCCTTTCCTTTCTTATCTTATTCATTTTTATTTCATAAATCTTTGTTTTGGATCTTGTTTTAATATATATTAAAATATTATTATTTAAGCGATATTTTTACTATATGGATATATAAATAGT